GCCCGATGTGTGCCCGATTGCGAGCACCTACAACCTCACATACGAGGGTGAAGAGGTTGTGTTTGATGCACAGAGCGGGACAGCAGGCAGAATCGCCTGTCCTGCCGGTAACGACATCTTCCATTTTTTCCCAGAAATTAAGGATACGTCGGCGATGCTTGGGCGAAGCTCCAGAGAGTCGCAAATGCTGCTAGAAGTTTTGTCGGGCAACACTGACCCAACGCGGTTGAACGTGAAGCCCGGTGAGCCGGCTCCCTTCTTGTGTGGGACGGTTCCAGATATTCTGGGAGGTTGGATGTCAATGACTCTAATCTCCACGCTCTTTGAGGCCCTATACGGGATCCATAAGTGCACGAGTGTCGAGGTGGCGACCTGGGCGGGTTCTCTCGCGAAGGAGAGCCCAGCGTACCCTCCAGTCGAGCTCCTGATACGGACAGTCTGGAGGGGAGATGGCACGATTGTGCGCCCGAATGAGGTGCTTTTTGCGCGTTCCACCCTAATCGGGAGGGACGTGCCGTTCAAAGTTTTCAAGCGTTGGGCACTGCGTGACCGAACGCCTATGGGGCCTTTGCTTAGGCCGTTGGGAGCAGCGGAGGTCCCTTGCACGGGATACGTGCTGCTGACGATGGCCGAGTATCGGTCTGCCCTCAAAACGAGGTGCATTCGGAGGCCCGGCAAATTCGCCATCACAGTTTTCCCCATGCGACCTGAGCAGGTCTGCAGGGGGGAGATCATGATTGGGTTGGAGGGCGCAAAGGCTCCTCAAGTTGCCAAGCCCCAATAATGAGGGCGAATTTTATGTTGACGATCGCGTCAAATACATGGACAAGCGCCATGTCGTTGTGGCCGTTGACCTAAAGTGGATGGCCATCGAGGAAGCCGCCGGCATCTATAAAACCCGACGCGGTTTGATTGCTGTGCGAGAGGAGATACATGCGCCCTTCTGGCGCGCATGCTATCTGCACCAGGAAGGGGATGTAATATACATCCGTCCCTGGGCGGTCCGAGAATTGAACGTCCAGGGACCGCGGAGAGGGGTGTCATTTTCATGGGACAAAGCTCCCATGCATGACTACTGGTGCCCTCGGTGCGCGCATTTGAATATGTATGGCACCATTCTATGCAATGGTTGCCATTTGCCGATTTTCTATCGAGAGTGGGTGCCAGGCACCATCCGCTCCCAAGTTAGGAGAGCGCAGCCAGTCTGGTTGGACGGACTCAAGGCAGTCCGTGCCAACAGCTGGTATGAAGGGGAGACTGACGTGTGGGCTCCTCTCATGGCGTCGGTAAACCCGATCCGCGAGGTGGTCAGCTGTATGATCTCCGGTTTGCGCTGTGCGCCTCACCTTGTGCACAATCCCAATGCGGATACCGTGCAAGTTGCGTTTCAGGAGGTTGTGAAGGTCACCTCAAAGGACACCCACGCTTGTGTGCGTGCGAGTGACGAGGCTCTCGAACGGTGGGTAGCGAAACAGCTGCTCATCGAGGAGAGCAATACTGGCGTCCCAATTCCCGACAATATGTCTGTCATGACATATTTGGTCGAGCACCCGCAACAGGCGGCGCAATGGGGTCGTCATATGACGAGAAAGGGCAGTCTAAATTCAGCATTTGCTCTTTACCTCTCTGTGCATATTTATGATGCCTACCGCATCGGAATTGAGGACGGATATTTGGTTCCGCTGTATGGCCTAGGCGCCTCACGCGCGGACATCATAATGTCATTGGTACAGGCTGAGCGACGCCTCTCGGACTTCAATAGTGAGGACCCAAGTTTTGATGCCTCCACAGTTCTTGATTTGAGTATCGACTCTCTGCGGGCCGGTGGTGGATCCATCACGGCCCCGATAGAGTATGCTGAGGCATACATTTATGTCGAGAACAACAAGGTTGACATGGTCCCCGCTGCACAGCGGGACGGCCAATGCGCAATTGTTTTTGCTGACCCGCCGACTGGGAAGCACCATAGGCGGGCAGCCACTCCTAGGGGAGATCATCGGTCTGCTACCCCGCGACCTGAATCCAGGTCAAAGACAAATCAGCAAAAGGGCAAAGCCCCTGCGCAATCCTGGCCCAAGGGTGGAGGTCACAAGGGTGACCAGTTTCCAGGAAAGGGTCACAAGGGTGATCAGTACAAAGGCAAGGGTGGCCGATACGGCTACCAACAAAGCCAGTTCGGTCGAGGCGGATCCGCCAGATCGAGAACTCCCACTGGCGGGTATCAGCCTGATGCTCGCGGGTCGGGGTACAAGGGTGCACAGGCTGCCCCTTTCCCGTTCCCGAGTCCGATGTGTATCCCACTTTCCCAATGGGAGGATACATGCAGCAGCCCATGGCTGGCATGATGCCACAAATGTGGCCTGGCGCAATGCCGCAGGGTTGGCAGCCGCATATGCAGGGGGATCCCCGCGAGTTCAAGAATCCGAACTCGCCGCATACCCCTACCTGGGGTGACGATGACGAGTTGGCCGAGACAGTGCCTCCTCCCCCTGGGGACTGGAATGTCGGCAAGGGGAAGGGGCGGCACGGCGGTGGACGACATCGGTAATACCTGAAGTCTGTCTGTGCGTTTCGCATGGCTGCGCCAACGCGCGCATGCTTTCATTTCGGAATTCACAAGATGGACTATGCTCCTTGTCGTATTTCGTTGTCTGGGCTTTTCGCCATTTCAGAATTCAACTGCATGCGTGGCTGTGCGCTATTCGCGCAAGCTGCGATTACCTGTCAGGTGTGCGTCGCCACAGCAAGGCAGTCACTCTCGGCGGCGTCTATGGCCGCTGGTGATCTGCATCCTTCTGCACCGCTGCTGCTGCTGGTGGTGGTGCTCATCAAGGTGCCGAGGTGAGGATCACGGATGCCCCGCACCGCTGCCGGTGATGTCCTACTCGGACCTAGACCGCGGATCGCTGCTGGTGGTATCCATGGCGATTGTCCTCGGATGATCGCGCGCCTAGACGGTGCTAATTTATAACCAAGGCTCATTGGTCTATGCACCATGTTTCAACCGACTGGCCAATGCGCCTAATCTAATAATTAAAAATTAAATCCACTTGAATCGAATGGTTCAATGTGGTTGCAATGCAAATGATAATTCTTTGGCTTCATGCCGGCCATTCCGAAGTTGATCCTTTGTTCTTTTCTTTTGTTGCTTTCTCTTGTTTGATTTGGCTACCGGCGAGAATCCGCCCCATACCCGTAATTCGGGGTGGTGGCGGGATCCGGGCTCCAATGCGTGCCCGGGTGTGGGGTCGTGAGCCCTGGTAGCCTAATCTCCTGCTTTTCCTTGTTTGTTCCTACTCAACTTCAATATGGCCAATGCGCCCTTCCAAATTCACTCCTTCTCTTTGTACAGGCGAGGGGGGTGTTTTTGGGGGCATGTAGTTTTATCGCAACATGTTTCAACGCCACGGCCAATGCGCCGTTTGGCTCAAGCTTTTCAACCCGGCAAACATAATTGCTGTTCCCGGCGCCATTACTTCACGGCACGGCCGGACATCCGCTAGCTGGAAAAGCGGCGGCTGTACCTGGCTGTGGTGTTGCTCTTTGGCGGGGTCAGATCGAGGACTGTTTGGGGTTGGTGTGTGTATTGTTTGCTCGCTTGCTCGCTTTGCTTTGCTTGCTCGCCTGCGTTGGTGCTGCTGCTCTTGCGCTTGCTGCGCTGCTTGCCCTTGCTGGGCTCTTTCTTCTGTTTGTTAAACTGGCACCCCTTTTGGTTCGTGTTTGTGCCGGCCGGGGGCAACTGCTTTGCCCTTGGGACCGGGGGGATAAGGTGGTCTCTTCTTGTTGGTGGGTTAGGGCCTGTTTTATCCATCCCGAAACTCTGTTTCAAACCCTTTCGCAGATGTTCACGGAGGATACAGGGTTTTGACCCACAGCCATGTAAAACCCTTTGGACCAGATTTCTGAGAGTAGACCTGTTGAAACCACCAAGGGGACTCTCTTTTTACCCCCAAGGAATACATAGACCCGGTGGTTGATTTCCCCACAACCTTTGGAAGATCACAAAGATGGTGTGCGTCAGTTTGAGGCTAGAAATGTTGGGCTCTTCTCGTGGGAGACCGGAGTTACATTGCCAGGTTTGGGGACCCGTCCCCAGTTTTCGGACCAAATTGGGCTCTTGGGATTGGCGTTTTGCACTTGCCAGATCGCGAAAACCTCCAGCGTGGAGGAGATCCAATCGAAGCTGCGCAGGCCAAGTGTCTGGCTTGTCTGGTCCAGGGACGACCCAAACACAAGTTTCCGACACCAGTTCTTCACTGTTCTTGGCAAGTTTTTGGTTTTTAGTTGTTTAGTAGGGGTTCTTGGCATTGTTTTCTCAGTTTTTTGGATCTGTTCATTCTTAGCGGGTGTTTTAAGCTACTGCACCAAGGGTTGCGCAGTTTTGGTTTGCTTTGGGTTCCTTTTGCCCAGGAACATACTTCTACACTGCTCGGATTTTGGGAGCAACCCTGTTGAGTATCCCTTCAGTGGAATGACACGGTTCGACCGCGCACTGCTTGGCTTGAGCCCGCGGAGCAGGTTTGCGCCGCAGCGAAGGTTCGAACACCGGTCGCACGGCCTCTTCCTTGAACCTCCATCTGCTTAATAGCATCATTTATTTTTCTCCTGGTTTTGAAGGACACCTATCACTAAACATGTTTTCTCACTTTTCTCGGGGAAACACGCAAATGCAGGTCTTGGGGGTTGGTTCGTGAAAGGGGAAGCCAAAGCCAATTTTGAGGGGTTCCCTGATGAGTCACGCATCTCCCTATGTCCGGGCTAGAAACATATTAAGGAAGTGCGCACAAAAAGGGCCACCAACCCAAAGTTAAGGACCCCGGTCACATGGCAGGAACTTGAGCCACCAGGCAGAATCCGATCTCTTCGACCCAAGGGGAACCTGAAGCCCAAAGAATCCTGGAGTCCGCCTCAGGATTTCGGCCATCCGAACTATTTTTGTGGAAAACCCCGTGTAGAGACCCAGAAGTCCGCTCGCTGGCCATGGCCTGAGCGATCATTCCATGCGGCGGCTCCAAATCGCAGCCTTTCGCGGCCAAGCCGCGTGCAGACCGAGGCGGGAAGATCGGCCAGACACGTGGTCCCCTTTTCATGGGGGCTGGGGGGGGAGGGAGGGGAGGGGGAGGCTTGTTAAGGGCTTATTTGGGCTCCCTCCTCCTTCCCGACCCCATGACCTTTCTTGGAAGGATCTACCAAAAGAGGGGTTGTCTTGTTTGGAGGCCTTGTTTCGCTGCACAAGAGAATGACAGACGTGCCCAGATTCGCTTTTTGCACAGATGTGCTTCACTTGAATGCAGTGGACTTGTGGCTGTGACAACAAAAATGAGGCACCCGCGGGTTGGATGTTTTCTTCGACCGCAGGCGCCTGGTGTCGTGGTGCCTTTGGATGCAGCGGAGTGCATGGGACCGATCCGTTGGGGCGGAAGGCTTTTCTCGGTCTTTTTACTTGCTCGGGTTCTGGTCGAATTGCTATGGGCGGCAACAAGAGATGGTGATTGGGAAAGAGGTTCACTGGCCGAGGGGTCCTTTTGCCACCCTTTTTGAGCTTGCATGCTTCGGAGGTGCTCTTTTCAGGTCGGTTTTTCCTCCCAAGAAACAGGTTTACTCAGTGAGTTTGGCTGGGAAAAGAAACCATTTTGAGGGATCCTTCATTTTGAGACACACTCATCATCTATGTCTACACATTTCTGTATAAATAAATAGACAAATGAATCAACAAACTAAACATGTCATATAGATCAACAACTACATCAATAAATAGATAGATAGATTGATGAATCATTAAATAAATAAGTCAACATACATAAATACGAAATACATATATTATAATGACAGACCTAGTTCAAAACAACATGAACTCCCCCCAAATGGATCCCCTTGAAGGTCCGCGAGCATCGAACGTCGTGTGTGAAAAGGGGGGGGGGACTCCCAAAACGGTGGCTTGCCTTCCTTTAATCCAACAGTCAAAAGCACCCCTGCAAAGAAAATAACAGACATGTCAAGAGGAACATGCTTGGTTTCCTTTTGCTTCCCTTTTTTGACACCACCGCAGCAAAGAAAGTGGTACATCGAGCTTCTAAGATAACAAGACTCGTTACTTCCCCAGCCCCAGAAAAAGAAGAAGAAGAAGAAGAAGAAGAAGAAGAAGAAGAAGAAGAAGAAGAAGAAGAAGAAGAAGAAGAGAAGTGGCCTTCCTTCCGGTTTCCCCTCAAAAACCACAAAAGAAAAGTGGCGGCCTCCCACAAAATAGCGACCTGCACCCCCAGAAAAAGAGAAGTGGCCTTCCTTCAGGTTTCCAGTTGAAAAAACGCAATTGGTCGAGAAAGTAGTGGTCGGGTTTAGATTTACCATCATCTAGGGTTTCCTACCGTGAGAAAGAAAAGTGGCGGCCCCCCAAAAAATAGAGACACAGCGGGTGTGGTAGTGGCTGTGTTTTCCAAGGCGATGCCTGTCGGTGGGCTCGCTGCTTGGCTCGCGGAGGCCCTGCCCTTGGGCCCTTTGGTTGTTGGCCCCCGTAAAAAAGAAAAAGCGGTTGGGGTTTCTCCAGAGAAACCATTTGGAGTGCTCAAAATCGCGGCACACGTGGGTAGTTGTTTCTAAAATCCTTACCATTTGGGTCATTTTGGGAATGGACCCGAGGCATGTTTTCCTTTTGAGCCAACCAGGAAATGCGGGACATGCGTCAACCTGTGAAAAACAAACCCAGTCACTCATGTCGTTTGTCTCCTTCACTTCGTCCGGTGAGGAGAGTGTGTTGCCCATGGCGTCCCACAAAACAGCGCACCCGATGCTTTGGATGGATCTCAGGGGAAGGCGAAAAGACATCAACCCACATGGGAAGACCCCTGATGTCGAGAAACAGCTCGAACGCTTTCTGCATTGCCGGGGTATCCGGGTGCTCCAGATACTTTGGGCTTTTTTTTGCGCATGATTGCCCGAGAAATGGAACTCCTTGGATCCAGATACTTTGGGCAATCGTGCGCATGATTGCCCGAGAAATGGAACTCCTTGGACCCGTGCTTCACTCTTTGTGCCACCAAACATTTTGTCCCCCAACAGCTCACAGCTTTGGGGTCTCAGCCCAGATAGGCTCCGGGGTGGTCCGGGGCGGCCCTGAGGTAAGGTGGTCCACCAGGGTTCCACCGGGTTCCACCAGGTTCCACGAGGGTTCCACGCGGGTTGCACGAGGTTCTGCGAGGGCTGCGGGGTGCCGCATGCTGTCGGGGAGATCACCCAAGCTTCTTTTTTTTTTTCGCCTGAGGCCCCAGAACCAGGCCGCTCAGGAGGGGACATGGGAGATGGGACATCCGGAGGCCTCCGATCTCGAATCGGCAACTGTTGAACCTTGGGGGTTCTGCGGAAAAAAAACACACACAAAAAAAAGACACCAAAAAAACAAAAAAACACAGAATTCGGTGACCTCAAATGGTCGGTTTCCTTCTTTGTGGTAAATGCCATACCCGGCAAGGTGATAGCCATGGTCAATACTCTCCGTTATCCGTTTTGTCAAGGGAATCGCATTGGATGTGCTCATGAAAGTGACAGGACATGTCCTTAGCAGGGAGGCTCACTCCTCTATGGTGGCTTATCCCAATAGCAGGGTTTTCGTCCATCCCAACCGCAGGACGGTACGAATCAAGGGTGTGGGTGAAATTCTTGCATATCAATTGTCCCCATTTCGGTCAACGGATTAGGCCGTTGAGGAGGAACAGGGATGCCTTTTGCCTCACTCCACCAGTTCCTGAACTTTGCACTTTTTGGGTTTGGACGATGATAGCGGAAATCAAACAGTACGGAGTGTTTTTTCAGTTTGGACCTTTTTTGCTGCTGTTTCAGGATGCCCAAGCTTTTCGAGCTCACCCAAGCGGAGGTGATCGCTCTTGAGGTTTTGGTGTGGTTTGCTTCAAAGGTTGCTTAGCAAAACCGTCATACCGCATGGGCTTCCGGAGCCTCGGAGACAGACCCCTTGGCGTAAGGACACTTTGATTCTTGCAGGAGCCTGAGGAGCAGTTCCGACTGAAGGAGAAGGAGCAGTTCCGACTGAAGGAGGAGGAGCAGTTCCCACTGAAGGAGGAGGATGAGGAGGAGGAGCAGTTCCGACTGAAGGAGGAGGATGAGGAGGAGGATGAGGAGGAGGACCGCAAATGCGTTCTCCAGATGGAGATTGGTTTGCCTTTTGTTTCCCTGTAAAACAACCCCGACAAGGGCACCAAGACTAAATAGAGATATACACTTTCTTTCCTTTTATTATTATTTATTTATTTTCCGGAGGCGTTCTCTTTTTCTCCCAACTTACGTCATTTTTTTCTTGTTTCTTCTTCTTTTTTTCCCACTCCTGAAGGGATGCCCAGAGCTTGGTTTTCCCGGCTCCCCCCCCCCACTCCCACCTTCTGCGGCTTTGCGAGAAAAAACACATGCAGGGTGCCAGTTCGCTTTCCAACCCCAAACCTTTGTCTTGACCGTAGCCCGTGTTACCTGGTGGTGGGCCCACGAAAGCGAGCGAGTGGGGGGGTTCAAAAAGCCAAAGGAATTGAAAATTCAAAAAACCAAAGGAATTTTTAAAAAGCCAAAGGATTTTTTTGTGCCTTTCGCTTTGAACCCCATGGCCAAACTCTTGCGCTTTTGCAACTGCCGGACCCAGGCCAGTTGGTTGACTTCGTTTTCAGTCTCGAGCCAATGGGGCGAGAAGTCACTTTGGCAGACCGGCAGAGCCCCGTTCTTTTTTTGCCCCTTCCAGTCACATGGGTTGGTGGTCGGAGAACGAACATAGGTGTCCTTTTTAGGTGAGCCTGGTTAAAAATCGATGGGTTCCACTGGTTAGATGGGTTTTGTTCCATTTACCCGAATTTACCCGGGAAACCCATCTATTTCCAGTTTAGGCCACCTACTGTGGTTTGGACAAAATCCTGCACCACTTACAAACCATGGTTGAAACCCATTGTTTGTTGGTATTTGCAACAGACTCGGATCATTCCAGGGGTTCTGAACGGTGGTGCGAATTTGATTTCGCAACCATCCGCAGTATGGGTTAAAAATCGCTGGGTTCCACTGGTTTAGATGGGTTTTGTTCCATTTACCAGGGAAACCCATCGATTTTTCCAGTTTAGGTCACCTATGCGAACCTGGCCCCTCTTTTTCCCCAGCCAACCCAAAATGAGGTTACCCTCAATTGGTGGTTTGGATTGGTTTGGATTTGGATTTGAAGCCCTGGTTCTTGTAGAGGGTAGATGGAATCGGATCATTCCAGGGGTTCTGAACAGTGGTGCGAAACGGATTTTGCAACCATCCACAGCTATGAGAACCTGTCGGTCGGTCGGTCGCCGCCTTTTGTCGGTCCAGGTGAAGAGCCCCTGGCCCTTCCTGAGCAGCGCCGAGCAGCGGTTGGCGGACGTCTCCGCGGGGCAGCACTGGCCATGGAAGAACACCACCATGGCGAGCCTGAAGGGGCGACGTCTTCTTGACGTCCAGCCTGGTTTCATTTCTTTTGCATTTTTTTGCTTTTTTTTTCCCCCTGGGGGTTTTATCAAAGTCGGAACATTTTTTTTTTCTTCGTGGTTTCCCTGTAACCCACCACTTACTTGGGAGGGTGACTTGGAACATGGTAAAATGAGGAGGGTCGCGGCGGTTTTCAAAAAAAGCCCACGGGTTTGCCCTCAGACCCTTTGAGTAGTTGGTTCTGGTTTTAGTTGTGATCGGGGGGCCAAAAGCCAAACCTCCTTCTCGACCGCTATTGAGAGACCGCTTCCCAGATGAGGTTGCCACGTATTGTAATGGATTGATTTCTCCCAACCAAGACCATTCTCTTACCAAGTTTTTGAGTCTGATTGACATGAGCAGCGCTGGACACTCATTTCTATTGGCCATTTCAGGTTGTTCTATGACTTGGCCAAAAAACCTGGACTATGAGATATGGGTGTGTGTGAAGATTTGGGCCTGCTCGAGATGGTTGGCGTCCTTTTCTTTCGCCCTTGAAACATAGACACACTCCAATTGTCCTGGTTTGTCAGTAGATGGTTCTATGACCTCTGTTTTACGACCATGTAAGTGGAAGCCTCCGGTCAATTCGGGGAGAAGGGGCAGGTGGTTCGGAGGGAGCAGCGCCAGATTTCAGCATTCGTCGAGAAGTCGGAACTCCTGCTTTGGGCGTTACTTTACAGGGTTTCCTCCATTTTTCTTCTCGGAACCTCGAAACCATCAGTCAATTGCAACTCAATTGAAATCCAGCGGCTCCTGTTGTAAGTTATGTAAACCTTTGGTAGCCATTTGGGTGTGGCTCAAAATTCAAGGGTTAGGGTTACGCAGGTTTTAGTCTTTGGTCCCATTTACCAAGGCACAGCCATTAAGTGGGACTTCCGTGTCATTTCGCGCAGGAAGGGGATTGGCAGCTCAGCGAGTTCTTGCACGCGGACATCACGGAGCCAGACCTGGCGGTGCCTCGGGCTTTTGTCGGTCTCGGGGTCTCGGGGCGTGAGAAAGACAGGTCACACCCCGCGGAAACCAACTCTGAGGTTTGCTCCAAGACGATTTCTGTAATTTAAGGCAGACTCGATATGAAGCATCATTTGAACACATTGTTCTTTTTTCAATGCCCCAGATGTGGGCGAATTGGAGGTTGGGGGCCCGCTGGTTTTGGGCTTCCAGATCGCAAATGGGATTCCCGAACACCTGCCAACGTGGGTGCCCCCGATTCCTGGAGCTTGGTTCGATTTTTTCCGACCCAAGACCAGGAATGGCTGTCCAAGGGGATGGCAGGTGCCTCCTGGGTTCAAAATCGAGTTTTTTCGGTATGCCAGGCAGTGGTTTTTTTTGGTGTCCCATGGGTTTTTTGGATGAGGGATCCTTTCAGCTTGAACCCAGTTTGCTGCAATGGACCCGTTTGCGACGACATGTCATTGTTGAGCATGTTGCTCTCTCTCTCTCTCTCTCGAATGTTGGAGATGGAGCTGTTCCTTTCACCAAATTTCGGTCACCACACCAAGCCCCTCTTTCGACTCTCCGCTCTTTTCTATCACACATCACGTGACTTGTGCTGTGGTGGTTCCTTTACTCGGGGGATTTTTTTGAGAATCGGAATTTTGAGGAACCTAAGGAAGCCATGCCCATGACCTAAATCGGAGTTTTGGCCATGGCATTCCAAAATGGCTTCGGTTCTCGGCCCAACGGGCTGTGTGGTGTGTCTGTGTGTGTGTGTGTGTGTGTGTGTGTGTCGCGTGCCACCCAGGTTCAGCAAGACTCTTTGACGACTCTTCCCTTTAAAGCCCCCTACACTGGGGGAAGACGGCTGGGTCAAGTGCTACTTGTGGGTTGCTCGCTGAAAAGTCGACTCGACTCGACTCGCAGAACTTCTCGGACCTGGACCTGGACCTGGCGGCTGCCGCGGCGGCGGCGGCGAGCGGCTCGAGCGAGCTGTGGGGCGCGCTGCGGGGCCAGGAGGCGGGGGACTTGAAATCGGAGCTGCGGGTCGTGGTTTCCACCTTTTGGGCTTAGGGAGGGGAGGGGTTCTTCAACTTTAAGAACCACTGGAGGCAAAGGAGAGTGGCACTCCCTTTTTCTTTGTGAGGAACTCCGGGGGTCTGAGTTCCAGCTCCAGATTTTGTTGCGCTTGAAAGGATGACCTCTCGTTTCAACCGTCGCAAATGTATCCATGTCAATGTCCAGAGGAGAACTATCAATATCATTCTGGCCCATTTTATTGGTATGGGTGGGACATCTGGGAACAACCCACAACACATGTCCGCACAACATCGGGTCAAGCCGAGTTTTGGAACCAGACCCTGTCGTGGAAGCAAGTCGTTCTGTTGGCGGCTTCGCTAGCCGCTTGGCTAGTGGAGCTGGTCATGAGCGTCGGTGATGTTGACCCCCGGATCCATCAACCTGGTAGAGGTTGATCAATCCTGGGCCAACATTAGGAATTTAGATATTCATTGCAAGAGTAAGGGTTCCTATTCAGAATGGTACATAGAAAGAGTTTTGACTATGGCGTAGTATATTCTGACTCGAGAGTCGCTAATTGGGCCTTTCTGGCTTAACATTGACCAGCGTTGGCATTGCAGTCAGAAGAAGCATGACAGATATCAAGCGAGTGAACCATGTCTGAGTTTCAGGGTCGAGTGTTCCTCTAGACACAAAGCAAGAGAGCACATGTATCAAAGCAAGGTTCCCCCGCCCATGGTTGCAGTTTTCCGATCGCTGCGAGAAGTTTGCAATTGCCGATATACTTCTTTACATGGTCTTGGGTAGACCACTTTAATGCCAGATGCTGATTATGACTCACTTGTTGTCGGACATAGCACGTTTGGTGAGATGGTTCTGGGTGGTGCAGCTTTCACTGGACATGGTGCGCGCACATTTGGCGCCGTTGTGATTTTGTCATCTTCTTATTTGCCTGCTGTTGAACTTAACCATTGCTCGCCGTGGTCTTGAACATTGCGCACCGCAACTGTTTTACTTCGAGCGCAAAGGTCTGCTGCATGGGTTGCTTTTACTTCCCAGGTCGCCCAGTTTATGTTCTTTTACCTTTTTTTTGGGGGAGGGCTCCCCTACTAAACTAATTAGACTACAGAAAAAAGAAGCGGTACTCTGTACTGGAGGACCTGGCTTCAAAAACACTTGGGCGCCCTGGGTCCTTGATTTTTCGGTCGAGAATAAAACGTCCGGGCGCTTCGCCGCGCGGCGACGCATCGAGCTGCGAAACAAAAGCCTCGGCGAAGCGCGAAGATGACGTGGAAAGCTCGGCCACTGCGATGATTTGGCGGGTCGCACAAATGTACTGGAACCAAAAACTAAAGCCTGCGTCACCCTAGCTATTTGACATTTTTTCATGTTTTTTTGGAAGGGTTCCAACTCCTTTAAACTCAACCAACCCAAAAACCTCGGAAATCCGCGGGGCATCTTTCCCCTGGACATCCACTGGGCATCTTTCCCCTGGAACATCCACGGGGCATCCGCGGGGAAACTCGGCGATGCCTTGCCCGGACCGCCCAGGGGCGCGTGGAGGGCATGTTCTGCGGCAGCCTGGTGGCCATCCTGGGAAGCCTCCGCCGGGCGCCGGAGGAGCTGCGCAGGACGCGGGGCCAGCGCCCCCGCCCCGGTGTTGTTTGTTGTTTTTTGCTTCTTTTTTTGTTTGTTTTTGTTTTTCTTCTTTTTTGCTCCCCCCCCCGGAATCCACCTTGTTGTCTTTCTTTTCTTTTTCCGCAAGGCTCGGGGAAGCTTTGGAGATTTGGTTCCGGAGATTCGGCTCCAGGGGGTTCGGCTAATGTCTGTTGATGTTTGGGCTTAACTCGCACCAAGGTACAATATAGGATAGGGGAACAAGGTCGGCTTGAGTGTATATTGATGGCACTGGTGTTAGTTTGGCGGGAAATACGGTGGATGCAAAAAATCCACAGCAAGGAAAAGATGTTTAAGTAAGATATATGAGATTTGGTCAACATCTCCTGATTTTTGAGAGGGACATAGGGGGGACTCACCAAATTTCTGCACAAAAACCGGGGGGCTCACTAGTACACTGTTGCAGGGAATACCGTGGATGGACAAAATCCACCTCGTACCAGTTGGCAGGTGGTTCATTTGCATAGTTGTTGGGCATGTTTGTCCATCCACAAGATTCTAGGGTCTCTTTCGTGATACCCAGAGATTCCCCTTGAAAGTGACGAAGTAGCCATGTGAATCGCCCTCCTTGGTATTACAAAACAGGTTGTTCTCCAACGACATGACCAAGTAAGTATGGCCAACTAAGTGGGGAGAGTCAATTTAATGAGGCTCGTAGGGTTCCGGTACCTACCATCAGAGGGTGGGCGCAAGGGGCGGGGCGTTGGAGGTGTCGGAGGTGTTTGGGGTGTTGGGGGGATGGGTCATCGCCCTACGCTGTAAATGTATACACTACGCCAAATGTTTTTGGCATGCCCAGAGGGTCCCATCCCTCATAGATTCTCTGGTTCTTGTTGAGGGTACATGGGAAGCCACCCCCTAACCACCAAACCACCGATCCAAGCCACCAAGTAAGAGGACGCTGATAGATAGTTTTTTTTTGCTGGTCATTGGCTTGGATTGGTGGTGTGGTTAAGGACACTTGAAGCTGAAACATAGTGATCCCCATTGGAGCAAGTATAGCAAACTCGCCCTCTGACCCACGAACCCTTGGTACTTTGGCACGCCGTAAGGAAACTCACCATTTTGAGTTCACCGAGCGCCAGCGTCTTTTCCAGGGGAAAAAACACGAGGCTCGTGTCGTTTCCCATTTTGCGTTCACCGAGCGCCGAGCGAAATGCCGCGGGCATTTCTCCGGGAACGCGAGGCAAAGCGCGTCAGAACCCCAGCCAGGAGCTGGCTGCCGCCGCTGGTGCATCGCCTGCTGCAGATCCCGCTGTCGCCAAGGCGCTGGAGACCCACACTTTTTTTCTGGCAGGGTTGCTCATGGGTTGTGGAGGAGGCTCACAAAAATAAATAAGTAAATACACAAATAACATATATAAATATATGTTCGTTTTTTCTCTTTCTATTCTTCAACTTGGGGTTCGGGGCGAATGGGGGGGGGTCTCGCCAACTTTCAGCCACAAACGCCTGGGCGGAATGCTGATTTTCTCTCGAGCATGCCTATCTGAGCTTGCAAGGCAGGCTAAAAAATCAACGCAGGGTCCCATTTCGTTGATGACCCCCAGGCAGACCGACCTTAAACGTGGGGTTGCCTTAGTTTGCCAAAACGATGGCTGCAGCCGTGTATGTTTTGGGCGTTTTTTCCGGGCCTCCAGCCCGGGGTTGATTCCAGGACCTGGCCTCCCCCAGTGGGAAACAACAAGTCTGGACTTTGTTGGGCCTTTCCACTCAGGAAGTCAATTAGGCCGATTCCAAAAGGGCGGCTTTGGCAGCTGTCCTTACTTTTTAGCTGGTTTCCTCGGGGTCGGGGGTCAGAGCAAGGCCTGTAACATTTATATTTATAGCAGTTGCCTTGGGGTCGATTTCGACTGCTCTTTTTGACAGTCGTTCTTTTCAACAACAAGCCGTTTGCCCAGGCTTAAGGATTCCTGGAAATGGGGCCAAGTTCATTCCAGCTGTTCAGTGCCCTTTTTCCCTCTTTGTTTGGTGTTTTTTCCTCTTTGTTTGGTGTTTTTTCCTCTTTGTTTGGTGCCCCTTTAGAAGGGTTCCCTCTTGCGAGCGCAAATGCGGGTTCAATCAACTTGGTCGTGGAATCATAGAATCATAGAAATAACGCAATTGGCCAGGTTGCCAGCGTCTGTGGGCCAAGGGAATCTCTCTTCCGATTGATTTCTCCAAGTATGGGGAGTTCACCATTGGCAAATTCTGCGACTTCGTTGGGGGAATCCTATGGCTGGACGGGAATTCCGCTTGGGCATCATAGGAAACGGACCCATTTGCAAGAACCGTGGACAACTCCTTCGTGTTGGGCAAGCAACCCGCGGTTGAACCGCAAACGTTCGGATCCCACTACGTATCTATTTGTTCGCAGGAACCGTGTCATTTGTACCCTAGTTGGCATGAACCCCCAAAACCGTCAGATCTAGGAAAGGAATCGTCGTTTGGGAGAACGCCTTTTTTGAGGCTTGCTGCTATCAAATTGTAGCGCAGTCGTACCTATGACTGTCATAACGCCATACGGTACCATATTAACATGAAATGTGGTGCCTTCGCAATGGAGGTCAGCGTTGCGGCACTGAGTCTCATTTTTAGGGACGCGCCTGGTTGTTTGCTAGTGTGTTGGTTTTTGCAGCTGTTCCTTCCATCGATTTGCGCATTTATTTCTTTTGGCTTCGTACAGCACTGGCAAACCTATCCATATGATGGGTCAAAGCGAGCCCAACATGAAAAGGCCAAGTCAAGAAGACAGACTCAGCAAGTTGTCCCAGCCCCGGAAAGGCCACCTATTGTCTGCCCATGTACCTCCCGTTGGGACTTTTGGGAGTCGAGTCGTAGGCATGCGCTGGTGCTGCTGGCCTCCATGAAGAACGCCAAAGCCGCCTTCGGAGGCGGCAAAAGCCGCGGCGATGTTCGGCCGCGCCGTGGTGAAAGGAGCGTTGTATAGGAAAAGGAAGAGAACCAAACACCAAGCAGCAAAACGTTGGGGCTTTTTGTTTGGGCCAAGAGTTGCTGAACGCAAGGCTTTGGGGCGATTTGTTTCTCGCACTTGACCAGCCCTCGCATTTTGTTTTTGACCTTTCCTTGGATGCGGGATGCAGACCTTGCGACTTGCGGGATGTGTGTTTTGATGACCCGCGGCTGCCTCCGCCTCTCTTTGACAGGCCAACGGCTGCCCACGGATGAAGTGCTGGAGACTGCCGCGGCGGCGCTGCACGCGCGCCAGCAGGCGGAGTTGGAAAGCGAAGCTCTGAGCTAGCTCCGGTTGTGTTGTCCACCCTGGGTTCCTATTGCGTGCCTTTGCCCTTTTTTTCTTGCGGGGGCCGCCCCTGTGTCGTCGACACCTGCCATAGCAGAGGTTCGTTTTTCCAAGTATGTGATCAGTTTGGAGCTCGGGACATGCCGTATTTCTCTATCGCGATTCACCACCTCTGATTTTCACGGAATAATGCCAACCCAGCAACCTATCGATGCGTGTTGGTGAATCCAGAGGCAGACATGGGTCTGCTTGTAAGTGGAGGCATCGAATTGGCTGGTTTCTGCCTTAACACAAGCATCAACAAGAATATCCTAAAGGCCGGAGCCAACACCATCCGGGTTTCGGTTGGTTTTCGGTTTCAATGGGTGGGGTTAGAGGAAGCTGTCAAGGAAATTTGGTTCGCAACCTTCGGTGGTTGATTGCAGTCCCATTGGTTTGGTAGAGCCCCCTTTTCAGGAGCGCCCTCACTTTGGGCATGTGTCAAACTATCTTTGGACTTTCCCTTCCAAACAACCAAACTTCCTAAAGAGTGCGCTCCACAAAAAAAACCCAAGCCCGCCAGGTTTTGTTTTGGGTTGGATGGGGCCTCCCGTTTGGTGGGCGTTTTGACCTTTCGGCTCCTTAGCTCAAGGCGAAGCTCCCGGTGTTGGACGTGGTCTTGGCGCTGGAGTCGCTGGCGGACTTGCGGAAGAAGCAGCCAGGGTGGGGGCGGGCGGGCGGGCGGCGAGGGAAAAAACTCACAAGTTGAGGCACCAAAGGGCGAAAGCCACTGGCCATGGAAACAGCGCATCTGGAGTGTTTTGGTCTTGGATATAGGGGACACGATTGGCCACTTTTTTTTCTTCTTTTTTTTTTGGGGGGGGGAGGTGCCTTTTTGCATGGCTTTCAACGGAGACCCACAGGAACGGCACGCGGTTTATTTTTTTCGGCGGACGAGCCCATTCCTGCGCTGGAACGGAAGGCCTGCACAGTTGGTGGGGTCCCGATCGTATTGCACAGCACGTTGTTCATGACGCTCCGAACCAAAAGGTCCATGGCTTGGATCAGAATCCCCAACAAAGAAATCTGCGCGGCACAGCCGAAACTTTCGGGGAGGTTTTTTTGTTGAGGGTTCCAACTGGTTGTCCTTTTGAAGATGGACTTTTTGGAAGAGCTGGGTATCCAAGGAGTAGAAAGAGTTGCGAGTGTCACCATTTCCTCTTTGTAGGTTGTACATGGAGAACAGCAAAGACCGAACCCGGCAAACCCCAGTGTCCATTGACTAGTCTCACCTTTTATTCCCTTCCTCCAACAAACATGGCACCTGTGGGGAGGTACCTGGAAGATTCAATTCCATTTGAAGGGACCCCCTGTCACTTGCCAACTTAGTGGGAGGGAGGGTAACTTTTCGCCTTTCTTGTTTTCCGTCGTTCTCCCTTAGCACAGCACTGGGCAGACCTGGATGTCAACTCTTTTCCCAGAGGGCTGCGCGCTTGGCGACGCTGGCGGCAGCACTGCTGCGGGCGCTGGGCGGAGGCTTGGGTCGGTGGTTGCCTTCCAGGACCCCCCCCCCCCCGGAAAGTCGGCAGGATAGTTTGGTCAGTTTCCTTTTGAAGCACAAGGAGGGGAATGGGGTTGTCGTTTTTGAGATTTCTTGAGGGTTGGCTTTGAAGGGAAACACAATTCCACCCACCAGTCTGTGGGTCCTTTTCCGTTTCAGGGGACCCCCTGTCAGCCAGGAAAACTAGACCTTTCAGTAGTGCCTTTCTCACCCCTTTTTTGGTTGGGAGGGTTCCCCTACTAAAATGGACAAAGCCGAACAAAATCGGGTACCAACTTATTCTAAGCTCTCAAATCTGGAGGACCTAGAAAAGATCCCCTGTAAACCCTAAATAAACCCTGAACCCTAACCCCTGAACCCTGAATCCTAAACCATAAACCCAAAAAACACGTCAGGGTCTTTTCAAGGGAGCCAGCAAGGAAAAGATCAACTGATCGATTCGAATCGCAGGTCCCGGCCTGTCGCAGCTGGTGGCGCAGAGCGCGCAGGAGCGGAATCGAGCGATGGCGCTGAGGCGGGAAGTTGGGGAATTTCTCACACTGCCGCCCGGGGGGAGTCGTGTCCTTTTTTGGGATGACGCCTCGAGTTTGTTTTTGGCATGGTTGTTGTTGGGATAACTTTTATTTTTTGGCTTGTTGTGGTTTGGTGGTTGAAATCCAAATCCGCTTAACTGCCAACATTTGATAATGTTTGCTCCCCTTCCAACGTCAACCAAGTTTTGGGAGGACGCCTCGAGTTTTTGTGGCCTTTTTTCGTTTGTAGGCGGGCCTCTTGCAGTGGTTGCATTTTCAAGGGCTTGTTGCAATGAGTTTTTGGGCGGATGGGAATCACTTTATTGGTTGTGTCAAGGGCCTCTAGATTTCGCCTTTGTGGCGACTGCGTAATGTAGATCCCATATTAATTAGCCCCAGTTTATGAATCGGGAGGTGATTCCCCTCCAAAAGTGGTCTGATTCCCCACATTTCACCCAGGGACACCCCACTGAACCCTGTCAAACAACTGGTGGGTGGATTCATATGGGGTCAACGTGAACCCCATCAAAGACCAAATCAGCTGCCGTGTTTCTAGGGGTCGATTCCCCATTCTTTTCAACCATCGTTCTTTCCAAAAACCGGATCTGTTTCCAACCCGGTTTTTTTTTGCTGGTTTCCTGAATTCAGAATGGACAAGGAAGGTAGCCCGAGAGCCACGGTTCTCTAGGGCCCTGAAGGGTTGGACACGCAAAACAAACCAAAAAAAGGCAAACAAGTTCCTCGGGCTTTTTTGGGGCCGCTTGAATTCCCGCTTCCTCACCGCAAGCGGCCGAGGCTGCTGGCCGTCTTCGCCGACTTCCCGGAGGCCCTCGGCGCCGCGGGCGAGTGGCTGGCGGGGCTCAGCGACGCGCGCTACGGCCGGGATGCGGTGGTGGGCCAAGAGACGGAGGCCGGGAGGTTTTTTTTCTTTTTCTTTTTTTTGTTCCCCCGTGGCATCCAGCGGTTTGCTTAATTTGCTGGGGCACGTTGGTTTTCGGTTCTTCCTGGTGGTTTGTGGTGCAAAAGCGGTGAGCTTCTTTTGGCAGAGCTGGCCGGTTGTTTGGGGGAGCGAACAAGCCCGCTGGTCAACGAGCAAAAGCGATTGCAGCCGGACATCTTTCATGGTTCCCAGCGTTTCCACCCCCCGTCCCGAACCAGCCGGGGCCGCAGCTCCGGGCGAAGCCGCGGCTCGTCTGAGCTGAGCCAATCCGCAGGCCGCGGCCGCGTTCGCGTTGAGCCGCTGCGGCGCGTGGAAGTCCGCGAGGGCCAACTTCCTCTTGTCCCAGGCGCAGGGCGGGGGTGTGAGGGCGGACGGCTGGTGAGTGCTTGGACCGCTCGCCTTTTCTTTTTTGTTGGGAGATGGTTTGGGCGGGGGAGCCTGCGGAAATTCATGAAGAGGGAAACCAAGCAGGAAGGGGAAGGAAAGCCAAGGAGAACACCCGAAAGCGGAGATGGCGTGAGCAACAGGTTCAGAGTGTCAGGTGGACGCGCCTCAGGCGGCAGCTGTGGGACCGAAAAGCCAATGAGTTGGAGATCTTTGGGGAAGCCGCTTCGTGGATTCCAAGAAACACCAGAAGGGAAGCCAACCACCTAGAAGGGTCCGGTTCCTAGTTGTGGAATCCCAGCTGGCGGATTCCATGCTTTTCAGCCCATTTTGTTTGGTGCTCATCAAGAAGCAAGCCAAAGAACGAACTGGTTGCAACTCTTCTTACGGCCCTCGCATTGAATGGCTGACCCAATTTGGATGACGCTCCTCAGGCAAATCATGGCGGTTTTGGTGAACCCCATTGAATTTGCACGGTGGTTGGCAACCCCAGGGAGTGGTTGTATGAGGGTTTCTCATTGCTTTTTCATGGTAACAATGGTCAGAGAGCAGTCCGCGAATCATGGTTGTATGACCCCCCATGGTTTTAGTGGTGGTTTGAACCCCCGGGTTTTTCGTTTTCGAACAGCATGTGGCGCGGATTGATCCTCTCAGCCGTGTGGAAGAAGAAGTTTGAACCGGGACGATCTCCGAAGGGAGCCGTCCCAAACCCGGCGGCGCTCGGATCGCCCAGCGGCGGCTTTCGACCGGCAGCCGCGCCGAAGACGCGAAGCCAGGCGCTGCGGAGGGACTTGGAGGCCGCGGAGCCGCGGGTGAAGCAGGTGCTGGACGAAGAGCCCATCTCCGGGCCTGCAGGTGGGCCGTTTTTTTCTTCTTCTTTTTTTCTTTTCTCCTTTTTCCATTTTTTTTGATTCTTTCTTTTTCAGCTTGTTTGGTTTTTTTTTGTTTGTTTGTTGTTTCTTTTTGGGTTTTTTCTTTTGTTTGTTTTCAGGGCTCTTTCTTTTTTTTTTTTTCAGTTTTTTTTCTTCTTCTCCTTATTCCTTTTGTTTCTTTTTTTGTTCCGGGGTGTGCGAGAGGGGGGATTGAGACACATATTCCGCTTGGGGCTCCCCAAATGACCATGGGCCGCCTTTTCCCTGTCAATGTGGTTGAAATAAAAATCATATCCTTTTGGCGGTTCTCCCCAATGGTCTTCCCATGGAAAGGGACCTTCATGTTGGAGGGACGGGTCCCAAAAGCCGCTTTTCGGATAGGACCAGCTCTCAGGATCCAAGTTGGGGATGGGAGAGCGAGCCGCGCTGTCCTTTTAGGCTTTTTTCGTAAAGAGAAGCCGTGGAGGAGGAGCAAAATCTAAGCTTATATGGGTTGGGAGGGCTTCGGAATGGGTTGGGAGGGCTTCGGAATGGGTTGGGAGGGCTTTCGGAATGGGTTGGGAGGGCTTCGGAATGGGTTGGGAGGGCTTTGGAATGGGTTGGGAGGGCTTCGGAATGGGTTGGGAGGGCTTCGGAATGGGTTGGGAGGGCTTCGGAATGGGTTGGGAGGGCTTCGGAATGGGTTGGAAGGGCTTCGGAATGGGTTGGGAGGGCTTCGGAATGGGTTGGGAGGGCTTTGGAATGGGTTGGGAGGGCTTCGGAATGGGTTGGGAGGGCTTCGGAATGGGTTGGGAGGGCTTCGGAATGGCTTTGTGCTGGTGGCCAAACGTGAAACCTCTGGGCCACCACGGCCGAGTGCTAAGCAGCCAGGCGTTTGGGCTGGCCCAACATTTGCTTCGCCTGCTCAGCGCCATGACTCTTGCCGGTTGGATCGGCAGGGAAGCAAGGGATCCATTGATGCATTCCCAAACCCCGGTTGATTGCCTGAGAAGCAAGTGGGGTTTGCAAGAATCACCCTCCGTTTGGTTTTGATGTTGACTTCAAGGTGCGGATTCAGTGGCAGTGTTGGCACCTTCTGCTTTCGCCTTCTTTCTTTGATTGGTCGTTTCCCCGCAACTTAGGTCCAAAATAGACTAAAATGGGTGGTGCACCTACCCCAAAATGCTACCATTGGTTTTGACCCACAGCCAGATCACCTCTTGGGATTCCCTCGCCGAGCTTTCCCCTTGGTGCGTTTTCCTTGAAGACACAAAGGGAGGCCAGGTCTCTCGTCCACAGGCTCCTGGTGGCTGGCTGCCTGCGCCATGTGCGGGGAGAGCCTGGATGCGGCGGCAGGGCGGCCTGAGGCGCGACACGGGGGTGGATGAAAAGGTCCCTTTACATGAGATGACCAGGGGGCGAAACCACCAAAAAGATCATGAATCATGTTGGAGTTGGGGGCCTAGTGGTGAACTTACACTGTCAGACTATATGATATTTCAACCACTAGATGGGGAAAAGTGACCCCATGGTCATATTGGGGGCCCTAAGTGGAATATTGATCAATTCCCAAAATGGATCCGTGGGTGCTGAGAAAGACCGTTTAGGCATATGAGGTTCGCGCAAAACATGTCTGGCATTCAGATCATTTTGACCATGGCTCACGTGCACAATCACAACCGGCCCCTGCACTAGACATGTTTTCTTCGGGGCCTGACTCGCCGAGCCCATGGCTGGAACCTTGGCGAAAGGGAAACGCAACGCCAGATCACCTGGGATTCCCTTGCTGAGCTTTCCCCTTGGTGAGTCTCCCTTGACACCTATTAGTTTTGAAGCGAATAATAATAATAATAATAATAATAATAATAATAATAATAATAATAATAATAATAATGATACATTTTCCCCATTGGTTTTTGAAGGGAATCTAACTGGACATCTATTTGGGTACTTGTGGCCCTCCAGGCATGGGCGCAGCGCGCCCCGGAGGCGCTGGGAGCGGCGGTGGAGAGGCTTCTAGGACCCGGGCTCGCGGGGCTTAAAGGGGGGCTTCTGAAGGTAAGAGGAGGCGTGTAACCGGAAAATTCTGGGTTTAGGTCTTCCTTGCGGGGTTTGAAGATGGAAACCCTGGCAGGTTTGCAGGTCCCGACTTTCCACTTAGTGGATACACAGCAAGGTAGACTCAAACCCAGGGGTGGTTGTTCTCAAAACAGGAACTTCTGGGTTAAAGCTCATGTTGGGGGAATCAAAGTATGAAATCTTGGTTGTAACGCCCAACTATCCAACGGAGAGTTCCTCTTGTAAGTGTCCTGACTGATTTGGACATCAAGAAGTCACAACCTGCAACATGGCACGGGCTTCTAACCTGGGCTGCAACCACTCAAAGGGCAAGTGCATGAATGTAATGCATGTAATGCATGTAATGTGAGTAATGTATGTAGCCTATGTGTGTAAAATGTAATGCATGTAATGTAATGTAATGTGGCCTCCGGGCGATCGGGCCACCGGGCGATCGGGCGATCCAGGAGAGCCCGGCGGGCCGGAGCATCGCGACGGCGACCCCGGCTCCGCAGCGCGGGCGCTGTGGGCATTGCACGCCTTGGGCCTTGCGGCGGAGAAGGAGGTTGGGGCCGGAGGTTTGGAGGTTTGGGGGGGAGTTGGTTCGTCTCGGGCCTCGTTTTTTTTTGGTTGTTGTCGTGTTTTTGCCCTCCCCCCCCTCGCTTTTTTGGGTGGTGTTAAATGAAATGACAACCGCCGTTTGGGCGGTCGCTTTTCGCCCGAGGTGTTTTTCAGGGGACCATGCCTTCTCAATGCTTGGAACCGTTTTACAGGGCGCTATATCCAGACATGAATGTGCTTGATGATTGCTTTCCCAGCTGTCCCCCCCTCACACGAAGCGCACTGAGTACTCTTTCTCTTTTGGCGCCGTTTCACAAGCAATCTGGGCCCCTGGGACTGGAAATGGACCTGTCGATTTCCCTGTGGTCAAAAAACCGCTAGGCTGGATCCCCCGAAATCAAACAGGGGATCCGATCAGGCCGACGTGACCTGGGGGGGAGGGGAACCGCCCGAAAAAGAAAACGGGAAAAAAACACCTGAGAAGGCACGATACTTCGGGGAAAAGCCGATGTGCATTTTTACTGTAAGGTGCCTCATTTTTGGCCATAGGCAGTGGACAGTGCCTTCTCAGCTTTTTCCCCAGATAGCTGAAAGCTATAGGGGTTCTAACTTCTAATAAAGAAGGGAAAGTGATTTGCGAGATTGAGAGCCGGGTGCTGGGGGGCATGCAGTTTGGGGTGCTGGTGGACGTGCTGCTTTGCGAGCTTGACGGCCGGGTGCTAGGGGGCATGCAGTTTGCAGTGCTGCCGGGTGCTAGGGGGCATGCAGTTTGAATTTGGTTTTGGTGGAGGCGCCGCTTTGCGAGATTGACGGCCGGGTGCTAGGGGGCATGTAGTTTGGAGTGCTGGTGGAGGTGCTGTTTTGCGAGATTGACGGCGGGTTGCTAGGGGGCATGCAGTTTCGGGTGCTGGTGGAGGCGCCGCTTTGCGAGATAGGGGGCATGTAGTTTGGAGTGTTGGTGGAGGTGCTGTCTTGCCAGATTGACGGCCGGGCGCTAGGGGTCATGCACTTTCGGGCGCTGGTGGAGGTGCCGCTTTGCGAGATAGGGGGCATGAGGGAGGGGGCATGCAGTTTCGGGTGGGAGGAGCCGCTTTGCGAAACTGACGGCCGGGTGGTAGGGGGCATGCAGTTTGCGGTGCTGATTAAGGTGCTGGTGCCTGTGCTGTTTAAGGCGCTGATGGACAGCGGGGGATCACTCAGTTTGGGGTGCTGTTTGAGGTGCTGGTGATGGTGCAGGCGCATTCTTGCAAGATGGATGGCCGCATGCAGTTTGGGGAGCTGATGCAGCTGTTTTGGGGTACTGTTTGGGGTGCTGTTTGAGGTGCTGCTGACGTTGTGGGCGCAATTTTCGGAGATTGCCGGCGGGTGCTAGGGGGCATGCAGTTTGGGGTGGTGGTGCAGGTGCTGTTTTGTGTTGCTATTGGAGGTGCTGCTGACCGCGTGGGCCTATTTCCCAGATAACTGGAAACCATAGACGTCTAATGAAGAAGGGAAATTGTTTTGCAAGCGACGGCTGGAGCTAGGGGGCATGCACTTTGGGGTACTGGCGCAGGTGCGGTTTCGGGTGCTGTTCGGTTCAGGTGCTGGTGACAGCGCGTGACGGCAGGGTGCTCGGGGACGTGTCCGGTGCTGGCGCGGGTGCTGCGTTGGGGTGCTACTGGGGCTGCTGTTTTCGGGTGTTGGTGATGGTGCGGGCGCATATGGATGGCAGGGTGCTAGGGCGGGTGCTGTTTGGGGTGTCGTGGTTGTCGCATCATCATGATGCTGGCCGCAGCATCATGATGCTGTCATCAGCATCATGATGCTGTTGAACCGATTCGGACGTTGTTGCTGCTCTAACTGTCGCGCGTAATGATTCGTGGCTGGTGTATCATCATGATGCTGTCAACCACGTTATGATGCCGCTGCAATCGCTGCAATGCCGCGTTCTGGTTTGTGAGTGTGGTGGCGGGCATAATGCCGTCAACATCCGGATGATGCTGAATTTCATTACACTGTCGCAAGATGATTCGTGGCCGTGGTATCATCAGGATGCTGCCTTTGAAAAAGCCATCACCATGATGCTGTGAGCATAATGATGATGCTGTCCGCATCATCATGATGCTGTCGAACTCATCAGGACGTCGTCTCTGCCTCTTTTCTGCTAGATATGTAGCGCGGAGTCGTTCGTGGCTGGTGTATCAGCATCATCCTGTCAACATCATCGTTTTGCTGCTGGACTCACTAGGGCGTTGTCTGCGCGTCTATGTAGCGCACTATGCTGAGTAGCTGTGGTATTGTCATGATGCTGTCAACATCATCAAGATGCTGTCAACATCATCATCATCATCACCATCATCATGCCGCGGGAACCATTCTGATGCTGCGTAATTGTTCGTAGCCGTGGTGTGCTATCTGGGGTCTATGCTGGTGTTTTTGTTTTTTTGGGAAATTAAATTAAAAATGAGCGAGCACGCAGAGGTTGGGGGAGCACGCAAACCCAGACAAGGCCCGCAACACCGGAGCAGGCCCGAAAAATCCGGAGAAGGCACGTAAAATTTGGAGAAGGCCCGGAAACAAATCTGAGTCTGTTTTGTTTGGCGATGTGTGACGTGCAAATCCGCATTCATGGCTGCTGGTGATGCCTGTGCTGCTGCTGATGCTGGTGATGCCTTTGATGCGGGTGATGCCTCTGAACTGGTGATGCCTAAAAAGCCAAGGCTGACAAGGAACCATGCCAGCCCTTGAGAAGGCACGCTTATTTGGGGAAACCCGCAAAATTCAGAGGACGCGTGTCCAGATTTCCGACTTATGTCATAGTATAAGTTTTTAGGGTCTGCAAAGTAGACTCTAGGTGTGGACCCGTGGCCCGTTTTTAGCTCCCAAGCCACCTTTTGCTTCAAAATCGCCTGGTTTTGAGAATCCCCTGTGGCACTTACCAGGTTCTGATTGGCCGAATGAGGCGAATGAGACAAGACGACAAGATGGTTTCGCCAGGACTTGGCGGCCCAACTCCTGCGGGACTTGGCCGAGATGGAGCCCAGCCCGGAGCTGAGCGGCCTAAGGGAGCCAAAGAGGTGCAAGTGTCCCGCGATCCGCGGCAAAGAGTTTTGGTTTGAGGGGTGGATCGGCCAATTTCTGGAAGCTCAGCAAAGAAGCAAAGCACGAAGACACGCAAGGGGGTCTTTGTTTTGGAGTTGATGTTCCTTTTTCGGGATTGGTAAGGGAGCAAACAAGGACGGGGAAAGGGCTTGACTCCACCATAGAAAGCCTAAACCACAGTCAACGGGCACCAAGGGTCCACTTTCACGGGGAACATAGCACACCGACGACTTTCTTATTGAGGGTAGCGCCGGCCATCTACTATCGTTTAGTTTTTGGCAACGGGGATTCGGTGCACTCACCAACAATCCCATAAGGAAATGGGGCCGCACCAAAACCCAACGTCAGACCATGACCAATTGGCTGTGGGTCAAAACCGATGGTACCATTGTGGGGTAGGTGAATTCACCACCCATTTTAGTCTATTTTAGTGGTTGGATTGGGATGTTCACCGGGGTAACTGGATTTTTGACCCATGGCCATTTGAGCCTTCAGCTTATTTAACAACCAAACAAACTCATTCTGCCAGATCCTTTCCGAGAACAGCACATTTGACCCTATGCCCAGATATGGCTGTGGGTCAAAAATGGGTACTCGAAATGGAACCCTGGTAAATGGAAACCCCTAGCTCTTTAGTTTTGAGCCACACCCATATGCCCATACGAACAGGGCTCCTTAAAAGATACATTTTGCCCATTTGCAACATGTTGCTTTTTCCCCCCAAAATAAAGGGGCACCACCATTTACAAGTTATAATCCGCATCCCTGACGAAACGCTCAGCCCAGCCCGGCTGGGAGGCTTTGGCTGGCAGACCTGGCAGCTGCTGCGGGAGCTGCAGCCGCTGCTGGCGCAGGCGCGCGGGCGCGCGGGCGATGGCTCGAGGGCCGTGGCTGGAGTTCGTTTTTTGGAGTTGGCGCCCTCCCGCCTTCCATTTGGCTGAGATGGGGGCCTTTTTTCGGACTCTTTTTGCCCAGATAGCTGAAAGCTATAGGGGTTTCTAATAAAGAGGGGAAAGTGATTTGCGAGATTGATGGGCTGGTGCTAGGGGCGTGCGGTTTGGGGTGCTGATGTAAGTGCTGATTGGGGTGCTGTTTGAGGTGCTGATGGCAGTGCGTGCGCATCTTTTCAAGATTGACCGTAGGGTGCTGGGGGGCATGCAGGTTGGGGTGCTGGTGCAGGTGCTGTTTTCGGGGGTGAAGGTGCGTGCGCGCATTTTTGCATCTTGACGGTAGGACGCAGGGGGGAATGCAGTTTGGATTGTGCTGCTGATGGTGGGACGCAGTTTGTGGGGAGCTGTTTGAGGTGCTGGTGACGGTGCGGGCGCATTTTGCGATATTGACGCTCGGGTGCTATCGGGCATGCAGGTGACGGCGCAGGCGCATGTTTGCATTTTGACGGTAGGGTGCAAGGGGGCATGCAGCTTAGGTGGTGGTTTGGGTTTCTGTTTGGGGTGCTGGTTGATTTTCGCAAGATTGACGGCTGGGTGTCTTGGGGGGGGGGGGGGGTGCTGTTTGGGGTGCTCTTCAGGGTGATGGTGCGGGAGCATTTTTGCTCGAATGACGGCCGGGTTTTGCTTGGGGCGTTCTTCGCGGGGGTGCTTTTGGCGGTGCTGGTGTGCAAGCGCTGCTATCTGGGGTCTATGCCGTTTTTTTCCTTTTTCTTTTTTCCCCCTGTTGGTTTTAAAGGGAATAGATTTCACTGGAAAGTATGTTCTCATTTCTTTCCAGGGGACTGGGCAAATGGAGGCCGGTCCAAGCCAAGGCCCCCAAAAAACGTCAGGTTCCATGTTTGGTGGGAGAGGGTACCCCCCTTCCTTGCTCCTTTTCTTTGCTGGTTTGATAGGCGAGGAATGAGAATCGGAATGACCCCACAAGGAAAAACCATCCATCCGTTTGGTTTCCTTTTTGCGGGAATCCGCTGAGCACCAGCAAGCTTTCTGGGACCGGTGATTTCTTCTCAACGGCTGGTGGATTGTTGGTTGCTCGGTTTGGCCAAGCATTTGACGGCCAAATAGAAAGAAACCTGGATGTGTCCTACAGGGCAGCCTCAAACGAGCTACAAACCAAAAAACTAGGTACTTGAAGCTTGGTGTGGGCTAGTCCATTCTTGCCAGGCTTTTGGATTGTGACAGCGTCCCTTGAAGCAAACCCTAAAAGGCAAACAACCTTGTTCTTTGTATTTGGGCCCTATGAACTTTCCTTATTTATTTGTGTTTGGAGTTCACTTTTTGGTGGATTTGACCTGTTATTCCGACATGTTGGCCGTGTTTTTAGTAACACTCTTTTATTATTCTACAGGGGTGGGTTTTCACAGATTCGCCGCATCCAAGCCGAAGGTGGCCTCAAACGAGGCCTCCGAACCTGACAATTTCGCGCTCCAGGAGTCGGCTGAGTGCCCCTTCGCGCTCTGGAAGGGCTCGCTGGAGGAGAGTTTGGAGGAGCGGGTGTGTTGGAAGAAGTTCTAAGGAGGCCCTTTGGGGTCTCCTTGAACAGGGCTCCTGAAAGGATACATTTTGCAACCATTTGAAACATGTTGCTTTTTCAACGCCAAAATAAAGGGACACCACCATTTACAAGGCAATGTTCAGGTGTATAATATAAGGATCCCTGTCGAAACACGCGGGGGGGGGGCGTTCTACGCCGAGTGTAAGTGGCAGAAAAGGGACCAGCACAGGAGGGAATGAGCGATTGCCCAGGAAAGGAGGAAAGTCAGTGCTCCGTATTTTTTGGGTGGCTTTAAAACCACCTTTTGGTTGCCAATTCACAGCGAGGTGCCTCTGGGTGGGGTGATGTTAGGCGCAATCTCGGGAGCCCTGATGAAAGAGCTTTTGGGAGCGCACTCCTCGAGTTAAAGGCCTTTATCTGGTGTTTGGGGTGGCCGCAAATGAAGGGCTTTCCTGTGAGAATCTTGCTAAGCTCGACTTAGTGCAGGCTTTTCCTTGCCTGGGCCAGGCAAGGGTCTCCAATGTTTCGAGATCAAATTTGAGCGCCAGGTGTTTAAAGATTTGGGGTTGGTGGAAACGTGGGATGTGGAACCCTTCAAAAGTGGGTGGGGTGGGGTGGGGGGGGGGGGCGGCGCCATGAGATTCCTTCTTAATGTACTCCTATCGCTTCAACAACGCTTCTACCATCCTTGTTCGTGAAAAGCAGACAAAGGATACTTTTCATTTGCTTTGGGAGGTGGTCCCACCCTTCAAATGAGCGAGTGGCGCATGTATTCGGCAAACAGAAGCATTTTTTTTGTCCCGTTTTTCAATCGGGGCTAAAAAGGAGTACTACAGCGCCTTTTGCTCAACCTTTGTAAACCAATCCGCTCCCACTAAGCATCCTCAGGTGCTTCAGAAAAAACAAAGCCCATTTTGTGCCTTAGCAGCCATTCTAAATGAGCGGTTTCTCTTGATTTGTCCCTTTCGCGACATAAATATACCAAACATCAAGGTCAAGGGAACGACCACCATTCCAAGGAAACAAGCAACCACCTAAGCACTGAAGCACACCTCCCTTTTTTTTCCGCCACTCAACCGGCCTCCCCCCGTTTCGCGCCTTTTTCGTTTCGCCCAAAAAAGGCGGAGCGCACCGCCTTTTTGGGCTCCGCGCGGCGTGGGCAGCTGGAGGAAGCGCTCAAGGCGAGCATTTTGGTCCCAAGGGGTGGGATTTTTCTTGGTTTTTCGGACCCAAAGCTTGTCGGGATTTCCCTTCAGCTTCTTGACCTGAACAAGGTTTGGCAGGGTCCATAGTGAAAGGTCCCGGGTGGGTTGCAGCGTTTGTTTCAAGGAAACCGTGCCCTGAGAAAGGACAAGCCGGGGGGATGTTTGTTTTGGCGCGAGGGCTCCTTGTGGGAGGATTTGCAAATCATAGCCTATTGAACAGAATCTCATATTTTGCTTCATTTACTTAAGTTGTTAACAACACATTGTCATACCTACGGAACACTGGGATCGACAACCTTGTGAACAAACATATCTTGTTGATTTGGGCCCATTCCAGTCTAAGACATCCTCCAACATGCCCAGGCTAACTGGGGAAACCACTGGATCTCAATAGTATGTTTTTGAGAATCGCTGTACATGTTCACCTTGAAGGACCTTTCTGTATGCAACTTACTCGGTAAGGACTGAGACATGGAATTACCCTAAGCCGTCCATTCCTTCAACATGCCCTTCCAGTTCATTTCCAAGCTCCCAAGTTGATGCCCAACTGGCCAGCAAGTTATCCACGGTAAACTGAGCTGTGCAAGTCCTTTCCTTTGGCATCCCAGGTTCTGGACGCTCGAAGAAAATTAGGTCTGCTGAAGAATATGTTCCATTTGGGCGGTTCATTGGGGACTTCATTTTTGACAAGTGCATACCTGCTTGCATTCATCCGTAGGATATCAAGCAATGGGGACATCTGTTCTGCATGTTTCCAAGCAGGTTTGCCACGTGCATGAAGGAGGCGCTTCTGGACTTAGCTTCGCCTCTTCCCAGCTGCCCAGTGGGTTGCTTCCTTTTTTCCTTTTATTTGGGAAGGGTTCCCCTTTCAAGTCAACAACCAGGAAAGGATGCCGATTCTTTTTTTCCCCTGGCCACTGGGCATCTGAGTCTTTCTCCTTTTCCCTTCTGGGTTTTCTTCCTTCTCCCCTCGCAAAACCAAGGGGCGCCTCATCGCCTCCTCACCGGGCCATGGGAAGGGGGCCCCGCCAACTGCGAACCGCGTCTTCGCAGGTGCTTTGCCCCAGCGAGCCGCCGGAGCGGCTTGGAACAGAACGATTCGAAGCTTGCGAGGCTGCGTTTTTGTTTTGTTTTTGTTTTGGACCTTTGGTTGGTACCTGGAGTCTCCTTCTGACGCTTTTAAAAAATGGGTCACCCTTTATTTTGGGTAGTGACCTGCCATTTTCTAAGGTCGGAAGGAGAGTCCGGGTAGATCATGCCTGCACAATATCAGGCTCCTCGCACTTCGAGATATGGGTCTATTGCAGATGCATGGTAGAGATGAAAATCGATTGTGTCGAAATAGGCATTTCAGTGGTGAACTTGCACGAATGCGCGAACACATGCATGCCCATTCAAGGGAAGTGCTTCCGCACATTCTTATTTGCGACACACCACATGGGAAACACATTGCCGCTTGGACTGCAAGCAAACAACATTTTTGTTGCCTCTCTTCTTCAGGTTTGTTTGCTCTCTCGCTTTTTGTTTGTTGGCTTGTTTTGTTTTCTTGCTTGCTTGTTTTTTGCTTCCGGGCCGCGTGTTGATCCGAAGTCGAGTTGCCAAGGCTGGGCTTTCGAGCCGGTCCTCTGTGCCGCTCGCCCGCGAGTGGGGGGGGGTTTTCGGTTCACTCGCCACTTGGGATGGATGAAGCCTGTGAGGTCGAAGAATGTGGTCAAGAAGCGTTTTTCTTGGGACATATATTGGCGGGAGAAAGCCTTTTCCAAACTGGTGCAGGCCAAGTTTTGAGACCATGCTTTGAGACAAATCCGCAAGTGTCCTTCTCAAACCTCAGTGCAGTTCTCTAGCAATTGCAGCCACGCTTGTCGTGGATTCCACTTACTCCCCTTGGATGTGCCACTACACTTTGTTTTTTCGTTTTCAGCTATGATTCTAGGGGTACCTCCCCCATTCTTTCCAGGGATCTTTCTTTCTAGAAAACTTCCGGAAAACCAGGGACACCGGCCGGTTTTTGGAAGGAACGATGGTGAAAAGAATGGGGAAACAACCGCTAGAATGATGTCATCCCTTGACGAAAACAGGAGGCATTTACCCTGGAAAGCCAGCTTTTAACATCTACCCTCACGAAAACACGTGGAACCTGGAAGGGGCCGGAAGACCATGTTCTCTAGGAGCCTCTTTCCGGCAGGCCAAGAAGGCCAAACCCAACGCCACGCAAATCCAGAACCAGGATGCTCAATCAATAGATGGCTTGGTCATCTCAAAGTAGTCTAACCGCCACGATGGTTGGTGGCCTTGTGGCTTCCCTTTAAGTCAACCAAAAAGGGCACCCCGGAAAAAAGGGCACAAGCCCACTGTCAATGTCAAGTCAGGGGTAATTGGAGGACCACAGGAAGGGCCACCCCGAAAGAGGCGGGCAAAAAGACCCCCCAGGTACTGACGGTACTTTAGTCCAGAAACAGTCAAAAACATGGCGGCATGGAGCTGAAAACGGGAGTCCACTAAAGAGATTTCTCTAAAGATGAGCATTTTGCTGGTGGTTCCATGAGATATTAATCTGCGGGACTCTACCTTTCAGAGTAGTTTAAATTATCTGCAGGACAGTACTTTTCAGAGTAGTTTAAATAATCTGCGGGACAGTACCTTTCACAGTAGTTTTCGCCCCACATGTTCGAGGCATAGCTCTGTACTGGAGTGGCCACAACTTCGCCGTGGACATTGAAGCTTTGCTACGCATAAACACACCCTGCACGGTGGCTGACGGTTGCAGAGGTGGCGAAAAGGTGCCCGTGTCCCCGTGCAAGCGCTTTTGTTGCAAGGTGTTTGTGATGTCTACCAAGAGGATGCCGATTTCAACATCGTTCATGTTTCCTTGTCCGAATCGAGCACTGCATCGCATGTGCGGCCAAAAAGCCTCATGGGCATGGCGTTCCAAAGTTCCCGCGCAGCAGAGTTATGTTTGGAAACGGCAGGGTTCAGCGGGATGAGTCCCCCGCCATTTTGAAGCGCTCCCGCAAAAACGGGACGCATGTTCATTGAATGAGGGGTTCATGAATTCTGGGTCAGACGAAGCAATGCGCCGTCACTTCTCGGCGAGCCTGGTTTTTTTCGCATGGCCCCGTTGCGCGCGCTTCCGAGCAGCCGGCCCGTCTTCCTGTGAGTGGGAATCTGTTTTTCGTTTTTACAAAGTAGTCATGGGAACGGCGCTTGAACGGGTGACTGTCCAGAACTATGCGCAATCCCAGAAACAAGACCCTCTGAAGGCGGAGGCAGCTGTGCCAAGCTTTAGGCTGATCTTCTGAACAGCTTTGGTCTCGGGAGAGGAAACACCTCAGCCCAAAGACGCGGCCCTCCCACCCTTTGACACTTAGTCGTAGTCATGCCCCTGATATCAGTGCTTGCGTTTCAGGTTCTTTGGTCAGCATGATCCAATGTGGCAGAGTGTCGTTGCTTTGAATGGTTTGCCGTATTTTGGTTTCCCTTGCATGAAGCATTCACTCATTCGGCGCATTCACTCATTCTGCTCGGTCGAGAAGCTCCTGTTCTGTCTCTGGTCGATTTGGGGGTTGGGGCACCGGGGACTCTGCAAATTTCAAGAAGAAGCCAAGGGGGACTACGGGCCCTGCATTTCTTTGTGGAGTTGGTGCCACAAAGGGTTGTTTTAAAGGGAAAGCCAAATTAGATGACTTTTTGCGTGCTCCGCATCATTTTCATTTAGAGACAAGGCCATCACATCATTGCAAGACGTTATTTGTCGTTTGTTTTTTAGCCAATGTGGTTTTCCAGCAAATAGTTGCCACTTTTGGCATAACACCTTGAATTGGCCGGGCCCATATGTTTGGAGTGCTACGTGCAGCTCACACGGATCCTCTAACTTAGGGTTGGCAACGGCGGTCATCAATCGAAGGTTTTGGAGAGCCGATCTAAGGGTCCTTAGAAACCATGTCCCGGCACGCCGGAGGGGACTATTGTTCAAAGAACCAGAGTTTCTGGTCGCCTGAGGGATTTTTACTTTTAACGCGTCAACATGTTGCGCCGCCCCGCCGGATGTGATTCCAGCTTCCATCCCAGCTCTGTCTGATCACTAAGAACATGTCATCCACATTTGGGCTGGGATTAGAAGGCCAGGGGGGCGGGACGGCGGAATCTTTTCGAATGTTTCCTGGGAACCCGGCGCCTGGAATTCTCATGTCTCCCATGACCTCGGATTTGCAACATATCGACATTTGCTCGGATTTCGCAACAGCGCTCAGGATTGCTTCTACAGCGCGGTGACCCCGGTGCTCCGGCGACAACTTTGGGCCAAAGTCTTGCCCGAGGTGCAGGCGCGGGTTTGTTTTGGGGCCCCAAGTTGGACACGTGGACACCCCTCAAAGGGGGGGGGGAGGGGAGGGTTGGTGCTTTGGGGTTTGGGTGTGTGTGTGTTTGTGAGTGTGCGGAATTTGGGGCGGGCCGAATGAACTGATTCGAAGGAGGTGGAATACTTTGAAGCCGAAAGTTGTACGAGATTTGCGTGCAATTTGACAACAGTGGGGACACAGGTAGCTTTGTCAAGATTCCGAGAATTAGCTAAGGGACTCCTTGGCCAGACTACGAGTCCTCAAGCCGAAAAGCCAGGTTGAGGGACTGTCGGCCAGAAGTGGGGATATTTGCCCTTATGATTCTGAAGCCGTGGTCCTGTTTTCTTTTTTGGTTTTGATTCTGACTCTCATGGCTTGGGTGATCTGTGTTCTGCCGCGAATCCCTTTGATCGAGTCTTTAAACAGCTTTCCGCGGTTGTTCCCACTGGGCCCCGGAAAACGGCACCGCTGACTGCGCTCCAAGTCCGATCAACGAATTCCTCCGTGTTTGATTTGAAGCCCGGGAAGGACTCGCTCAACACGGCCACCCCCCCCTTCGAGTTCGGGGTGCGCTTTGCATCAGGTTTCCCGATCCGCTGGTCTGACAGGATGGACCTGTTTCCCTGTCCCCATGTCCATTGGACCTGTTTCAACCTCACTTTTTGGGGCCAATAGTTTCAGCTTCTCTCATTCTCTTGGATGATCTTTCATGTTTGACCCCTGAGCACTAAGCCCCCCCCCACTTATTCATAAAGGGGGGTCCGTTTTTTTGTGGGGATTCCTTTTACTGGGGTTTTGTGAAAATGAGGGCTCGACACGAAGAGTTAAATGGCCGTGGCAACCAAAAAACCGGTACCACTAAGTGGAAACATGGACCAAAACCTGCGGTTTGCCCCTCCTGGTTAATTTTGAGCCGCACCCAAATGTAGCCCTGTTCCTCCCGCCAGGTGAAGGAGATCAGCCTCGCAGAGTGGGATCGCGCGCGGCGCTCGGAAGGTCTTGGCGGTGTTGGCAGCATGGGTTCTACCTGGTTTGAGAAGGGTGGCCCTACCAATCAACATGGAACCGGTGTCCCCTTTAAAAGGAGAATGTTGTTCCAGGACCCCTCAGGTTCCATGTTTATGGAGGCTTACACCTTGGTATTCACCTTGGAGCCGCTGTGATGTTGGCCTTTTTTCGACAGGCTATTCCCCGGTCGGAACTTAGGTCCCTTATTTTGCATTCGGGCATCACCTTTTGGATGTGCCAAGATACAGTAAAGTTGAAATTTCGTTTTGGCATGGGGCGATGCATTCAGCTCTTCGGGCGGCGTGGAAGGAGCCCCGGACCCAGGCTGATGTTGCGCAGCGGGCGCGGCTTCTGCAGCCGCCCGAAGATCTCGACGCCTCCGAAGCCGGCGGGGCGGAAGCGTCCGACGCAAGCTGAAGGAAAAATGGCGCGGAGCCGTGCGACGTCTTTGCGAGTTGGGCGTGGCTCAAAATTAAACAGGAGGGGCAAACCGTGGGTTATGGTCCATGTTTCACCTCACCAGGGCAACCCATTTTGGAATTCCGTTTTTTAGCCACAGCCGGTTGGGGTCCCGGGTCCGGCGTCACGGGGCCCCCGAGCAAATGAGCAGCAGCTTGCCGGTCAACGACCAAAAGGGTCTGGGACCCCTTCTCTTGCCATGGCCTCTGGGGGTCTGGGGTGGCCAGTTTTGGGATGTACTGGACTTCCGGGCGAGATTGAGAACAGTGCTGGTTGGATGGGCACCATGAGGCTATGAATTGAAGATCTAACCCAGTGACCCCTCTTTTCCTGGAGGAGTACCCACATTTCCATGCACCTGTTTTTTTTGTTGGTTCCCAGGGTCGAGCAGTGGTTTCCTTATACGGAGCCTGGCAGTGGGCGATATTTCATCGCTCCTTTTTGGTTCAGAAAAAGGAGGCTGTGACGTTTTTGTGGTGAAGCCGCTGGAAAAGTGGTGAGTGGAAACCTATCCCAACCTAAATGATGTCCACAACTTGTCCATTTATTACAGTCCGCATGGACTAGGCCCTTCAGCCATTTCTCACCCATCAAAGGGTCCCGACTTCACCTTCATGCCCAAATGGGTGCTAGGTTGGAGTCCCTCGAGTGCCCTGAACACCCCCTATAAACCCCGGTTTGTTATGGGGTGTCCCTGGTTGTGGGGATTCAGACCACTTTTGGAGGGGAACGCCCCATTGATAAACTGGTTGGTTGATTTGTTTGGGGGTCAATGCCCAAATGGGTGTGGCTCAAAATTAAACAGGGGGGGGGTTACGCAGGTTTTGGTCCATGTTTCCACTTGCCAGGGCAACCCATTTTGGGTACCGGTTTTTTGAGCCACAGCCAAATGGGTGCTGTCAGGTTGGAGTCTGAGCCGTGCCCAGATCCGACCCCTTAGGCTGCTGCAGGAGGAGAAGTTCACGCAACGAGCGGCGCGCATCTCGCAGGTGATGCGGGTGCAGGCGGCTTTGGCCTTTTTTTGTTCTTTTTGGGTGGGTGGTACCGTGGACACTCCGAGCCGATTTTGCAACGGTTTTGTTAAGAGTTTTGCTTTTCAATGGAAGAAGGGTATTGTTGTTTTGGAGGTTTGGGCTTGCAAGTAGGCTTTGGGGGTGCTTTTTTTTTTCTCTGTTGGGGGGGAATGCAATTTTTTGGTTGCCAGGGTATCCGGTAGGATACATCTAAAAGTCATTTGCTCAAGGATTTGGATCTTCGAACTGGCCACAGGCTATGGAGTTGCACCATAGCAACTGACCTCGATGGGAAAACTGAAACGAAAAGCCGAGATCCCACAACAAGGCAAAGGAGCAGCCCACAACAAGGCAACAGTTCCAAAGTGCGCAGCCAAACGAAAAACACAGGGGAACGAAAACAGGGGGTGGGTGGGTGGGGGCAAAACAGACATGCAATCGACTGAGGGGCAAAATTGCATGGCTTGCCTCTGTAGAAATGACGTTGAGCCGCAAGGCTAAGGTGAGACAACACCCAAGGAGAAGCAGCCACCAGTCCGAGCCCGGGCACGCTGCAAAAGGCCACGCAGCGCTGTACACGCAGGAAAAAAACAAGCAGTTCAAGGAGACACATGCATCATCTAGATCGTTCAAAGGCTTCCGATTAGCTGTTGGTTTGTCGGTATGAGACACGGCCCCCGATTAGCTGTTGGCTTGCCCTTTCCCCTCCCAACCTTGAGCTTTCTCGCGAGGGAAGGCAAAAGAAGGTCGCCTAAACGATGGTGGATTTCAACATGTCCCAGCCGATGTGCCGAATGGTTTTTTCGTCGGATCCTGTGATCTCTGGGTTTCTTGCCCGTCCAGAATTCACCGGACGTGGAGGCCTTCTCGAGAGGATGTTGTTGCTTCGCAAATTTCGGGAGGCGGTTCTACTGCCTGGCAATTATTTGTTATAGTATGATAAGCATCTTTATCCATCTCAGAGTGATGCTGGATCGTGGCGCCATCTATTTTCCTCTCCAATGGGTTCAGATATGGGTGCAAACAAAGGCACGCCCCTTTTGAGCCACCCTTGTGATTTTTTTGCGCTTTCCAAACAAGAGCAACATCCAGCGCCTCATTTTTTTCTCCGGGCGGCTCTCGATCCAAGCGGAAGCTCGTGGATATTTCAGGGGCCCGGGTTTCTTGAGGCCCAGCTGATGCTCGAGAAGCTCGGCCCGCACATGGCGCAGAAGGAGGGCCTGGGCGTCGGCGCATCGGCGGCTCGGCGATCGGAGCGAGTGAGGCGAGTTCTGCGAGGTGGCGGAAGTGCCGGCGTCTTTCTGTCGCGCGACCTGGGTTTTTCAGTCTGGCCCATATTTTCTTGGCTCCCGAAGGCCATCCGGTTCCTTAGCTTTTTTTGCCTTTTGGCGTTTGGGTTTTCCATTTAGCCCCCGGGTTCAAGGAGGCAAGGTTCAGGGATGGTGCGCAGGAAGTTTCCCCCTAGCCCACCCTGAAAAAGAGTGGTTTTGCTCAAGAAACCACTCCTACCCTTGGCGTGTTCTCACCGAAAGGCCCTGAAGTGTCCCTTTTGGAAGGGGCGATCTAAACATCTACCCTTTAAGCCTTTGCGTTTTCTCACCGAAAGGCCTGGAAGTGTCACTTTTTGAAGGGGCGATCTAAACATCTAAACCGGGGTATCAACATGGTTGATTCCCTGCGCAAGCAGACAAGCACCTTGGAGTTTGGGATGTGTGTCTCGCGATAAGGACTCCTCCTACGTCTTTTTTTATCGGGTGACAGATCTTATCCAGGGGTTGATGCAAATCCGTGGCAAGTCGCGCATCAAGCAAGTTCCCTCAGGTTGGATAGGCCACAGAGACCAGGCTTCGACCGGTTTGGCGACCATTGACTTCTGGCGATTGGCAGGCAAGACAAGGCCCAGAAAGGCGGCGGCAATTCAACTGGGGCGCCTCCCACTTGTGTTGCCCCCAAAAAGTGGCGTTCGATGAATTGCGGCGGACCCTTGTGGGGTCTGAAGAGATCTCGGCCCTTTCAGCTTCCAAGTATGGAGAGTGGAAGAGGTGCGGGGGGGGGGGGGGGGTGACTTTCTGTCCGTTTTGGGATCCGCCATGGCCACTTTCCTTTGGTGCATCTTCTTGGATGTTAGGACTTTAACTTTTTGCCAAGGAGCGTAGTCCGGAGGGCAAAGGGTGCTCAAACCCAGGTCACCGCGGCTCTGATCCTGGCCGCGCTGAGCAAGGCAGAGGGGGGGGAAGTCGGAAAGCGTTTTTTTGTTCCCCCGTTTTTTTCTCCCCCCCCGACAGCCCCATGCTTGTTCTGGGATATGTTAGTTGTCTTTTGGGCTACATGTTGACTACTAGTTTGGTTGGTTGGGATCCGATTTAGATGAGTTTGCATATGATGTGGACCAGAATAGCAAATCTTGCTTGGGCTGAGGGCCAAAGCTGAGCTAGTTTTGTTCAGATGTTTGTAACTGTCAAGTATCTTTGGACTCTGCTAGGTTGTGGAAGGGTTGAACACTTTGGTTCCAATGTGCCAATCGGCAGCCGGCATCCCACCACCAGCTGTCCCACATGCTTGCCATGGATGTGCCTTTGCGGCATGGGGCGCAACCAAATCAATCAACAGGCACAGTCGCTTTTCAGGGGCGGAGACAAGAAGTCCACACCCACCTCGGGGTTTCACCAACTTGACCAACTTGTCCATGTGGATAATTCAGGTTAGGGCAAGGCTCCTTGGTCCCCTCTTTCTTTAACAACAGGGGCGAAACGCCAATTTTGAGGACCGCACCCATCTCGGCGGTTCCAACCGACACGCTTAGAGAGTCAGGAGCCGCCCGACTGGCTCTTTCAGGCGGGTCGGGCGGCAAGCTGTTTGGTTGCCAAAAGAGAGAGACCTATCTGGCTCAGGCTTCCATTTTTGCCTACCCGAAGGTAGACTTAACCGGGTTGAAGTCTACCTTCGGGTAGGCAAAAATGGGAACCCTGAACCTGTCTGCATGGTTCACTGCCAGCTATCTCCAGTCAGGGCCGCTGAAGAGGCGAAGTTGTTCGAAAGCGTTTGTCTTGTTCTGAACGCCTTTTCTTGACCTTTCTGGTTTGACCCGCGAACAGAGAACGCCTTTAGAGGGAAATGGTCTTGCAGGGACCCTCAGTCGGGGTGATACCCTGATACTCACCTGTTTGGTCCTTTCTGAAGGACCTTACTCAGGAGTTCCCCCGGAAAGGCTCGTGCCTTGCGGATAGTTTCGAGACTGGGTTCGATTCTATTTTATGCTCGTTTTTTGTTTTGGTGGGTTGGGCTTGGTGTTTGCTTCGTCTTCCAGGTCTATATACTGCGTGGCTTCTCCGCCAGTGCCCGGATCATGATCCCAGAATCTTTGCAAGGATTCTGGCCAATAGCCGGCATCCTTTTGCTACCGACCAACACAAAAACAGAACATGCACTATGTGGCAGGCGTGTGTGAGGCAGGCGCCTGTGCAGAAGCACTTGCTCAAGCATCCGCTCAGCACTGCGTTAAACACGCCTTTGAGATGATAAGCACAACGGTCGCAAGATGCGAAGACCATATCCAAAGTAGACCACGGCCGCCGTCTTCTGCACCACGAGATCGCCACTCGTTGGCGCCTGAGTAGAACGGAGGCCCCGTTTCGGCGTGAATGAGGTCCCGTTTTGGCGTGTGCATGTGTGCGGGCCACGGCGCAGCTGTTTTCGGATTCAACACCGCGAGCTTCGCCATGAGCAAAAGAGTAGGGCTCGGCTTGCGGGGCACCCTTTCGCAATTGATACATTGGGAGCTCCTCCGGTTGCTATGGGTGTTTCTCCACCTTGTGGTTGGTACTTCGAGGGAAGCCAAAGGGACATCGACCATTTTAGGGTACCCCTATTTTGAGGACACCCGTGTGCCCTGATGACAAAGCTGTCATGCCAGGTTTGAGGGGTCAGACATCGGCCTTGAGCCCAGCCGAAGCCCAAAGTTCGATCGGATCGAAGCCCGCAGAATGCTGCGGGGGGGGTTCCTCAGAATCGCCAGGCCGTGGCAGAGACCACCGCGGCTGCTGAGGCCACCGTGCCTGCATAGGCCAGGATATATGAAGCTCCTCACAATGGCTGTGTTGCATGCAGCCGTGTTTTATGATGTCGTTCGAAACATGTCCACGCCCAATTTGAAGTCAGATTCATGCGACATCTTCGTTTGTTTGTTTGTTTGTTGGTTGGTTGGTTGGTTTGTTTGTTTGTTTGTTTGTTTGTTTGTTTGTTTGTTAGAGGGTACAATTGTTTTGGCGGGATGCCCACCAAAAGGCGCAGATGCCTCAAGGTCTTTCTAGGAATGGCAGTTGGTTGCGGGGAAGCTGCGTTCCCAAGACGTATGCATGGCCAGACGTGATGTTTGCCGTTGCATCGATGAACTGAATGGTGCAGCATTCGCTTGCAAAGTTCAGCCCTGCTGGCTCCTTCAGCGAGATGCTTTTTGATTTTCCCTCGGCCCGCCAAAGCTGCGAACTCGAAATGCGCCATGAGATCCCTCGTGGTGCGTTGTCATCGAACATGCCAACCTAGAAAGAGGGGTGGGGCACATTGGTTACACTCTCTCTCTCTCTCTACTATTCAATATGTCATATGTATGTATATATATATATAGAATATGTATATTTCCTATTTGAGGATTTGTGACTTCACCTGTGAGCAGAAACTGGTACTGCGGGCATATATCCATTGATGTTCTGTGGGACTCGCACGCTTGATGGTCATTGCAACGTGGAGCGATTCATGCCTCGGAGTTATTCTTTAAGTGAGCATGTGTGAAGGGACCACAGCACAGGTTACCTCACCTGAGGCCAGACGAATCTCACGTACAAAGCATGTGGATGGGCCGATTGACATAGGCATTTGCTGCGGAAGTGTTTTTAATGCGACGGTCCTACCTACCTGCACAAAATCAAGCTTCCACTTGGGTGCTTTTTAATGACACCCCCCCTCGCCACAAAATGCATATACATGTATATATATATATACATACATATACGGTGGTTGGTTTCCATTTGGTTTCCCTGTAGCACTTCAAAAAGTCATACCCCCCTAACCACCCCTCCCCACAAACACATCTCAAAAACAGGACCCCTTAGAAAGGGTGCCCCATACAAAAAAAGGGCGCGAAACGCCCATTGGGTGTAACCTGTTTGGTGTCTTTGGTTCACATGCTGAGACCTTGGCGCTGTGTGAAGCGAGACATGGGCGAGATAATTCGGCGAGACAATTTTTTGTGGGGGGGAGTGGCGGGGGTTCCAAAGGCCCCAGTTCCATATGTCAAAAGGGTTTGGTTTCAGGAAAATCTACAGGAAATGGCCCCAAATCTTAAATGAGCTGTTTTCCTGTAGAGTTTCCTGTAACCCAACCCTTTGAATATGTCACAAGTTTGCACGGAGTGGATGGCTTGCACTGCTCGCTTGCCTCGAGGGTTGAGGTTGGGGCCCTTGCGAGCAGCCCCAGTGAGCCAGCTAAGCTGATCAAGGTCTATGATGGTGGTACAGGGCTCCTTAAAAGATCTCCGCTTTGCAACCATTTGAAACATGTTGCTTTTTTAACACCATGTACAAGGCGATCTTGTTCCACCATCTACAAGTTGCAATGTTCAGGTGTATAATGCATCCGGATCCCTGTTCTATTTCGGGACGTCGAAGTGAGAGACTTTTGGCAGAATTCGGCAATAGTTGTTTCGCCCCGGAAAGCCTAGCACTTGGGTGACTGTGGTAAAATCATGGGACCAGATCAATGAGCCACTTTGATGCAGCATAGAGGCACCTCTAACCCAAGGTGCTAGATTAGCCCACGCCATCCCACAGAGGCCAAGCCAAAGAAAGGAATGCAAACCAAACCGAACCGATCCAACTCCACCGAAACCGCAAATTTCGTTGCCACACGAACCAAGGCCCAACAAGAGGCCGAAAGCAAGCAAGCAAGCCCCAGAAAACCCAGCAAACCCAAGCAGGCCGAAAAAACCCACACAGCCAGGCAGCAAAGCCAAGAAGCCGAGCAAACCGTTTGCAGACCGTTTGCAGCAAACCCAAGGCCGAAAGTTCCGCCAACCCACCCGGGCCTGCCCGACTCGAGAGCTGGGCCATGGCATGGTCTTCGTGAACGTCGGGGGCCGCGTCTTCTGCGCCTCCGAAGACACGCTGCGGCGCTGCGGGGGGTTCTTGGCCCGAGCGCGGCTCGGAGTGATGCGGCCTTCCTCGGGGTTGGTTGAGGTCCTTTACTTGGGGGCCCCCAGCAATTGGCGCCCTTTCCCTCCCCTTTTTTGGGGAAGGGAGGGTTCCCCTACAAAAATAGACTGCAGAAAAAAGTTGGTGCCCTTATTCTAACCTCTCTACTGAAGGACCTAGTTTCGGTTTTGGGGAGTTGATTGAAGTTTTTTGTTGCGAGCTTCCCTCCTGTTGACATTTTTTGCCGTTTTGTTACGGGACTTTCCCCGTAGTTGGAGTGTTTCCAGGGCAAACCATCATTGTTCAGGAGCCGAGTTGAGAGCCCAAAGAATTAAGAGGCCGATTTTAAGTACGGGCCGATGTCGGGCGAATACGATTTGCAGATTTGCAGACGCTTAGAGTCAGGACTGACTCGCGGCTTGGCATACCCCACACCCCCATGTTAATTTTGGCGCCCTGACATTCAAGCCCTGGGTTGACTAAACAGTATCCCACGGGTCAAACCTACGATTCGACCAACTTCTATAAGGTCATTCCCTTTTGGACCCATGGGCACCCTCGAACATGACTCGTTCTCTCCCAAGGCGAGGATTTCTGGAAAGAATGGATTTTTGCAAGCTTCGCCTAGAGGTATTTTCCTTCCCCCCCCCCGGCGACACAAGCGGATGTTCGTTGGGTCACTCCGACGTGTCACCGCTCGGGCGGCTCTTGAAACTTAGAAAGGCCGAGTTGCAACTCCTGCGTGCCGTTTCAGGGCTGCTTGCGGTGAATCGTTTGGGTCTTTTTCCCAAAACCATTGGGAAGCATCGAGCACGGACAGCTGATGCTTACTCGGATGTCTCAGCAAAAGCTGAGGCTTTTTGTTGGTCGCAGCGAAGGTCAAATTTCGATTCGGCGGGGTTCTGAGTTCTTTTCCCATTTTGGCAGGTGCAAGGTTCTGTGGTTGGATGTTGTTTGGTTCAAGGAGAAACCCATGGGCCCATGGGACTTTCAGTGCCCCGTTTTCAGACAGGGAGGTTTCGGATGTTTGGTTCAAGAAGCCCATAGAACTTGAAGTGCCCCGTTGTCAGATAGGATGTTTCTCTTTTTTTTTTCCGGCTGGAGAATGGGATTCCCACGGGTAAGGTACCCGTGGGTCCTTTGTTGCCAGGGCAAGGTGGGGAGACTGTGTCCAGCTTGCTTCTGAATTGCCGAAATGCTCGCGTTCTGTAACGAATTGCTACACTGATTGGGGTAATGAATCCATCCACAGCAGAGAGAATACCCGGCAAGAGGGTGGAGGATCAGTGCGTGATGTGTCTCAGCATCAGGGGCTGCCCCAAACCATGCCGTTATTTTCTTTGATTTCCCTTTTGACTCCACCCAGCAATGGCGGGTTAGCCCCAAGAAAGACACAGCCGCAATCGATTGCTTGCTTGCCTAGGGACCCTTAGAAAGCACAAAGGGTTACGGTCAAAACCAAGGCCATCAGTTTGGGGTTGGGAAAGCGAACAGTGTGCTTTTGGGTTAACAAACAGACCCCAATAGAAATAGGTCTGTCTTTGGTGACCCCCTCGAAACCTTTTTGGTGTGTAGTCTAACAACAACCGACAAGGGGTTGTACGCTCAAAAGCAAGAAACATAAATTGGCATGGTTTGTTAATCTTGCTGGTGCTGAGCAGAGAATGAGGGAATCGCAGCAGCAAGTACGGTGCCCCTTGGTGGCTTGGATTGGTGCTTTGGTAGTTCAGGACAGTTGCCCATTTAACCTCTACAAGAACCATGGGTTCAAATCCAACTCCAGTACCCACCATTCCAAACCCAATTAGGGGGAAGCTGAAACATAAATGGGCTTGCTTTGATTCGGGACCGCCAAATTTAGGGCAGTTGAACCTGAAAATTAGTCAAACCCCAAATTTAAGGACAGTTGAACCTGAAAATTGGTCAAAGACCGATCTGATGTTTGGTGGTGGTCAAAAAGGGGGGAAGCTGAAATACAAATGGCTTCCAGACCAACCACGATTTGAGTTGTAAGGTTGGATGGCACGATCCCGCTGGACCGCGACCAGGAGTGAAGAACACAAAAACGCAAAAAAAGAGCTGGTTTTCCCATGGTTACCCTTTTTCCAGAGACAGGGGGGTATCCTCAAAAAGACACACCCGAATTCTTGCAAGTGTCCTATAGTTTCAAGGGCTTGCAGTATTTAGACCCTTCTTGTGCACAAGATTGGGCTGTGAAGGGGGCTCCCATTCAGGGCCCTCGAGATGCCACAAGTTAGAGGGTCGAAAAAAGTGGCCAGCCGTTTTCGGGGAAGCTTTTCAAGTGGGACTTCCGCTTTCTTCGATACCAAACAGGTCCAACCCCCGGTGACCCCTGGCCCACTCGCAGAAGGCCCACGTCGGAGACCTCCAAGGCTGCCTCAACCGCGCACTTACGACAAGGGCCTATGTGGCTACCTACACAGTGACTGGTGGACATGAATCCCCACCCAAGTGACGTCCACCAAAGGGTCCCTTATTTAAATTCAGAGCCATACAGTTGGCTTCCTGTCAGCGGCTTGAACCCTTATATAGCTGGACTTGCGCATCTCGTTCTGGAGCAACCCATTCGTATTTGTTTGCCCGCTTTCTTCGTTCCCCACGTTCGGGTTTGCCTTAAAATAGGGGCACCCCCGAGAAAGCGGGGGGCGGCTTTCTTTTAGTTTCTCACCTTTAAGCCGCCCCCAAAAAGGGTACCCTCCCGCCAGCCAACATGGAAGTGCACACAGCCCTGTAGAAAGACGACTTTCCTCTTGGTGAGGTGGCCTTTTTGCACTTTATATGTTAGTTGGCGGGCGACCCTTCAACTCCAGTTTATCAATAGGGGGGTGTCCCTGGATGTAGTGGGAAATCAGACCACTTTTGGAGGGGCCCCCACCCCCCTACTTATACACTGGATGGTTGATTAATATGGGGTCAACATTGCCAACCCCAAAAAGATGCCCAGGGGCTGGCTTGGAATGGGCCGCGTGAGGAGGGCCGCCTCTTCCTGGACCGAGACCCCGAGCTCTTCGAGTGGGTCCTGCGCTTCGCGCGGACCGGCCGCTCGAAGACCACGGCTTCGGTCGGCGGTTTGGAGTCGCCGGGCCTTGCTTTATGGCTCTAGGCCTTTCAGCTAGGTGCCGTTTCTCACCCCTTTTTTGGGGAGGGTTCCGCCCCCTTTTTGGGGCCTAATCTGGCTGGTCACCCATTTTAGCCTATTTTAGTAGTTCTAGGGGTTGATTCCTTTTCCTTTCTTTCCAGCCATCCTTCTTTTCGAAAACCGGCCGTTTCCCTGGGTGTCCGGAGGTTTTCTAGAAAGAAGGATCCCTGGAAAGAATGGGGAAGTTACCCCTAGAGTAGTGCCCTTTCTCACCCCTTTTTTGGGGAGGGTTCCGCCCCCTTTTTGGGGCCTAATCTGGCTGGTCACCCATTTTAGCCTATTTTAGTAGTTCTAGGGGTTGATTCCTTTTCCTTTCTTTCCAGCCATCCTTCTTTTCGAAAACCGGCCGTTTCCCTGGGTGTCCGGAGGTTTTCTAGAAAGAAGGATCCCTGGAAAGAATGGGGAAGTTACCCCTAGAGTAGTGCCCTTTCTCACCCCTTTTTTGGGGAAGGGAGGGTTCCCCTACTAAAATAGACAACAGAAAAAAGTTGGTACCCTTATTCTAAGCTCTCTAGTGGAGGACCTAGGGCTATTCCCTGGGCAAAAAGTTGGCCCAAAAATAAACAGTTGCCATCAAATAAAACATGGGTATGGGTCAAAAATTGAAACCAGCAGGAATTGGATCGCAGATTTTGGTCCTTGGTTTCATCTACCAGGGTTCCATTTTCTGGTTTTGCCCCTTTTTTGACCCACAGCCAGTTGGTTGAAAAAACATGGTCGGCCGGTGGTTACTGTTGGTTGTTCTACGGCCATGAACCGATTCTGCCCGAGCCTGGTCTGGGCACTCGTCAAAAGTAGGGGAACACCAACGATTTTTGGGAGCTTGCCTCTTGGCCTCCCTAACCAACCTGAAAGCTACGTCCTCCGAAATAGAGTTCTGCTTGGGGACATGGTAAAGGAATAGAAGATTCTCGTTGCAACGGGTTGGTTTTTTAGACCCCTTGGAGACCCAAAGGAAACCAACCTATTTTTGTAGGGGTTGGTTTTTTAGTTGGGACTGGTGGAGAGGGTCATGGATCCCGTTTGCTTTTTTTGGCCGTTGTAAGGGTTTCTTGATGGAACCCGGAGTTTTGACCGTGGCACTGTGGTGTATCCCTTTTGACCGGGTGTCCCTCTTGACCACCCCAAAAGGGCCATAGCTGGTTCTACTTGAGCCCGGCATGGGTGTTTGTGTCTTCTATACCACCAACATGGAGGTGAGCCTTTTGGTTTCCATTTCGAGCAGAAGAAAAGGCAGGAACTGCAAAAAGGGCCCCCACAAACCATTGCAACCATCTTTGGTGCCAAGAGTCAGCTGGGAACCGGGCACCTGGTGAGTTTGGACGGGCCCAGCTGATTCCATAGCTTGCAGGGGCGCTTGCTGGCTTCCCTAAATATTGCCAGCAATTCGTATAGGCAAGCCATATTTTTTTGGGGCCCCCCATTTAAGAAAAAAGCCCTGCTCGGCATCCGACAGGCAAAATGGCCTGCAGTTTTTCGTGCGAACCGCGCCTTGAGGCGAGATTTGCAAGGACTTCCCCGGCGCTCTGCAGGCTGGGGACCATTTTATTTTTCTTCCTTAGCTCAGCAACGGGGGGGTGGTTCCGAAACGGAGCTTCAAGCGCGGTTGAAAGAACTCCAAAATTGGACGGGGTTCTTCTGGCTCTGCGAACAACCCGGCAACAAAAAGAGGAAGAAAAGGCACCGCCGTGCGAACAAAAGTGGTGGCGTCCTTCTTGTTTGTTTTTCCATGTCAACCTGGAGATCGGAAACACGTCTGATCATGGTGGAAATAAGCCTTGTGATGCCAAAGTGGGCCCAATGACTACTTGTCATTTGGGATTCCCATGTCACGACAAAGGGCCTTGAAACCCAATGTTTCAACACGTGCATGTACTACAAGGGCCTGCATAAGTGGAATGGGGTTGCAGGGGTACTCTAAGACCACTTTTGGTCATGGGAGCAGACTATTCATAATTATTGCCGCCCTCTTCATTGCAATTCCCCACATTCCGATTTGCTTGATTTTTTGGGCCTCAGAAAGGGTGGTTCCATTTCGTTTCCCTTTAAACCAAGCCCCAAAACGGGTACCAGCCTGCTCAAAAGAGACCGCGTGTCCAGGCGGAGTTCGACTACTTGCTGCTGGCTTGGCCTGACTGCTGCATGCGCTGCAAGGTGCGTTTCGACCCGAGTCGCCTCTTGGCAACAGCCCCCCACCGGCCTTGCTTTTGGGCGGGGGGGGAGGGGAGGTTTGGGGGAGGTGAGGGGGAGGTGAGGGGAGGTAAGCAAAAGTTGGGGTTGAAGATGAAACATTAATCAACATAGTCTATACAGGTGGCATGCGAGGATTGAATGGCCCGTCTGCCTTAGTTGGAGAGCAGGGGGGTTGGGTGTGGGCATGGGGCCTTTGTTTTGAGCAGTGGGATGGTAACGTGTTTCAGAGAAGAGCCATGACTCGACCTTTGGCCGTAGTGCTGGTGGCTTGCAATACTCGGCCTTATGCAACTGGGGTCTCCTCCAAACATATGTTTTGTTAAGGGTAGACTAAATATTAACAGAAACGAAACCTTTAATTTTCCGCGTTCCCCAGATGTGGGCCAAGACACGGGCTATTCGGGCGTCCAGCGTTGGGGGCCTATTAATTTAAATACGTGGCACAAGGACCAACTGCTTTTGAGCTGATGCATGCCAGTAATGGACACCCACGATTGACACCCCCGGCTTGCTTTTTTGAGCTTGTGTGTCCTAGTCTAGAGGGAAAGCTTCAGCCACCTACTTGATCCGCAAGTTTTTTGAACGTCGTGCTCACTGTGCCTAGTTGAGTATGCACAGGGCGAGTGTCACTCACACCGCCTCAGGCAACACCGACACCTCCTGTCGTCACCACCGCTTCCCATGGATGGAGGCCGGGCTCCAGCGCACCATTGCTGTCTGTTGAGTCCGCCTCCCCCGCCCCCAAACAAAAAAGAAAAGCAACAACTTAGATGGTTATTTTCGAGGATATCTCTTTAATACTAGCTTTCGATAATGAAAGGGTAGTAAGCATACGAAGCCCCCGCCGAGCTGTTTGTGCACCACATTGGTTATGAGGTGGAGAAGAAGGCTGGCTTCATTCGGCAAGCAAAGCCTGGGACCCACGATTTGGTTGGGAAGGCGCCAATCCTGTCCTTTGGTTGGGAGACATCATACCCATTGCCGCACAACAGGCTGACCTTATCACTTTTTGCCTTTCGGATTTTCCATCACCCCCCTAACCCCCTATCCCCCTAACCCCCTAACCCCTAGACCCTAGACCCTTTCAAGCTGCACAAGGTGCAAAATTGCGGCGCCTTTTTTCTGAGCGCAGCCTTCAATGCAGCGGTTGGGGTCCAAAATCCTCAGTGGGCTTTTGTTTTTTTTGGTTCGAACATTTCGGCGGTGGATTTTTCATCTCACCGGGCGTCGTTAGAGGCCGTCGAGTGAAGGCTTGAGGCTTTTGGAGGCCGAAGCGGAAGTCTAAGTAGCCATTGTGAAAGAGGCTCGCTGGTGGCAGGGCTCCTTGACAGATTTGCCCATTTTGCCACCATTTGAAGCATGTGGCTTTTTCAACACGACAATCAAGGGACACCACCATGTACAAGTTGCAATGTTCAGGTGTATAATGCATCCGGATCCCTGTGGCAGGCAACTCGAAGACAAGGTGCGATCTTGACCGGAGGTCCCCATTCTTCCCTTGGCACCTACGAATCGTCCCTCTTGGGCCCTCTGATGGGGCGGATGTTTTGCAAGAAGGATGACATTCGATCAAAAAGTGGAACAACCCTGCCCCCCCCTTAATTGGCGACTTTATGGGTCGTATTTGGTGTAGACCGCTTAAGCGTTTTTCAAACCTCCACATCTTCATTCTCACATCCGAAAAGGGCCCTGTTCTTTTTGAGGGAGATCAATAAATAAACGGTTGGGGTTGGAACGAGTGGGTGCGCCACTAGACAGAGACTGTGCTGCTGAGCCAAGCCGGGTAAGTTTGGGGCGATGTCTCATGTCTGTAGTTTAGGTGTGGCTCTTGGAGCCAGTCTCCTCCAAACTCATCCCAAGGGGCTTGCTTTTTTCTATCAACCGTCCCGCAGACTTTAGGACTCACCCGTGTCCAGGCTGCTTTAAGGGATTCATGTAGCATGTGTCAAACTGGGGACCTAACAACTTGTGGTGTTCCTTTTTGTTTTCCGGCAAACCAAGCCTCCAAAAACACACACCTTGATGAGCATGAGGTTTGGTCAAGTCTATGGTGAGTTTAAGGCGGGACATGGAGGATTCACTAAATCTCCCCGCATCCCAGTGAGATATGATTATGAAAGCACAAGTAATGCATAATATTCTGGATCCATCAATTGGCTCGTTCCTATCACTCCCCAAGTATAAATCTATTATTATCATGTTGAATATTTAATTTGTATGACATGAAATCTCATTTGCAATCATACCCTTGTCCTTTGATCAACAAAATATTTTGCAATCTTGTTTTGCTCTTTTTCCCCAACAGCTGAAAGCTTTGGGGTCTCAGCCCAGATAGGGTCCGGGGTGGTCCGGGGCGGCCCTGAGGTAAGGTTCCACGAGGGTTCCACGAGGGTTCCACCAGAGTTCCACCAGGTTCTGCGAGGGCTGCGGGGTGGTTTGAGGTAAGGTTCCACGAGGGTTCCACCAGGGTTCTACGAGGGCAGCGGGTGGTTTGAGGCAAGGTTCCACGAGGGTTCCACCAGGGTTCAACCAGGTTCTGCGAGGGCTGCGGGGTGGTCCGGGGTGGTTTGAGGTAAGGTTCCCCGAGACGAGGGTTCCACGAGGGTTTTTACCAGGGTTCCACCAGGTTCTGCAAGGGCTGCGGGATGGTCTGGGGTGGTTCCACGACAGTTCCACCAGCGTTCCACCAGAATCTGCGAGGGCTGCGGGGTGGTCCCGGGTGGTTTGAGGTAAAGTTCCAGGTTCTGTGAGTGTGGGGGGTGCGGGGTGGTTTGAGGTCAGGTTCCACCAGGCTTCCACCAGGTTCTGCGAGGCTACGGGTGGTTTGGGGTAATGTTCCACGAGGGTTCCACCAGGGTTCCACCAGGTTCTGCGAGGGCTGCGGGGTGGTCTGGGGTGGTTTGAGGCAAGGTTCCACGAGGGTTCCACCAGGGTTCCACCAGGTTCTGCGAGGGCTGCGGGGTGGTCCAGGTGGTTTGAGGTAAGGTTCCACGACAGTTCCACCAGGGTTCCACCAGGTTCTGCCAGAGCTGCGGGGGGTCTGGTGTGGTTTGAGGTCAGGTTCCACCCACCATGGTTCCACCAGGTTCAACGTAAGGTTACACGAGGGTTCGACCAGGTTCCACGAGGGTTTTACCAGTTCTGCAAGGGTGGTTTGAGGTAATTCCGCCAGGGTTCCACTAAATTCTGCGAGGGCCGGGGTCCGGGTGGTTTGAGGTAAGGTTCCACAAGGGTTCTTCACCAGGGTTCCACCAGTGGGCTGCGGGGTGGTCCAGGGTGGTTTGAGAAGGTTCCACAAAAGCTCCACCAAAGTTCGACCAGGGTTCCACCATTGTTGCACCAGGTTCTGCAAGGGCTGCGGGGTGGTCGGGGTTCTGCGAGGGGTGCGGGATGGTCCGGGGCGAGGTAAGGTTTCAATCCACAGAGTTCCGCGAGGATTCCACAAGGGTTCCACAAGGCTCCAAAAGGTTCCACAAAAGGTTCCGCAAGGTTCCATGGTTTGCCCCAAAGAAAAACAATGTGTCGTGCGCCCGTCGTCTGCTGAGAAGATCGCCTTGCTCATGGGCGGAACACTAAGCAAAACCGAAGTTCATGGTTCTCAGCACTTTCAATGTTTTGTGACTTGCTCACTTCTTCAGGCAATGCGGCCCGAAATGTTGGCTTTGTTGCAAATCGCATCACGTTGCTGCGGGACTCTCACTGTGCAGCAGTGTAAATGCTTGGCATTACTGAGTATTACTTGGGCTTGGGCTCCAAAAGCGCTCCACGAGGTCTCCACCAGGTTCTGCAAAAGCTATGGGGCAGCCCTGAGGAAAGGTTCCAACAAAGTTTCACGCTGAGTTCCACGAGGGTTCAACGAGGACGGTTTGCGAGGTTCACCGGGCACAGGTCGGGCGATGCGCCGTCGGGGCCCGATTGCGCCGTCGGGCCCCGATCGGGCCCCGATTGCGCCGTCGGGCCCCGATCAGGGCGCGATTGCGCAGTCACTCTTAGCTTTGCTTTACAAAGTCACAACGCGGCATCCTCAGCAGAACCGGGATTCTGGGAGGGTGTGGTGCTGTTGGGGATATCGCCTGAGCTTATTTAATTACGAATTTTCTGATTTAGACATAGAGGTTGCTACTTTATTACAAGTTATCTCTGGAATCTTCATAGATTTACATGTCACATGATATATGAATTCAGCGCATTTAGTATATTCCTTTTAAGTAGAAAGCAGCCTCTTTTTAGGTGCCCCCTAACATTTGCTGCTTTTCCTTTGCAGCCACCAGAAGAAAACAAAGGTGGAAACAAAGAAAAGACCAAAAAAAAAAACAGAAGAAACACCGGGCCCCGCGTAGCGGCGCCCCAAAAGCCGAGCGGCTGCCGCGCGCGCGTGGCTGAAGCGCCGGGGGGCGGAGGACTTGGAGGTGTCGAGGGAGGAGAAGCTGTGCTGCGCCTGGCCGGAGCGCTCGGAGAAGGGCTCCTGCAAGAGCTGCGGCGCCGAGCGGCTCGGAGGGAGCGGCGCGGCTTTTTTTTTGGAGTGGGGGGGGGGGGGTCGGGGTGGGGGTGGGGGTTGGGGGGGTGTGGCGGGGGGAGGGCGTTTTTATTTTTGGTTGGGGGGGGGGGGAGGGGTTGGGGGGGAGTTTTTTTTTGGGGGGCTTTGCAGGTTGTGTCAATCTGCAATGAATGGGGGGGGGGAATGTTTCTCCATTTTGTCACAGCCAAGGACACAATTGTCCCTGTGGGGTGGGGCGGGCGGGGAGTTGGGGGAGTTGGGGGTGTTAGATGTGGCAGCAAGCGAGCGTGGCTTTCGCTGGGGTTGCTGTGCGAAGCCTTCTCCTCTTTCTTTGAAAGAGGGAGAGTTGTGTGTCTGTGTAAAGCCCTGCCTGCTTGTGGGTGGGATCAACCCTGGCTCTGAAAGCGGTCGTTGCAGTTGTTCAAGCATTCCCTTCAATTGCGCCATGCTCTTCTTGTTGTGATTGGAGCAGGAACGCTGGGTCGGTAGCGCGACGAGTGACTCTCCAAACGAGATCTCGGGATGTTGATATTGCCACTTATAGTTCCATTTGCAGTTGAGTGAAGGTAGATTGCACGATTCCCACATATTGGCCTAATCATTCTACCCACTTCCCCACTTCGTTATACATGTTTTTCCATGTACCCACCAAGGGAAACCATGGGACTTGTCAACATGGGCGTGTCTTTTTTTGCGGCTCGGTACCCTCTTTGAGGTTGGCTTTCCATTTTCTGAGAAAATCGAACGAGTTCCTATTTTGAGACGAGATGATATTTCTCACATGGGAAAAGCTAGGGTCAAAACTTGCTACGTGGCCCTAAATGGAATATGGGTGTGGCTCAAAATGAACCAGGAGGGGCAAACCGCAGGTTCTGAAGTCCATGTTTCCACACTTACCAGAGCAACCCATTTTGGAAATTCCGTTTTTTTGTTTTTGCCACCGCCATATCGCTCCAGGCTTTTGCGAACCCGGATTCGCGGTTTGCCTTCCATCCAGGCTTTGCGGTCGCCAGCTCTTCAGGCGGGCGGCTTCTGGGCGCTCTCCCCGGGCTCAAGCGAACGCGTGAGGTACATGGCTCCTGGCATTGGTTTGTATTTTTTGTAAGGATCCCTTGGCAAATCGTGCTTGTTTGTGTGTTTGTGAGTGTGTGTGTGTGTCATTTCAAATTTATCCGGGGATGTTTTCAAAGTCCCTTTGGAAATCGTGCTGGTTTGTGGGGTCCCTATTTTTCGACTGATTCTGTGGGTTATCAAAGCCAGAAACTTGGCTTGCTTCCCTGAAACGTACCGGTCGCTTTGATGGTCAAAAATACTAGGGCCAGTTCTTGTTGCAGTTGGTGTCCAGTTGGTTGGGTGATGCACCCAGCTCGATTTTGCAGGGACACCCTTCGTGGTGGCAAAAGGGAGTTTGGATTGCCACTTTGTGTGAGTGGCCCGCGAACCCCCTTAGGGACAAAGTGACAACGTTTAGGAGCAGTCCGATTCGGTATCACAGATTTCGGGTCAGTTCCCAGAATCAATACCCCCATAGGTCATACGCCTTGGTTTCCTGCACCAGCCCGCTTTATGTTGGGCTCATACCCCCTTGGTAGAGGGGAGACAGAGCTGTCTTGTTTTGCGGGGTCGATATCCTTTTCTTGTAGAGGGTAAAATGGGTGTGTCTTTTTTCGGGGACGCCCCAAAAAGTGGTGGTGTTCTTAGTGGTTTCCAACTGAACACAACTCAAACAAATTGACAAGCCACCTTATCAGAAGCCACCCCATGGGAAGCTGAGCAGGACTTGAATAGGCAGCTGCCTTGTCTTCCCTGCCCTCCATTTTTCCCCCAGGTGGCTGGAAGCAAGGGGGGTTCCAGCTTCTGTTGCAAAAGGGAAAGCAAATTGCGAGATTGACGGCGTAGTGTGGGTGCTGTTTGGGGTGCTGTTGGAGCTGCTGGTGATGGTGCGGGCACATTTGTTTTGCGAGATTGACGGTTGACGGTTTCGGGACTGTTTGGGGTGTTGGTTGAGGGGCTCCTCGTGCAGTGCTAGAGGTGCTGACGTGCAATCCTTGGCACGTGTTTCGCTACCCGCGGTCTAAGCTGGTGCAATTCTTCTTTGAGGGCCCTTGCTCCTGCACCCCACAGAACATCTGACACAGGTAAGCCTTTGGGCTTGCTTGTCCCTCAGACAAACCCTCACCTCTCATTTACGGGGCTCATGATTTTGACTGTTTCTAGAGTCTGGAGATCAAAGTCACAAACTGAGGTCGGCCATTTCCCTTCAACCTATGATTGAGGCGACTTTGGCTCAAGATCACGAGGCCAGACATTTTCCCGCTTGGAAGGGCTTTTTTGTTTGTGGGGGGGGGGGGTTCCCTACATTGAGGCAGACCCGTCTGTGCTGCATTTGCCACGGATAGGCAAACTTACAAGAGCTTAAAAGAAACCCGACAATTCCTTGGAGAGCCAAGCAGCCAGGGAAGATCCCAATCAGGGGGATTTTCAGAGCAGTCCCTCCTGCCATCATTGGTCCATGATTTTGCCGGCGTTGATACTTCAACCCCACCTTCTCATTGCGTGCGTTCTCACGGATGTGAGGGGAAAGAGGGGACCCCCCCAAACAAGGAACCTCATTGGCCCCAAAACAGATGGCCATGGGTCAAAATCCAAATCGTGGCCCCAGTGAACATCCCAATCGGGACCCACGAAATAGGTTCTAAAATGGGTGGTGAAGTCACCTACCCCAAAATGGGACCCCATTGGTTTTGACTCACAGCCAGATTACTTTGAAAGCATGGTTGAATCCTTTGTTGGTTGGTATTTGCCGTTGAATCATCAGAAAGGGATTCTGAACGGTGGTGCGAAACGGATTTCGCAACCATCCACAGTATGGCCAATATATAGGGCCAAATCTGGCTGTGGGTCAAAACCAATGGTACCATTTTGGGGTAGGTGCACCACCCATTTTAGTCTATTTTAGTTGGGATTGGGATGTTCACTGGGGGTACGATTTGGATTTTGACCGATGACCAGATGTTCTGAAGGCCAATGAGGTTCCTTGTTTGGGGGGGTTCCCCTCTTTGAGGGGCCCGTGACATCCGTAGGAGGAGTGGGACTCCTTTGGGAGAGCTGCCCAGGACCTTCGTGAAGCGCTATGCCTGCTGCAAGGGCCGCATGGACGACGCGGGCTGCCGCCGCTGCCGCCACCAAGCGGAGAACGACATGGCCTAGAGGGGGAAAAGACATCCGGAAGGACGGCCGCTGTGTTTAGTGGTAGTTTCCATTTAACCCACTAAAAGTTGAACTTGGCAGCCCAGTATATAAGAACATCTTACTTGAAGGATCATGAATCATGACATACTTTGGTTTCGAAGGATTGCACAACTGGTTTGTGCCGGATCCCCTGAGATGGGAAATGCAGACGAAACAGATGAACAAGTGAATGAGCGGGCCGTAAAATCGGAAGTAGATCAAAGGTGTATGGCCGAAAAGGGCATCCTTACCCACATCTACCGAGAAGTGTGCCTTCTAAGTTCATCATGGTGTAGGTCTAAAAGGAAACGTTTCGGGCTGAACATCTGGATCCATCCACCCGTCTTGAGGCAATACGCATGTCAGCACAAAGCCCATAACAAGGGAGGTGGGTGTCAATAATTTCAGTCGGAGGGACATAGGTTCAAGTTTGGTTCGGTCTCGAAACAGAGGACATTGTCGCAGATGGGGGTTTCGGTTTCCCGTTGCAACCAAACCCAAACAGGTTTTATCCCCTCAAACAAAGACGTGCCCCATTCCCAGCTTCCACCTAAGTCTACCTTTGGGTACTCTCAAAAGGGCCCCCCCACCATCGACACTGAGAGGCTCTTTCGCAGACTCCAAATGTGCTCGGGGAAAGAGAGGTCTGGAACAATCGGGTCATTCCCACAACCACCTGCAACGATCGCAAGTTTCAGCCGGGCGTTTCTTTCTGAGCCTGGAGCTTGGGTTCATACCACCTTCCCTCTCGCTAGGATGCTCAGAGGTTTTCCAGCTCGCCGCGCGCCAAACGCCAAGCGCCAGAATGCCACGCAGGTGCTGGGAGGCGCCGCCTTCGTGCTGGTGGCGCTGCTCAGCCCTGCCCGGGGCCTCAGAAGCTTCTGGTCGTTTTTCCAAGGCCATGGCTAGGGCCAGCAGGTCCCCCAGCTAGGTGCCCTTTTCCCCTACTAAAATAGACCACACGACAGAAAAAAGTTGGTACCCTTATTCTAACCTCTCTACTGGAGGACTTAGATGGGGTGCAGGCACTCAGTGGGTTGCTCTTTTGGACAACCAAAGCACAAAGGGGACAAGTTCCCCCAACACAAATAAAGGGGGTTTTCCTGGACACAACATTGGCAAAAAGGAAGTTTACAACCACAAGGGGGATATACAGGGCACCCCGCAACAGCTGCACGGACGCTTTGGGGTCTGTGCCCAAATTGGTTCTGGGGAGGTGCGCCCGCCCCTACGCCACGGGCTGTGCTTTTTCTCCAACCTGTGTTGGATTTCACTTCAGAAAAGCGCGGAGTTTTAATGCTGCTACGAGCGTGAGTGCCTGGACAGCTTCGACTTTGTTGCCAGACACGGTTGCCAACTATCCCACAGTTTGCTGGGGTGGGGGGCGGGGGGGTTCAAAGCCCGCAAGGTGCCTTTGCTGCCCATGCAAATCCAGGGTCTCGCTCGAGTCAGGCTGGTAAGACATTTTGGTTTGCCTGACCGAGGCAATTTCTAGCGGTGCCATGTCTCAATAGGTCCAGACCTGGTCGCGCGTTAAAGAGAAGCCCCGGGCGATTGCAGGTGAATGCTGCAAGCTGTGCGCCATCCCTGGAGTCTGGGGTTTGAATGTTCAAGCTCACCATTTCACGTCCCGAGTTTCTTGAAGTTTCACGGGATCCAACCCAAACCTCCTCCAAGGCAGACCCGCCGTCTCGGGGTCATCTTGGAAGCCACCTGAACCGCTCGGCGCATGTGTTCCACGCACCGGCCCAGATTGCACCCGTGATGCAGCCGGTGAAGGCGCGCCTGTGACTATTTGATGTTTTTTCGATCTCACCAGTTATCACAGGAACTTGGCTTGGGGATCCCTCATTTTCCACAAATATGATTTGCACAAAGGGCTGAATGATGATGCATGATTCTAGCATCACTTGAGTTGGGTTTGAAGTACCGCCACGACCCCATTCCAATGAAACTTAGGCCCTCATGGAACCTGAGGGCGGGGGGTGTCAAAGGAATACATTCGACTAGGGGTCCCTTGTGAAACAGGAAGAGTTTGGGATGTACCGCGGGGAGGGGGAGGGTTGGGGTTAGGGCTGCGGGAAGCGGAATTTGCAACCACTGAAGGTGATACTGAAAGCCCTTCCCGAGGAGAATTTCCATTGAAGCAGACGCCACTCAGCAATCCACCAACCTACTTCCGCCCACCCTGCTTAGTGATGGTCATCAGCACTATTCGAGAAACATAGGCCAGATCTGCTCGTGAGTTATTTTCTTCGTTCAGTGAAGCATCGTGATTTCTCTGTAGATCATAAGTCGACGGGCTCAACCAGGTTCGAAGCCAAGAGAGTTGCCTCCCAACTTTTTGGGGTGACGGCACGATGCTGCGCATTCAGGAGCTGGCAAGTTGCGTTTTTTTTGGGCCGGTCGTTTTGGCTTGCCAGGCGGATTCATCAGGAACCCGACAAACAAACCATCCTTTGTAGGAATTGTTTGGGGATTTGGGAAACCCCTTTTCTGGATTCCTTCCGTTTATTGAGAAGGGGAGGCGGGGGGTGTCATCATCAAAGAGGATTCGCGGCCAGGCCGAAGAAGCCACGGAAGTTGTCCAGGCGCGACATTCGGAATCCGGCCGCCGTGTCTTTAATTTTGCCCTTGACTGCTATTGGGTTGAATCTTGGCAAATCAAGGGGTTTTCCAATAAACCCCCAAACAGTTAGACTTTTGGCAGGGGGATCAACAGCAACCAAGTGCCCGATTCAGATGTGATTGTTGTTGCCCGTGAAACCGACGAGTTCGGGCGGTTTCCGGTTTGTCTTTAAAGACGACGTCACACAAGAAGCTGACAGGATTGCTGGGGGGGGGGTGTAAGAGGGAAGAGTATGTATAATGTGCCGGGGAGAGGTCTGGGCATCAACATCACACTGAGAGCTGGCTTTCAGGCAGATCTTGTATAGGAATTGATTTCATAAAATTGCAAATTCTAGTCTGAGAAATTAGCTTCCAGGGGAATTTGGTAGGAATTAAATTGCAAATGTTACAATTTTTACAAATTTTGCAAATTTTACAAATTAATTTGTAAAATTTGTAAAATATCAAAAAAATATGGCCCACAATTACAAATTTTACAAATTTTTATCAAATTAATTTGTAAAATTTGTAAAATATCAAAAACATCTGGCCCAAAAATACAAATTTTACAATTTCTAGTCTGAGAAATTAGCTTCCAGGGGAATTTGGTAGGAATTAAATTATAAATTTTACAAATTTTACAAATTTTACAAATTTTACAAATTAATTTGTAAAATTTGTAAAATATCAAAAAAATCTGGCCCAAAATTACAAATTTTACAAATTTTACAAATTAATTTGTAAAATTTGTAAAATATCAAAAAAATCTGGCCCAAAATTACAAATTTTACAAATTTTACAAATTCTAGTCTGAGAAATTAGCTTCCAGGGGAATTTGGTAGGAATTAAATTACAAATTTTACAAATTTTACAAATTTTTCAATTTTTTCAAATTTTATAAAATATCAAAAAAATCTGGCTCAAAATTACAAATTGTACAAATTTTACAAATTGATTTCTATATTTTGTAAAATATCAAAAACAATCTGGCAGAAAATTACAATTTTTACAAATTTTACAAATTCTAGTCTGAGAAATTAGCTTCCAGGGGAATTTGGTAGGAATTAAATTATAAATTTTACAAATTTTACAAATTTTACAAATTTTACAAATTAATTTGTAAAAATTGTAAAATATCAAAAACATCTGGCCCAAAATTACAAATTTTACAAATTTTACAAATTAATTTGTAAAATTTGAAAAATATCAAAAAAATCTGGCCCAAAATTACAAATTTTACAAATTTTACAAATTCTAGTCTGAGAAATTAGCTTCCAGGGGAATTTGGTAGGAATTAAATTACAAATTTTACAAATTTTACAAATTTTACAATTTTTACAAATTAATTTGTAAAATTTGTAAAATATCAACAAAAATCTGGCTCAAAATTACAAATTTTACAAATTTTACAAATTTTACAAATTTTACAAATTTTATAAAATTTGTAAAATATCAAAAAATCTGGCTCAAAATTACAAATTTTACAAATTAATTCATAAAATTTGTAAAATTTGTAAAATTTGTAATTTAATTCCTACCAAATTCCCCTGGAAGCTAATTTCTCAGACTAGAATTTGCAAAATTTGTAAATTTGTAATTTTGGGCCAGATTTTTTTGATATTTTACAAATTTTACAAATTAATTTGTAAAATTTGTAAAATTTGTAATTTTGGGCCAGACTTTTTTTGATATTTTACAAATAATTTGTAGAATTTGTAAAATTTGTATTTTTGGGCCAGATGTTTTTGATATTTTACAAATTTTACAAATTAATTTGATAAAAATTTGTAAAATTTGTAATTGTGGGCCAGATTTTTTTGATATTTTACAATTTTTACAAATTAATTTGTAACATTTGTAAAATTTGTAAAATTTGTAAAATTTATAATTTAATTCCTACCAAATTCCCCTGGAAGCTAATTTCTCAGACTAGAATTTGTAAAATTTGTAAAAATTGTAATTTTGTGCCAGATTGTTTTTGATATTTTACAAAATATAGAAATCAATTTGTAAAATTTGTACAATTTGTAATTTTGAGCCAGATTTTTTTGATATTTTACAAATTTTACAAATTAATTTGTAAAATTTGTAAAATTTGTAAAAAATGAAAAAATTGTAAAATTTGTAAAATTTGTAAAATTTGTAATTTAATTCCTACCAAATTCCCCTGGAAGCTAATTTCTCAGACTAGAATTTGCAAAATTTGTAAATTTGTAATTTTGGGCCATATTTGTTTGATATTTTACAAATTTTACAAATTAATTTGTAAAATTTGTAAAATTTGTAAATTTTGTAAAATTTGTAATTTAATTCCTACCAAATTCCACTGGAAGCTAATTTCTCAGACTAGAATTTGTAAAATTTGTAAAATTTGTAATTTTGTGCCAGATTGTTTTTGATATTTTACAAAATTTACAAATCAATTTGTAAAATTTGTAAAATTTGTAATTTTGGGCCAGAATTTTTTGATATTTTACAAATTTTACAAATTAATTTGTAAAATTTGTAAAATTTGTAAAATTTGTAAAAATTGTAAAATTTGTAATTTAATTCCTACCAAATTCCCCTGGAAGCTAATTTCTCAGACTAGAATTTGTAAAATTTGTAAAATTTGTAATTTTGGGCCAGATTTTTTTGATATTTTACAAATTTTACAAATTAATTTGTAAAATTTATAATTTTGGGCCAGATTTTTTTTTGATATTTTACAAATTTTACAAATTAATTTGTAATTTAATTCCTTCCAAATTCCCCTGGAAGCTAATTTCTCAGACTAGAATTTGTAAAGTTTGTATTTTTGGGCCAGATGTTTTTGATACTTTACAAATTTTACAAATTAATTTGATAAACATTTGTAAAATTTGTAATTTTGGGCCATATTTTTTTTGATATTTTACAAATTTTACAAATTAATTTGTATAATTTGCAAAATTTGTAAAAATTGTAACATTTGCAATTTAATTCCTACCAAATTCCCCTGGAAGCTAATTTCTCAGACTAGAATTTGTAAAATTTGTAATTTTGGGCCAGATTTTTTGATATTTTACAAATTTTACTTTGATATTTTACAATTTTTTCTAATTTCATTTGTAAAATCTGGAAATTTCTTTTTTTACACATGTACTTGCGAAATTTGTGAAATGCTTAATTGTTAACCATATTTGTTGGAATTTGGCATAGTTCAGAAACTAATCTGCAAAATGTGTATAACTTGTAATGTAACTCCAGCCAAATCTCCCCGGAAAGCAAATTCCCCAGAGTACGTTTCAATGTCAGCAAACATCCGATTTAGAATTACAAGCTGGATTTGAACAAACATTGCTCGGGGGTTGCAAATTGCACAAGCTAGTTTGTAAAAAGTCGGTCCAGAATTACACAAATTACAAGTAAAGGTGTGAACATTGTAAACTTGATAAAACTTGATCACCGTCCTTCCCTTATCGGCTTTTTTTGGGTCAAGTTTGTTTCATTTGGTTGAAGTTTGGTAAGGAAATGGGGAGGAAAGCATATTATCTTTTCATTTGGAATCTCTCTTTTCTGTTATTTCCATGTGTTTGTTTTTCTTTAGGATCTCGAATTCATACTCCTTTCTTTATCTTTCACTCTCTCCCCTGACCATTTCTTCCTACAATCAACTCAATAAACTAGGATGGAAAAGACAGGGATAAAGAAATAAACATAAGATAGGTAAAGGAGAGAGGACATCTTCTGTAACACGCTTCTTTTGGATAACTTTCATACCACACATACCTGATGGAGAAAGAGATGGAGAAAACCGTGCAAATAGAAAGACATGGAAAGGCTACTGGGATTGTGGGATGGATTCATTTGTATCTCAGAGATTTTATCGCATACCAGGTTAGACCAATCGATGAAGGTAAGGGAAAGGGAAAGGTGTGAAAGAACAAAGAATGATGAAGAACATCTTCCGCCCAGACATCACGCAGAATACGCCAGATAGCCTGTCCGTGAGACTTGGAGGATATGATGATTGAAGATTCCCTCACTATCCCTTTCCAGCCTGTCTTTGGGGCCTCTTCCAAATCATTGCCTGTTTCCTCTTGTCCATCCATCCTCATCCTTTATTTGCATTTATGGATGGGCAAGAAGTGACGAAAGCATTTGCAGGCAGTAATAATTACGGTAGAAAACGTAATATCCTCCCTTTCTTTTCAAAATCCTGTTTTATACAAGCTAACAACATAAAAAGGGCGCGAGACAGTTATGACAAAGCTAAAGATAATTATGGGTGGTGCTTACAGAAGCTATCTAATTTATTACGTGCTAATACATGCTTCTAATCTTAAAGCCATACTTACATTCCTCGTTCTTTTCTATTTTATTCTTCCCTTGTTGAGATTCATTACGCTATCTTTCTTTGTGAATGCTTTTGGCTGTCCGGTCGTCGCTGGGGCTCACCGAAAAAAAAAAGAGATTATGAGTAGGTCTTACTCATATTATTTTGCTTGTGTTTTACTATCTTTTGGACCTTTCATCCTTCCCCTTCTTCTGTTTCCCTTTTCAACCGTTGAAGAATGCCAGAAATCGAGGGGTGAAGGAAGGAGGGAGAAGCTAGCCCCCCCGTTCCTTCTTCTCCAACTGTATCGCAACCGTGCCATCTTTACCTTTCCCTTCCCCACTACGTTCTGGAGTTCTGTCACTACGAAAGACTCACGATGGAACAGTCTAAAAGTGGGACGAAGGAAGGGGATATTGGCTTTATTTTTGGTTTATTTGTAGAAAAATAAAGCCACTTTCCACAACCCGCTTCTTTCTGTAAAAACACAGATGGAAGAAGATGACCTTTCCTTTCCCGGCCCAGCCAATGCTTGTCATTTTCCTTGCCTTGTCTTTTACATTGCCATGTTTTGGAAATGAAGAAGTAAAGCGTCTGGCAAGGAGGTAAGCGCCCATCAATACTAATTGAAGATAACGAATTGGATGGGCACTTCCCATGTCTTTCTATCACTTCTTTCTTTCCTTTTGATGAAGTTGAAGATTGAAAATGGGAAGTGAGAGGCCTCTCTTGACTTCTTCCTCAAGCATAGGCTGCTGTTAATCTTATGCCGTGTGATGCTTGGGAAGAAGAAGAAGAAGAAGAAGAGAAGATAGGAGAGGGTGAGCAGAAGTAACGTGATTCTTTCTTTTCCTCCGATCGCATCCTGATTTTCCCATGTATGTCACCGACGTCCTTTCCTTGTCCAAGTCACGGAGGAAGAGGAACCTATTCTTGGTAATGATTAACTTTCTCTTCCAACCATCGTGATTTTCTTTACATCGCCAATTTTTTCAACCTCACACCCAGAAGCATTTCTATACTTCTCAGATAATATTGTAAATGGAAGACAACAAAGATAGACATTCAAGCAATAAATGGGATGGTAAACCGAAAGGCAATGATCTTAATAACGACATGTCCATCCACAAATGTTTCCTGGATGAAGTGGAAGAGATAGAAAGGGAAGGATACAAGCTCTCATCTGCTGGTTGCATTCTCATGTACTTGTTCACTTTGCAACCTTTCTACTTGTTTATCTATCTTCCCAATCTCTCTTTCTCTCTCTCGCATTGTAAACGTTGGAGGCATCTGGATGGGGGAAAAAACCCGGGGGGTAATAACAAATATGAAGAAGAGGAACTGGCTAACACTCCTTCTGCTCTCCCGTCTTTCGCGGCTATCAGGATTAGTAAGAATTACGAAAAAGGCCTATGAAGAAACATAATAGATACATAAATAAATAAATCAATAGGCAAATGACAGAACCAAGAACATGAAAGTAATAAAGAATGTTAATAAATGAAACTGTTTATTGGGAGACACATTATTCTTGTCCATCAAGAACCCTCTCCAACACAGTGAAAAACCTCGAGTGGACAATGATGGATATGTTAGAAAACGCAATAAGATAATAAAACGCAGTAAGCTATGAGATTACAACGATTCTGTAATTATTGCCTTTAAATTCACCCCGTGACCACTTCATCCCGTTTACACAAATATATTGGAGAAGATATTAGTGCATGATGAAGAATAAACACAAATTATAACCATAGATAGTTTGCTTGACTCTGAAGAGGCTGTTGGTCTTTACTCATGGAGTTTATTTAGTTGTATCTTCTTTCTGCTTTTGTTCTATTAGAATTTCCTTGCAAAATCTCTCACTCACTTCCTATTGTATCATTAGATATGTGCAATATTCTTGAGTTTTAGGTGAGAATGAAAAGGATATTAATAGTTCAAAGTTGCTGGAGAAGGACGGAACACTATTTACGAAAGGCTATTTATTTACTAGAATCTCATGAGTAATGTTAACTAATTTGTATCGATTGGGGTGTATTTCTCACCTTCTCTTTTTAAGGGGTTTCCTTTTGCCTCCCAAGCTAATACTTGTCAAATCCTACTGAATCAATCTTCATTAATAAAATCATGTTCATCGCTAGAAGTGACCGAAGGAAGTTAATAGTTTTCTCATCAGAATATTGCCTGTCCAAATAGAGTGATGAATGAAGAGACGCTTAACTGTTATTATTGCTTAAGTGACGTCTCACGGACAGGCTACGTCTCCAGACCCTTTTTTATATCTCTCTGATTGTTCTTTCCTTTTATGTTTATTTGACCAGCATTTGTTTACTATTTACTTCTTCCTCACTGACATTCGATCTTCTCTAACTCTGTTATCTGTTACTGTGGCTTTAATCATTTGATTAACATTGTCCTCTTTCCATTTCCATGCTCTATCTTGGTGAGCCAGCAAACGTTTAATTTAGAAAAAATATGGAAGTGATAGATAGGAGGACATCATTATTTGTTTCTATTAATACTACTTCACGAAGGTATACCGTGTGCTTTTATCACACACTCTCACAACCAAAGAGAGGATGTTCATCTGGCCTTCATCACCCCTCACCCCTTTTTTCTATTACTACAAACTAGCTGGTTCTTTCAGGGTGGGGCATGCCAAGACATTCCTTTCTACTCTTGGGATTGCACCAAAAGAGTCCGTGTGCAACAATGAGCCGTTCTGCTCTTGAAGGCGCGCGGCGGCACATTGTACGTAATCTTCCCTGCCACGGGGGGGGGGGGTTGGGGGGGGGGGGTGCACTTGTGAGGCCAAGCCCCGGGCTTTTGCCCATGAAGCAGTGCTCGATTGAGCAACGGTTAATCCGTTCCCCCTATTAATGAATGACCCCAATTAATAAAAAATCGAAATCCGAGGCCCGGGATTTCCACTCCGCTCAATTGATTTTTGCTTGAGCCAATACTAAACCCTTACTAAAGTCTTGGAATCCTTATTAGGGGGCACTTTTATCAAGCTTCCAGCCCTACTTTTAAAAAGGTGGGTTCCCCAAAAGGTTGTTTCCCCAAAAGGTTGGTTTTTTTCAAAAGGTTGTTTCCCCAAAAGGCGGGTTCCCCAAAAGGTTGCTGGCTGCAAACAAACAACCAGTAAACTAAAAAACAAACATAATGCTACATACAATTTCCTTATTAAACCGCTTACTCGCGGACCTTACATTTCAATCCATTTCCTCCAAATCCTATGTGAACCCTCACATGGTTGGAAAAACAAAAACACCCAACCCCAAAAACCCCAATTAAAATATATATATATATATATATATATATATTTGGGAGTTTTTTTTATAATTGGGGGGGTATATATTAATAGGGGGAACGGATTAAATGGGTGTGGGTCAAAATTAAGCACCAGGAATCGGACCGCAGGTTTTAGTCTTTGGTTCCATGTACCAGGGCAAGCCATTTTGCGAACCTATTTTTGACCCACAGCCAAATGAAGAACTTGATAGTTCTTTCGGGTTCCCATGGATTTTCGGGGGGGGGGGGGAGGGGGTACCCTCTTTCCTCCCGCGGAATTCACGATCCATCGCTTGTGGGTCCACTACCATTTCTTGATGCGTATCGGTTGCTGGGTATCGTTTTTGGTCCATGTCCTACCGTTGTAGTATACAATATGGCAGTGGCTCAAAATTAAAGAGCTAGGGTTACGCAGGTGTTGGTCCATGTTTCCACTTACCACGGTTCCACAGCCACATGATCCGCTGCTATTGACCACTGCGTAGGACTGGAGGCCTGCCAGCCACGACAGATTTCCAAGATTACCCGCGGGGATGCGTTGATCTGCGAAGATTCAACAGGATGTAAAATCGTCCCGGTTAGTTCTCTGCACCCGCCAAAGCCGGATGAATTGACAAAACATCTGGATTTCGGCAGGAAGAAGCTCAACATGTCGGTTGTGATTATCAAGTGGTGTATTCCCCTGATGCGAACCTCCTTGAAACATGCTAAGTTGAGGCACACCGGAGTGCAAATCGCAAGGATACTTTAGGCAAAAGTTCACGAAGCAATCACGTGAGATTTGGTGAACCATTCCAGGCAACCCTATTGGGGGTGGCTTAAACTGAAACGGCTGGGCTCGCACACGTGTCCGCCTCTGTTTCTAAGGTACCAAGGTGCCATTCGGGTAGCATGTTTGAGCCACAGCCATGTGGCTCGTTTGGGAGGGGCATGGGGCACTCAAACAGCTGCTTGCTACCTTGCGCCTGGCACGCATGTCCTTCACGTTTCGCGTGCCAGACATCGGCGCAAGCGGAAGCGCAGAAGCGAAAGGAGGAGGCAGAGAGGAGGAAGCAGGAAGCCATCGCCAAGAGGCAAGAGGAGGAGCAGCGCAGAAAGGACCGATGTGTTTTTTGTCTGGGCGAGACGTGGCGTGCTCGTGGGATGGGAGGGGCGCGTGACTGGTCCGACCGAAAAGCTCAGTTGGTCGTCAGTGTCTCACTTGAACATGGGATGAGTAAACAAGCGGGAACAGTCCAAAGGTGAATTTCAGAATGGCGTGGGTTCGTCTGAAAAGCGGTTCATTTCATCGGTCGCTGTCTTGCACTCGAGCCCTTTCTCTCGAGCAATCGGCCCTGTATTTCTGCAGCGGAGGCTTCCCCAGCGAGTTCCCGGGCAAAAAGCCTTAGGGTTCCTCAGGTCCAGAGCGCTCCCTAGAGCTCTTAGAGGCATCCACGGTTAAAATCGACGCTGAGCACAAGTGCCTATTTGTCCCCCTTGCGACTTTCAGCATCACCTGGGCCCATTTGCGGCGAGTTTCACCCTGGGTCGGGGTGATGCAAGGAGTTCCGCCCGCTCCATGGTTGCTCTTTTGGGACACATTTTGCATTTTTGCTTATTGTGTGTAGCGGTTGAAATCCAAACCCACTTCACTGCCAAAAGCCCTAAGCCTTAAGCCCTAAACCCTAAACCCTAAGCCTAAACCCTAAACCCGAAACCCTAACCCAAAATTTAGATTTTTGCTCCCCTTCCAACGTCAACCAAGGCTCCTTTCCCGCCGACCAGCGGAGCTCTCCGCCAGGAGGAGAACGAGCAGAAGCGCGCGGAGGCGCAGAAGCAGCGCGAAGAGGCGGAGGCGCGAGACTCGAACCACCGTGGCCCAAAGTGACAATTGTTGTTTCTTCTTTTTTTCTCCTTTTTTGTATTTTTATTTTTTTCTTTCGGTCTTTTTATTTTTTTTCTTTCGGGGGACCCCAAAGAAGAAGGTATACAGAATGGTGGTTATTTGAGAGGACCCCCCCCAAAAAAAAGAGAAGAAGAGAATGGTTAAACTAAACCACATACTAATAGAATGGTGGTTATCCTTTCGGGTTTCCTTGTGAAAACCCCAAAAGTACCAACTCCAGACTCTAAAAGACACACCAAACAGAGGGGCCCGACCTCCAGTGGCGACCTTTCTCTTGTTTTTTGGGGAGGGGGCATCTACCAAAAGAGAGCGCCCTTTTCTTCCCAGTGGCTGCATCTTTTGGTTTTCCTTCTGTATATATTTTGCGACGGTAGACTGGCAACGCAATCAAATTAAACACTGTTGAATTTTGCCACGAGACACAGGCTTTCGGATCTTTCCCAGAGAAGACTCGATGGGACCTTTCCAAGTCCAAACCCCTTGTGTCAGCTTCTATTGTCGGAGAGAGGGGTAATTACCCTTAAGGCGTTTTTTGCCCCTACTTGAAGGGGCGATCGACTGGTACTTCAGGGTTAGTAAGCCTGGCTCTAATCCACCGTACAGACCCACGGAACGGAGACATCTCGCCGTGGCTTTTTTTTCCCCAGGCTTGCTACCCACCTGACGTACATCGACGTCTCGATCGCGCCTTTTCTGGCGGGGGAAAGTCGACTGGCCAGGCCCGAAGAAAGGAAGCCGCGGAGCAGGCGAAGGCCGAGGCCGCCAAGAAGAAAGAGGAGGCGGAGAAGGCGGGCGAAGTTGGTTTGAGCGATTCGGCTCGACTCGACTCGACCTCGACTTTCGACTTTCGACTCGACGGGAAGAAGGGAAGTGGATCTTGGGGCGAGACATGGGGAGACATGTTTTACATTTTCGGATATGGTGGTGTCCCTTCCAACGTCAACCAAAGTTTCTGGTGCGATAGGGAGGGAATGAAATAGGGAAGAAAGCCAGTTGTTTTGGTCCCTTTTGAAGGAAACCACCAGTTGGATGGTTTATAGGGCTCGGTGAAGGACACGGCCAGTGGGATGGTTGATAGGGGAACGACCCCACAGTCCATACCGAGCACCAAGGTTTGAAACGTTGAGTCAGGTAAGCCTTAGCTGGTGGCTTGGAGCGTGGGAACTGGATTTGAACCCCTTCTTGTAGAAGGCAAATGGGTGTGGCTCAAAAATAAACAGGAGGGGCAAACCGCAGGTTTTGATCCCATGTTTTGACTTAGCAGCTTCCTTTTTGGTAGTGGTTTCTTAGGCCACTGTTATATGAGAGGCTGAGTGCGGTTCCGATGTTTTGGTTTCCAGGTGAAGCCCCGTGAAAAACCAGCCACCTGGGCCCTGAGAAAAACTGAGCGACCCATGGGGCAAGATGGCCGACTTGGAACGAGGAGACCCTGGCCCGCTGCAAAGGGCAACCAAATTGAGGCTCAGACAAGGGGTTCGCCCAACTCTGCCCTTTGGTTGCGAAAAGTGCTGAAGCCATGCTCAAAAGCAAGCTAAAACAAGGAAACACCAAGAAGGAAATCACATGTTGAAACAGGCGGGGCGATTCGGTCCTTCAGTCAGATGGCACCTTAGGGAAACCCAAAGGCGGTTGTTTGGACGAATGTTTCAACAGGAGGTTGGCAAACCCTGAGGCACGCGCAGAGGCCGAAGCCAAGCGAAAGGAGGAGGATGAGAAGCGTAAGGCTGAGGCCGAAGCCAAGCGCAAGGAGGCAGAGGAGAAGCGGAAGGAAGCTGACGAGGTCAGGAAGCAAGCTGAGGCCAAGAAGAAAGAGGAGGCGGAGAAGGCTCGAGCTGAGGCCGATGCCAAGAAGAAGGCTGAAGAGGAGACGCGCAAGGCAGAGGCGGAGCAAAAAAAAGCCGAGGCTGAAAAGGCTCGAGCCGAGGCTGATGCAAAAAAGAAGGCTGAAGAGGAGAAACGCAAGGCAGAGGCGGAGCAAAAGAAGGCCGAGGCAGACAAGGCTCGAGCCGAGGCCGATGCAAAAAAGAAGGCTGAAGAGGAGCAGCGCAAGGCAGAGGCTGAGAAAAAGAAAGCCGAGGCAGAAAAGGCTCGAGCCGAGGCTGATGCAAAAAAGAAGGCTGAAGAGGAGAAACGCAAGGCAGAGGCGGAGCAAAAGAAGGCCGAGGCAGACAAGGCTCGAGCCGAGGCCGATGCAAAAAAGAAGGCTGAAGAGGAGCAGCGCAAGGCAGAGGCTGAGAAAAAGAAAGCCGAGGCAGAAAAGGCTCGAGCCGAGGCTGATGCAAAAAAGAAAGCTGAAGAGGAGCAGCGCAAGGCAGAGGCGGAGCAAAAGAAGGCCGAGGCAGACAAGGCTCGAGCCGAGGCCGATGCAAAAAAGAAGGCTGAAGAGGAGCAGCGCAAGGCAGAGGCGGAGAAAAAGAAAGCCGAGGCAGAAAAGGCTCGAGCTGAGGCTGATGCAAAAAAGAAAGCTGAAGAGGAGCAGCGCAAGGCAGAGGCGGAGAAAAAGAAAGCCGAGGCAGAAAAGGCTCGAGCTGAGGCCGATGCCAAAAAGAAGGCTGAAGAGGAGCAGCGCAAGGCAGAGGCAGAGCAAAAGAAAGCCGAGGCAGAAAAGGCGCGTGCAGAGGCACGTGCAGAAGCTGAGGCAAAGAAGAAAGCGGAGGACGAAAAGCGGCTAGCTGTTGAAGCCGAGAAGAAGGCGGCGGCAGAAAAGGCGCGTGCAGAGGTAGAGGCCAAGAAGAAGGCTGACGAAGAGGCCCGGAAGGCAGCAGAGGCCGAGAAAAAGGCCGCAGCAGAGAAGGCGCGAGCAGAGGCGGAGGCCAAGAAGAAGGCTGACGAAGAGGCCCGGACGGCAGCAGAGGCCGAGAAGAAGGCTGCAGCAGAGAAGGCGCGAGCAGAGGCGGAGGCCAAGAAGAAGGCTGACGAAGACGCCCGCAAGGCAGCGGAGGCCGAGAAGAAGGCTGCAGCAGAGAAGGCGCGAGCAGAGGCGGAAGCCAAGAAGAAGGCTGACGAAGAGGCCCGGAAGGCTGCAGCAGACAAGGCGCGAGCAGACGCGGAGGCTAAGAAAACGGCTGACGAAGAGGCTAGGAAAGCAGCAGAGGCCGAGAAGAAGGCGGCAGCAGAGAAGGCGCGAGCAGACGCGGAGGCCAAGAAGAAGGCTGACGAAGAGGCCCGGAAGGCAGCAGCAGACAAGGCGCGAGCAGACGCGGAGGCCAAGAAGACAGCGGATGAAGAGGCCCGGAAGGCAGCAGAGGCCGAGAAGAAGGCTGCAGCAGAGAAGGCGCGAGCAGACGCGGAGGCCAAGAAGAAGGCTGACGAAGACGCCCGCAAGGCAGCAGAGGCCGAGAAGAAGGCTGCAGCAGAGAAGGCGCGAGCAGACGCGGAGGCCAAGAAGAAGGCTGACGAAGAGGCCCGGAAGGCAGCAGCAGACAAGGCGCGAGCAGACGCGGAGGCCAAGAAGACAGCGGATGAAGAGGCCCGGAAGGCAGCAGAGGCCGAGAAGAAGGCTGCAGCAGAGAAGGCGCGAGCAGACGCGGAGGCCAAGAAGAAGGCTGACGAAGACGCCCGCAAGGCAGCAGAGGCCGAGAAGAAGGAGGCAGCAGAGAAGGCGCGAGCAGAGGCGGAGGCCAAGAAGAAGGCTGATGATGAGGCCCGGAAGGCAGCAGAGGCTGAGAAGAAGGCGGCAGCAGAGAAGGCAGCAGAGCAGGCACGTGTGGAGGCAGAGGCCAAGAAGAAGGCTGATGACGAGGCCCGGCAAGTAGCAGCAGAGAAGGCGAAGGCGGAGGCGGAGACCAAGAAGAAGGCTGACGAAGAGGCTCGCAAGGCAGCAGCAGAGAAGGCCAAGGCTCAGGCAGAGGCCAAAAAGAAGGCTGACGAGGCAGCCAGGAAAGCAGCAGAGGCGAAGAAGAAGGCTGATGCAGAGAAGGCAAAGGCAGACGCTGAAGCCAAAAAGAAGGCGGCCGAGGCGGGTTGGGCTTCTTTTTTAGAAAGAAAACAATTTCAGGTAGTCTACGGCCCATTTGGGGGGGTATTGGGGGCCCTGCACCCTTGAGAAGTTAATGTTAGTCACAAACAACAAGTGGGCGTTTTGTTTGGCGAATCCACATAGGAAGTAGCAATTGCTTTTTAGTTCTTCGTGTGCGCATGTGTTTGAGTTTTTGAGGATCCCTTCAAACATTTTCTATCAAAAAAAACAAACGGACATCCGAAACCCATTCTTGATGTTTCAATCCCTATTTTGACACATACCCAGCTGCATATTCGTCTTGGTTTCCCTTTAAACCCACGTGTAAAAGGGTACTGCGCCTCAAAGAACCAAACTGCACTCTGGTTTAGCCTTCTGACACATACTGCACAAACCCTCCGTGTCTTTTTTCCCAAACCCTCACTTCATACCCAGCCCCTCGAGGTTCCACCCCCCCAAAGGAAACACCAGGCTGAACAAAGCCCTCCCAGAAGCTTTTTTTTTTAAACAAAAAAACAATCAGAAACCGAAGGAGAACGTTTGACCCCCCCTCCCAAAAATACATAACAGAAAGGAGTTGAACAAGTTCTCGAACCAAAGGCTTCCGGTTTGGGACCCCGCCTTCCCCAGCCCAAAGCCCAATTCAACCTCTGCTTTGGCCAAAGCCTTTCCCAAAGCCGTGGAAGAACGCTCCGCTCCGGGTACCGTCGCCTTTTTTTTCGGCACTCCACGCGCCCAACGCGCCCAGCGAGTGACCGCACCCAACGCGCCCGCCGAGCCACGGCGAGCCACGGCCGGGCTCGCCAGCGCGAGAGTCGCGAGGACGCCAAGAAGGAGGCGGAGGCCGTGAAGCGGGCGGAGGCGGCGCGAGCTGCCGCGCTGGCGGAGGCCCAGCAGCGGGCGGAGAAGGCGCCCGCGCGGGACGGACGTGGGCAGGGGGTGGCGTGGTTGGGCTTTGAGTCGGGAATCCGGGGTATAGTAGTTAATTTTTGAGTGGGAGAAACCAACAGAACCAAAGGGGTGGGTTTCTAGAAGGGAAGAAAGACAAGGACTTGTCACCTGTCCGGATTGGTGACAGAGGTGGTTGTGACCCTGGCAAAAGAGGCCAAAAGGGTCGCCTCAACTCAGTGAGTAGAAGGAGGGCGCCAGAAGAACCTTGAACGGTTGTCGTTGGGAAACATTTTGCGTTTTTGCTTATTGTGGTTTAGTGGGAAATCCCCACTTGTCTGTTAAAAGTCATTTGTTTGCTTCCCTTCCAACGTCAACCAAGCTTAGTTGCCAAAGTCAGGCGAAGCCACGCAGCTACAGCGCGCCGGTCTTGGCCCTCGCCTCAGAGATCCTGGGGATATGCTCGGATGTTAGGACTTTAACTTTTTGCCAACTAATGGGTTTTCCATTAAACCACTAAAAGTCAAGCTTTTAGAGGGGAGCAGAAAGCAACCGAGCTGGCTAGAGCGCGTCGTTTTGCTTTTTCTTTTTGTTTAGTCGAGTCGGTACCCAATTTGTTGTGGCTTTGAAGGAAAGCCAAAAGAACAACCAACGCCAACATAACAACCTCAATTTTAGGGGGTCCCCTAACAAAGAGACACCGATTTGGCTCTTTGCCCCTGTTACCAACACATGTCCGCATTGGCCACAGATATGGAACGTCCAAACTTGGCCGACCATGAGCAGGCTCGGGCATGCAGAACTCCACAGCACAAATTTGACAACGGGTTTGGTCAAGCCCCCCAATTTCTCGCACTTTGATCAACATTTGCTCAGGGATCAAATGCTTGGGCTCAAATGTGACCGAAGCTAGCGCCGAAGAGCGACGAAGAAAGGTACACGAAGCTTTCGTGCATGCAAAAATGCATAGAGTTTGGAAGTTTTAACACAATGACTGAGTGTCATACAATCTAGGCGACCCTTCCATTCAATGGCTTGTGCATGTTCAGGCCCCGCAAAAAAAGGGGGCAGAAGCCAAAAACGCATCCAACAGGGAGTCTGACTTTTTTGAGACGCTTGATTCAGATGGGTTTTATTACGAGACTGCCGGTGTGGTCGACTCCTAGTATATGGGTATGTGTCAACCAGTTCTTGACCCCAAATGGTGGGTGTCCCTTTGGTTTCCCTTAGAACCTACCCCCAAGCCGGGTAATGTTGATCCCATATTCATCACCCCCAGTTTTTTAAATAGGCGAGCGGGGGCCCTTCAAAAGTGGTCCGCTTCCCCACATTCGCCCAAATCAAAAGCAGCAAAAGCTCCCAACGAGCTGGGCTTGAAACTCATTTGGGGTCATCGCTATCCCTGCTATCCCTGCTATCCCCCCCAAAAAAAAACAAACAACATTTGGAGTCCACACTAAAAGTGCTTGACCCCCCAAAAACCACAAAAAGCGCTTGGCCCCGCAAAAAAGAAAACACCCCAAAAAGCGCTTGGCCCCCGCAAAACAAAAACAACTCGGGCGGGCTTCTCCTTTTGGGAAACCACCCCCGTCGCGTCGGAATTCCCCCGGAATCCCGAGGGCCGGGGCTCGAAGCCCCAGGGCGTGGCCCGGCGCTTGGCAGGGTCGGGGAACGACCCTGCGGGTAATCCAGGACAACAAGCGATCCTAACCGCAACTAGGGTATAGGGGTACGAAAAGTCAGACCCATTGGCCATGGCAGTGGATGGCTCTAACTTCCTGTGGCTCCTTACCAGATCTCCATTTTTGCAACCATTTGAAACATGTGGCTTGTTCAACACCAAAATGAAGGTTGAAACCAGCATTTGCAAGGCAATGTCCAGGTGTACCATGTAAGGATCCCTGTAATTAATCAAAATAATTAAAAAAAAAGACAGAAGACAACCGCGAGCCAGGGGTGGGGGAGAAACAAAGAGGCGATCGCTGGAAGAAATATGCAGTTAGTGGAAGAAGAGCAGGCAGAGGTGGGGGTTTTGGGGCTTTGGGGCTCCAGTTTCCCTGTGAGACTTCCATGAGGATGTGACTTTCCTGGAACATTGGGCGGTTCAAGCCTCGCAAACTGGTTGTAAGCCGATGGGATTTGCCTCGGAAGCGATTCGGTCGCGTTGGAACTTCAGACATGGCGGGAGTTGCCAGTCTCAGCGATCTTGATTGGCACATCGGAAGAGCGGCTAGCCCCAGAAGTGCCCTTCTCTCCCCTTTTTTGGGGGGGAGGGTTCCCCTGCTAAAATAGACCAAACCGAAGAAATGGGTACCCTTCTTCTAGCCTCGCTACTGGAGGAGGTGGGATCCTTCTACCATGATCCCAAGTCTCGGGCCCAAGGGCCCGGGCGAAACGCCCTCGGCGAAGGGGTGAAAGTCTTTGCGCATTTCTCGTCCAGCCGACCAGGAGGAGCATCTTCAACGCCAGAAACCAGGGGGATCAAGACAAAATTCAGCATCATTAGACTTTCCTGGGGGTGGCAGTCAGAAGCCAGCAGGGTTCCACGCCAAACTTCCGGAACTGCGTCGGTTACTTGTGGTCGCGTACCAAGGAAGCGATTGGAATTTCCAGGATGAATCGTTCGGGTTGGGAGCGGGATGACTGTCTCCCGTGTCTCATGCACTTATTTGTCTCTTTCCTTCCAGTGAGGACCCTTTCCCAATCAACTGGAATGATGTGGTTCCCCTGGTTGTAGCTGCTCGCTCTGTCTCTATCTCTCTATCTCTCTCTCTCTCTCTCGTTAAAATTCGTCGTTACTTTACTACAAGTGCAAGTGTTGTTTATGCTGTCACAAACACAAATGTAGTTTCCCAGCATGCGCTCTTTTGCTTGTAGACTCAAGGCCTGCGGTCGAGTAGTGTACATCATGCATGTACAAGGGACAAGTAGTACAGCATGATATTTGACACGGCCCCTTGGTTAAAAGACCCTGTAGTGTCTTTTCAACCATATCCAGAAAGGGGAGAAAGTGCAAAAGGCTCAAAGTAGTTTTGACTGCAAAAGGATCGAAAGTAGTATAACTACAACTCTGCTGGCTGTAGTCCACTGACTCTCAAAGATCCAAAAAAGCTGTAGTATGTACAGGCTGATCTCAGTAGCTCTCCTGTTCAGGCCTCAGTAGTGGTACTGAGTGGAGTTCATGAGATACATCCCGATGTAGTTTGGACCTGGAGGTCCAAAGTTGTAGTGAAGCTGTGGTGCTGCTTCACTGATGTAGCATCACCTGTAGTTAGGTGTGCTTAGTCCAATGCTGGACTCTGTAGCCTTGTTGCTGACCAGTGCGGTGGTCAAGGCTGGCGTAGTGGTTGGTAGTGAAGGTAGTAAGGAAGTCAGGGCCTCCTCGAAGACAAGTGTAGTTGATCTCTGGAGGTGGAAGTGGTTGTTGAAATGTAGTGAGGAGTTTGTGTAGTAGTAGTTTGTGTTGCATGGGAAGATTTGTGGCAGTGAGTAGTGTGAATCCGTAGTACGTGGAACTCTTGTGCATGATGGTGTTGATTGCTTTGTAGTGGTGATCCTGTAGTTGTTGTGGTTGGTCGTAGTAGCTGAGTAGTTCAGGAAGGTGAAGAGGCATGTGGTAGTTCCAGATGTAGTTGTTGGACAGGTTGAAGGTATTGATGATCTGGTTCATGTCGCAGTTGATCCTGTGAAGTCGTTGGGGTAGTTGCCGAGTGGGTAGGTGATGTTGGCCAATGATTGACACCATGTGACTCAAGTAGTCACGAGAAAAGTTGATGAGGTGGCCGCTGCTGATGTAGTGTAGCAAAATTTCTTGAGGGAGATGAAGTCGAACGATGACCATGGAGTTGGTGTGCGATGTGGTGAGGTGTAGTGAAGTCAAGTTGTAGTAAAAGAAGTTGAACGCTTCTGAAAAGCGTAGGCTGAGTGGTAGTGAATCGTAGAGGGGCATTCGTAGGTCTGATGGCAGGTTGTGGATGGGCAGTTGGTAGTCGAGGTCTGGCATTGGCGTGGTCTGCTGTTGGCTGAGTAGTTGATACTCCTCCAAGGTCAGCCCCACGTAGACCTCGGCGTAGTTTCGTCCCTGATGCACAGTCGGAGTGTGGATACTGTCGTACTCGACAGTAGTTGGTGGTTGAAGTGGTAGTTGAGGGCATTGTAGGCCTCATCAGGTGGCGGAGGTGCCACAGAGACCATGCTGCTGGCATCTGTAGTGGATGGTTGGTTGGGTGGTGTCGAAACTCGGTCAGGTGTAGTAGTGCCAATCTGCTGTGCTGGCACAGTAGTCTCAGGCGCGGTCGTAGTCGCATCCATGGGTCCAGACATTGCTGGTAGTGCGATCAAGCAAACGAAGTGAGACGGGGCAAAGTAGTGAGCCAAATGGTAGCTCACAAAAACACATGCGGGAATGTAGTAAAACAAAACAACATGTAATGTTGTCTCAAGCCGCCAAAAGCCGCCAAAGCGTGTAAGTGCAAATTACTGGTGGTTACAACTACTGTGACTTGTAGTTACTGTTACTATTACTTACATGCAAGTAGTTACATATGGCCATATACAAACTGTTGTGGTTGATGTGAAATAGTTGTGAAACAGTTGTTGTTCGTAGTGCTAAACGCGTATGCCGATGCTCTGTATGAGCCTCTGTAGTGTTTCTTTGCTGATGTATTTTGTGAACAAGTCTGAGCTGTTGTGTAGTGTGTTGATTTTGAGGATTCTGATGATGTCGTGCTTGATGAGGTCTTGTGTGTAGAGAAATTTAAGGTCGATGTGTTTTGCTCGTTTGCTAGTGCCTTGTCGTGTAGCAATGCTCTTGCCTGCTGTGGAGTCTGTGTGGATGCGTAGGTTTAGCTTGCTGCAAATGTTGGTTTCAAGTAGGAAGTTTCTGAGGTGTAGTCCCTCATTAACTCCTGTGCAAATGGCGTAGAGTTCAGACTCTGCTGAGCTGAGTGCTATTGTAGCTTGTGTTCTGCTGCCAAATGCAACTGTTGTTCCTAAAAAGATGATGTTGAAACCTGAAGTTGATTTCCTGGTAGTAGGGCATCCTGCCCAGTCGGCATCGACATGAACGTCGAGATCCAGGATGTTGTTGGTGTTTGCTCTGAGTGTTGTTGTTGGTTCTATGGTGAATTTGTAGTGCTTGGTGCCGTGCAAGTAGCGTAGTAGATGTTTGACTCTCTTTTGTGAAAGTTCTGTAGGTGCTGTGAGGTCTCGTGCTAGTTCTTTTGTGGAGTATGCAATGTCTGGTCGTGTGTATGCTAACCATTGAAGTTTGCCAACAATCCTTCTGTACCTTTTGTGTTGTTCGTGGTCAAGTAGTGCTTCATCTTCTATTGTTGGTTTGTAGTGTGCAATTCCTGGAGTGTTCACTGAGTTGCAGTTGTTCATTCCAGACTCCTCGATCATGTTGTCGATGTAGGAGTCCTTTAGTCCAAGATTGCAGTAGTTGCCAAAGTGGTCGATGTTTCTTCCAAGAAATTGTTGTGGTTTGCCAGGTTCGAGGTAGCCGATGTGCTTGAGTAGGACCTGCTTCTGGATGGCCTCGAAGGTGGAGTCGACTGTAGTCTTGTCACCAAGTACCAAGAGGTCATCCACGTAGACCATGATGTAGCAGTCGCGAGTCGCATTGGTGTAGACGTTAGGTTCTGACTTTAGTCTTACAAAGCTGAGCTTTTGTAACACTTCAGCCAGGTAGTCCTGCCATGCTTTTGGTGAACTGCGTAGTCCATACATGGCTTTCTTTAGTCGCCAGATTTTGTCCTGTTGTGGACAAAGTTCTTTAGGTGGCCAAAGGTAGACGTCACGTTGTTTACCGTCGTGGTCTTTTGCGATGGGTGCGTGTAGAAATGCTGTAGAGACGTCACCTAGTCGCGCTATCCAGTTTGGTCGTGACATTTGTAGTGCGAGAAGTGTCCGGAGTGTCGTGAACATTGGTGTAGAGGCGTAGACGGAGTCTTCGTCCTCGATCTTCTCTGTGTAGCCTTTTGCGACGATTCGGCTTCGTACTCCTGGTCCTTTCTTTCTGTGTACCCATCTTGTAGGTATCGCTTCTCTGATGACGTTGTCGTCGACGGTAGACGCATCTACTTCGTCGTAGACGTCATGTAGTTTCATTTGGTTTGACTCGTGTTTCATTCCTTCCAGTAGTTGTGTTTCGTCGTAACCTTCGTTGTCGAAGATTATGGGTTGGTCTTCTGAGGTGTCGTCGTTTGTGTAGGGGGTGATGGATTTTCCGTTGGGAAGTGTCACTGCGTTGATTTTCTGTCGTAGTGGTGGTGGTTCTTTGGTTGCTTGCTCCGTTGATCTGATTGTAGTGTCCTTTGAGGTCTTCTGTGCTTTAGTTGGTTGCATTACTTCTTCCGGAGTTAAACGTCGTAGTGCTTGTCGAGGTGGTGCTGGTAGTCGTGGATGTTGTCGTCCGGTTGGTGAAGTAGCCATCGGACTATCCGGTAGTGGTCGTGAACTTGACGTCGATGTTGACGGAAGTCGTGGAGGTGGTGTAGTGCGTTGTTGTTTTGTTGCGGGTTCCGCAACGATGTCGTCAGTCGCGTTCGTTTGTTGTCCGAAATCTTGCGTGGACCTTCTTTTCTCTGACGGTTGTAGTTGCGTATCCAACAGTGTTGCGAACGAGTTGTAGGTGTTCCGTCGTGGTGCCCATGGTGTGCCGGAAACTTTGTTCAACAGTGCGAGGTCGTATTTGAAGTCCGGTAGTAGTCTCCGTACTGTTCGTACTTTTCGTACGCCTGATTCCGTTGCGACGTAGTTTTCTCCGGTTTCGGAAACTTTTCCGAGCCAGATGCATTTCTGCATCCGTAGGTCTGCTTTTGGAAGTTTCTTGTGTTGTGGTGGAAGGTAAAGTAGTGTCTCGCCAAATTCGCAGATTGCTCGCTCGTAGTTTCTTCCCCAGCGGCGTTCAAAGCTTGTGTAGCCGTCTGAGTGAATGACGTAGCGATTTACCGTCCATGCTGCATGTCGTACTATCCAAGGTAGTAGACAGTGCTTTGTGGACATCGTCATGCTGTAGTTGCTTTCAACCTGAGCTTTGACGACGCGGATTTGTCCGAGAAGTGTTCTATGTAGTCGCTCAACGCTTCCTTGACTGTTGCTGCTGTAGGATGGTGAATGTCGTACAGTCATTGAGCCGACTTTAGATGCTGTTGCTTTTAGTAGTGCATTGAGTGTGTCTTCGTTGTCGCTTTGTAGTATGCCTTGTGTTCTTCCGCATTCAAAGATGAATGCTTGTAGGTTGTTGACCATGTAGTCCATCATTGATGGTTTGTCCGGAACCAATACCGCCATGCACAGTTGTGTAGTAACACCAACTGCTGTTAAGACTGGTATGGTCTTCGGATCTTGTTGTGATTTGATGTAGGCAAAATCCACTTGGATGATAGGTTGTCGTGATTGTTGTTTCTTGTAGTTGTCCTGGCGTCCTTTGCCTTGAACGCAAATTGGACACCAATTTCTGTATGGCAGGTGTGTCAAGTTGTGTTCTGCTATTTGTTGTGGAGTGGGCTGCTGCGGTTGTCGTAGTGCTATTGCTCTGTGTGCTTCATGATGCTCGTGTTGTTGTTCCTCATCGTGGCTCTCCTGGATGTACTCGTAGTCTTTCTTCACGGTGAACCTTGTTGTTCCTTTCCATTGAAACGGTAGTGCTGCGTTGCCTATGACTGTCCAGTCATCTTGCGTTGCGAAACTTCTCCAAAGTGGTTGTGAGTGATTGTAGTTCTGTGAGGTTCAAGTGTGCTGATTGGTGGATGTCCTGGTCCATCTGTTGGAGTGAATAGAGTTGTTCTGTGGATTGTCTCCTTTGGTTGTGTGGTGTCAAGATTTGTAGAAGGTGCTGCTTTAGGTCTCCATATCTTTTGTGGTGCTCGTAGTTGGATCTTTGATCTGGTTGGTGGTGTGTCCATTAGCCGTTGTGGTTGTGAGCTCTGCCTTGTTGGTGTGGTCTTTGATGTTGCTCTGCGTGTAGGTGTTATCTTTCTTCTGAATCTGGTTTCTCCAGTCCAGTTGTCACCTTCTAGTCTTCGTTGTAGTTCTTGCTTGGAAAGTTGTGTTGGGTTCTCTTGTAGTTGTTCTTGCTCTTGCCCTTGTCTGTTGATGATGGTTAGTCGCCAATCATCTAGTTCTCCTTCAGGTATTGGGCAACCGCTGTTGTGTGGTGTGAATAATGCTTTGCGTGGTCGTTTGTGTACTCTGATGGCGTAGTCACCATCAAGTTTCCAGTAGTCAGTGTTTCCACCAAGGATCTGTCGTAGTCCTTGGTCTGTGTGGGTGAGTGGTGCAATGTGTTCTTGTTGTTGTACTGTTTTCTCTGTAGGTTGAATCACAGCAATGGATTTTCCATTGTCTGTAGTCATTGGGTAGATGTCGAATCCTGTAGGGATGTCGATCTTCTCTGCTCGTAGGTAGAAAAGTCCTGAGTGTCTTATGAGGTGTGCTTGTTGTTGTCCATGTGTGATGGTGCAGTGTCGTGGAGTGAAGTCAAGTCCATATCCTCTATCAAGTAGTCTTGATGCACTGAGGATTGGATACTTCACATCACAAACGTAGTAGGGTATCATGATCCTGAAGTTGTCCTGCTTGTAGGGAACGTACTTGATGCCGTAGACAGGAATCTTCTTGTTTGTAACCGTGTAGAGTTGTGGAACCGATTCTCCACAAGGTCGTAGCGGTAGGTCTGGTGCGTAGTCCTTCGGGCAAACATGTGTAGATGCTCCTGAGTCGATCAACAGGTGGTGGTATGACTTGAAGTTGGAGTACATGATGTAGTGTGTGATAGTGTCCTCAATCTTCTTGTTCCTTTGTTGTTGTCTTGCTGCTGCTATGTCAAAGTGTGGCTGTGTGTTGTCTTCTTGTAGGAATTGTTGAAAGCTCTTGCTGTGGTCGTTCCATGATGTTGTGTGTGTTGTTCTCTTGCCAAGTAGTGATTTGGATTTGTGCTTGTGTAGTCGTGAGTTTGCTTGTCTGATGTGTCCAATGGTGAGGTGTGACTCGTTGATGCCTCCAATGTAGTTTGCTGTGTCCTCATAGCTGTTGTCATTCCAATCCCAGCTGTTGTCATAGTCGTAGTCGTTCCAGTTCTCCTCCATGTAGTTCACCTTGTGTTGTCCTTCTTCTCCTTCGTAGTACCAGTCCCAAGTGTCGTTCACATCCTGAGGTAGTTCTTCATTGTTGTCATGATCTGCTTGTTCTTGTTCTAGTGGATGTAGTTCTTCTCCTTCTCCTATGTGCCATACTGGCACTCTGCAGTCTTGTGCCCAGTGGCCAGGCTTGCCACATCGATGGCATGTTGTGTAGTTGTTGTTTCCTTTTCCTTTTGATTTGCTGTAGTTTCCTTGGCCTTTGTAGCCTTTGCTTGATCCATATCCTTTGGATCCTGAGTAGCCTTTTCCTTTGCTCTTGTTGTATCCTCCTTTGTTGTAGTTTCCTTTGCTGCCTTTGTCGAATCCTTTGTAGTGGCCTTTGTTTCTGTACTTGCCTTTTCCTTTGCTTCCTTTGTAGGACCCTTTGCCTCCATATTTGCTTTTGCCTTTGTAGTTTCTTCCTTTCCTCCAAATGTTGTCCACGTCCATGGGTGCTGTTCCACCATTGTAGTTTGTGCCAACCGCTGAGCTCGCTCTTGAGAATGCAGATATGGTCTTGTAGTAGTCCAGGATGACAACTGTGATCTCGTTGTAGTTCGTGATCTGTCCAGCACGTAGTTGGAGATGTTGTTGAAGTGCTCCTTTGGTCTTGTTGAGTAGTATTGCAATCTTCACTCCATCTGGTAGTGCTGTGCCGTTGTCTTTCTCGTAGCGGTTGATGTCATACTCCCACTGTAGGAATTGTTCTTCAAATTGTGCTTCATTGAATGTAGGTTCCAGTAGTTTGGTGAGCGTAGTGTTTCACATCCATTGGCATTGTAGCGGTTTTGTCTGACCACTGTAGCTGCTGCACCTTGGCAGATGTTGATGAGGATGTAGTGTAGATCTCGTGAGAGGTCTACTGCTTGTGCTGCCTGTGTAGGGTCGCGTATGTGGGCTCTGATGTCTGCATCTTCAATTTGTCTTGTAGCTGCTTGTGCTAGTTGTAGTACCATGTCGAAGTCTCGGTCGATGAGTCCGAGGTATGCTTGTAGTTTGAACAGCCACTCTTCGTACTGTGAGTAGTCACCAGTGAAGAACGGTGGTGGCAGTTTGTATTTGTGTAGCCTTTGGACGTCTTCCTGCTCCTGTGTTGTTCCCGTAGTTGTGGCTCCTCTTGTCTCCTCTGCTGTGGGCCCGTTGTCTGCTCCTGTAGTTGGTTGTGCTGATGCTGCTGCTGGTTCTCCTGACATGTCGTAGTAGTTGGGCATGTGGTTGCCTGTGCAGTTGTAGTACTTACTGCTGCTACTGGAGCTCCCCTATGTTTAGGATCTCAGCTCCGCTACCACGTTAAAATACGTCGTTACTTTACTACAAGTGTAAGTGTTGTTTATGCTGTCACAAACACAAATGTAGTTTCCCAGCATGCGCTCTTTTGCTTGTAGACTCAAGGCCTGCGGTCGAGTAGTGTACATCATGCATGTACAAGGGACAAGTAGTACAGCATGATATTTGACATCTCTCTCTTTCACTCTTTTTTTTTTCTCTCTCTCTCTATTTATCAATCGCAATCTTAATCTCAATGTCTCACTCTCTCTCTGTTTTTCTTTAAGTATTGTTTATGTCTTTCTTCTTTGTTTTTCTACTTTCTTTTTTCTTTCTTCTTTCTTTCTTTCTTTCTTTCTTTCTTTCTTTCTTTCTTTCCTTCTTTTTTTCTTTCTTTCTTTCTTTCTTTTTTTCTTTCTTTCTTTCTTTCTTTCTTTCTTTGTGTATTTCTTTGGCTCTTTGTCTCTTTCTTGCTTTTTGTGTACTTACTTTCTTCCTTTCATTCTTTCGTTCTTTCTCCCACACAAACCGGGAGCACAAGTCAGAACAAAAAAGCACAAGCACCAAGGGGTCAAGACTGCCCCTCCGCTACTGCCCATTTTCCATTTGCCAGGGAAGGTTTTCCAGGGTTCCCTGGGGAAGCCGCACAACTCCCCTGTAAATGTCACTATACAGGGTTTCCCTTATGCCCCTTGAATGGCATCCACCTTTTTTTAGGGGGGAGCCAATCCGAACCCTCGGCCACATTTTGCAGCACGGGTTCTCAATACTCGGGAGATGTTCAAATGGTGGTTCTCCCTTTCGGTGCCGTAAAGCAAAAACACATAGATAAAACAAAGAAAGGTTCGAGAACAGGCAGGCCCGAAACCCTCCCCGTTTTTTTAATCCTTTTTTTCCGCGTGGTATTCCCGGGCCTTAAAAGCGTCACGGCCCGATATACGCCGCAGAAGCCCGAGTTTCGGGTTCCCAAGCGTCGAACGCGTCGATTCCGCATCGTTTCCGAGGCGGTGGCGGAGTCCTCCGCCTCCAAGCTGCAGACCAAGGAGAAGAAGGCCAAGGCACGGCCCCCGTGGGCGTCTTGGTCTCCTCTGGAGTACTTTAGTACAAGGCGTAGTAATGCTGAGCGAAATTATGGTGCTACCGGTAGAGAATTTGTCGCAATCCGCCTGGCTCTTGAGAGATGGTGGCTTTCGTCTCCCTTCCGCTCTCAAAATCAGAAACAAATCCATAGGACGAGGGAGAGCACCCGAACCAAAACAAACCGAACAGCGAACCATCAAACAAGAGGCAGACAAACGCTTTGCCCCCCCAACCCCCCAATCACAAACCCCCCGCCCGGTGCCCCTGTTTTGCTTGGTTTGAGCAGACGGACTGTAGCTTTTGAACTAGTTTTGCAGCAGAGATACGGAGGCTTGCAGTCCGTGATGTGCATTTCATCTAGTTTTGGGCAGAGAGTGATTCCAAGCAAACAAGCATTCCAAGCAAAGATGCACGTAGACATGCTAGATGCTTTGTCTACTAAGAATATTTTGTAGTAGACTCTACTACAGAATCTTCTTTTGCGCGCTTTGAAAGGGGAAAAAGGCGCTTTGAAAGGGGAACAAACACACACCACCACCTAGAGAGGGAGGGTATCATCCACAGGTGGTTTCGAGTCGACGACTTTGGTTTCTGACTTGGCCATGGGTCAAAATCCCGGTGACCCCCCAGGGAGCATCCCACTCCCCACTAAAATAGGTTCTAAAATGGGTGGTGCACCTACCCCAAAATGGGATCCCATTGGTTGTGACCCACAGCCACTCTGGTTTCCGCTGCCAGACTTCTTCAACGGTGTTTGCTTTTTTGTCCTATTCCAGTCACCAACCCTTTTGGCCAACGGCTCGGATCCAAAGACCCGCAGCCCAAAAGGGACGTCCCTTAGGCAATCAATTGGACAGCTTGCAGGTTTTGGCCTTGGGTATTAATTCAGAGACTTACTTCCAGTTTGGTATTCCAAGAGTTGGTGCCAGTTTAGTTGTTGGTAACCCCGTAGAAGTTCACAGACTTGTGCGGATCATTCGTATTTGTTTTTCTAGCCAAGACCAGGCACAGACCTTTCATGTCCCCATGATTTTTCTCAAGAGAAACGCACAGACCTGTTTTCTGCCATGGGGTTCCGGCCCGACTCCGCTCCAGTGCCTGCCGTCACGAAGCGCCAGGCCCTGCAGGCCATTGAGAAGCTCAGCAAGGAGGCTGAGGCACGGCGGGCTTCGTGTCTTTTTTGGTGAAAAAAAGGCGGGGGCGTCGGAGGGGTGTTTTTTTTTGTTCCCGGACTAAGGCCTGGTCCTGGTTTTTTGGGAAGGGTTCGGGACCCTGATTGACATATAACTTGCACCCATCCACAGATGCAAGAGCTTGTCCACATCGTTTTTTGCAACAGATGGGTAGGGATCAAAATTACACAACGAGGGGGCAGCGTTTTTTTTTTTTTTTTTTTTTTTTTTTTTTTTTTTTTTTTTTTTTTTTTTTTTTAAGTGCCTTGTTGGCATGTGCTAGGGTTCCATTTGGGGTACCTATTCTTGGCCCACGGCCAGATGCTTTTCCATCAATTTCTCTTGCCTCCGGAACTAGGTTTTGGATCCGTGGAACTGGGTACGAAGGGTTTTCCTTTTGAGCAAGACCAAACATCCTGGTCAAAACAAACACCAGAGCCTTTTCATTATGTAGGTGGGCTGTCCCTGAACTTGTTTTGCAGGTCCAAACCATTGTTAACCCATGCTCGGAAAAGAAGAAGGCGCAATTGGTTCGACAGTCTTTGCACCCTGTGTTGTTGAGCCCCGAACCGATACTCAAAACGATACTCAGTCGATGCCTAACCGATTCTCATGCCTGGCAAATCCAACCGTGTGCCCAGAAGCACGCCGTGTCCTTTTGCTTTGCCAACTCCTCGAGTTCCTCTTCCTGAGAACCGAACCTGCTTTTGAAAGGCGCGAAGCAAGTCCGTGCGCCGCTGTCTCCTGCCTGCTTTTCTTACGGGTGTTACATGTCCACGTCAGCGACTTGTAGACTTCTGGTGCCTTTAACAACTCGTAGCCCCCCAAAACATGTAAGCCGATGCTACGGACAAAAATCGATACCAACCGCAACTAGGGTGTAAGGGTACAAACAATCAGACCCACTGGCAATGGCAGCGGACGGCTCTAACTTCCTGTGGTTTATAGCAAGGCCTGTAGAAACCTTTACAACCATCTTGGTAGAACCAAAAGTATGGGTTCCGAGGGCTGCTTTGTTGGTTGGAGCTGAAACCAGCCAGGAGCTAAGACAAACACATTTTCTTGGTGCCTGAGCCCATGGTAAATATTCTGGAGGTGTGATTGGAAAATCACAAGAACCCAGGGCCCATTTTATGAGACAAACCGGGTAGATGGGGTTGCGATTCTGGAGCTAGGATATTTTTGTTTGCGCATTTTGCCGGACTCACTGCGAAACAACCAATATAATGTTAACCGCCCTAGCTAGCTTTCAAGGGCAGTGCAAGGCTGCCATATGGGAGAGCTCGGGGGTACCAGCTTCCGCACAGCTCAGCTCTGTGACTCTCCTACTCTATCACGCGGCCTAGCTTTAATCATGGTTTGGCTCAATTCCAATTTGGGTCGCAGGCCCAAGAACCATCTTCAGCTTTGTCTCTGAGGGGATTACCCTCTTGTTTGACATGAAAGAGGAGGGGACAGACCAGCCAGACCCCACGGGTTCCAAAAAACAGGTTCCGATCCCAGTTCGGAGCTCAAGGTTCCTTTTGGAACCCCCACAAGGAAAACCACTCCAAGAGGGGAACCGACTCCAAAGAATGATCCCTCCAAACTTGGTGGCCCCCAGCCGCCCCTTGGCCTTTCAGACTTTTAGTTGGTGTAGTGGTTGGGTGTCCGAATTTAACCCACTAAAAGTTGGTCACTTTTAGCGGGGGATCAGAAAACGGGCAGCCCGGCAAATGTGTCAAGTGCGAACCGTGTGGCGCCAAATGTGTCGAGGCCAAGGACAAGGATGCCATCAACAAGATCGGCCAACTGGATCGGAACATCAAGAGCACCCAGGAGTCGTGGCTTTGGCCAGGCTTAAGTGACAGTGGGTGGGTTGCCATGGCCATGTAAGTCCCACATTTTTGGATGTTGGACTGGACGGTGATTTGGTGGATGGTCCAACCGCTTTTGAGGTGGTTACTCTCAAGATTCTATTGCCACATAGGCAGTTAATGTTGACCCCGTATTAGTATGTAACCCCCCCCCCCCCCCTCGAAGGTCGGGAAGGTTTTGGGGGGGAAGACTTTTTGCCACCCCCCCTAAATAATCTGGAGTTGAGTTTCCATTTGTTTAGTATTGCTGGAGCTCCCTTTTGAGATCTGGAATTGAGTTTCCATTTGATTTAGTATTGCTGGGGCTTCCTTTTGAGATCTGGAATTGAGTTTCCATTTGATTTAGTATTGCTGGGGCTTCCTTTTGAGATCTGGAATTGAGTTTCCATTTGATTTAGTATTGCTGGGGCTTCCTTTTGAGATCTGGAATTGAGTTTCCATTTGATTTAGTATTGCTGGGGCTTCCTTTTGAGATCTGGAATTGAGTTTCCATTTGATTTAGTATTGCTGGGGCTTCCTTTTGAGATCTGGAATTGAGTTTCCATTTGATTTAGTATTGCTGGGGCTTCCTTTTGAGATCTGGAATTGAGTTTCCATTTGATTTAGTATTGCTGGGGCTTCCTTTTGAGATCTGGAATTGAGTTTCCATTTGATTTAGTATTGCTGGGGCTTCCTTTTGAGATCTGGAATTGAGTTTCCCTTTGATTTAGTATTGCTGGGGCTTCCTTTTGAGATCTGGAATTGAGTTTCCTTTGATTAGTATTGCTGGAGCTTCCTTTTGAGATCTGGAATTGAGTTTCCCTTTGTTTAGTATTGCTGGAGCTTCCTTTTGAGATCTGGAACTGAGTTTCCATTTGATTTAGTATTGCTGGAGCTTCCTTTGGGGGGTGGGGCCGATGGACCGCACTAATTAGGGGGGGATTATTAATTGGGGGTGTTAGGGGCCAATGTGGGGTGCTCTTTGAAACCTTCTAAACTTGATTTGTTTAGTAAAGAATTTAATAAGAAATCGACAATCTCAGAACACTTTTTGTTTTTGTGGTTTGGGCAGGCCCAAAAGTATCCACCAAGCTTCAAGATGAGAGTAGGAGGTGGAGATGACAGCAGCATGAAGAGAAAGGTACCAGAAGAAAGCATGAGCCCATTTGAGACAAAGCACCTTTTCAGCACACCATTCAGAGAAAGCATGGCAAGCAACATGAGTCGATTCAACATCAGCAGCATCAGCTAGCACCAAAAAACAGTTTACATTGTAATGAGCTCAAGAAGCAGTGGAGAAAATGAGATAGCAGCAGCCATCTGGGGGAGGGACCGGTCTAATTGGGGGGGGTTGTTTTGCATCATTTTTTATTTGGGGGGTATTTTCTGAGATATGAATTGTTTAGTATTGGGGGGGTCCACCCGGACCGGACTAATAGGGGGGGATTATTAATACAGGGTCAACATTAGGCAGTTTTATCACGGGCGCCTTGTCCCGGTGTGCCCGTTCGTGATTACCTGCAAACACAGAGGGCTGCAAGCATGTCAAAATGTTGGCACTGATACCTGGCGTCGCCCTTTCAACACGAACTTGCCATTTGCTCGAGCTACTTAGACGAGCCGGGACTTAGTTTCCCTTAAGCAAGACGCATAACAAAAAGAGGTACCTTCAAAATTCGTCACCTCTATAGCTGACTTTGAACATCTGACAACGTCACATACTCTTGCAGCCAACACGTGGTTGGCTTGCGTTTTGTGGAAAGCCAAGGCGAAGTGGGACGCTTTGCAGCGTGTCCTCCCTAAGTACCCTGGGTCCAAGAAATTTGGCCCCCAAACCCCCATCCATTGCAGGCGCTACCTGGTGTTTTGGTAGGGCCAACATGGGCGGGGGTCTTGTTGGGTGCACCCACCCATGTGGGTGGTTCCCCTATTTTGAGACCAACCCACATGACCCCTCACAAGCTTTCTAGGGGTTGATTCCCCCTTCTTTTCAACCATCGTTCTTTTCTCAAGAACCGGCCGTTTTTTGCTGGGTTTCCGGAGGTGTTCTAGAAAGATTCGGATAACTGGGTTCAGAATGGAGAAGGCACCTCTAGAAGTTGATGTGAGCAGGGGCCAAACCCATAGGCCATGGCGCTGTGGGCTTCGAAGCCCAAGCTTGGGCCACGCGAATTGGCGCGAGAAAAGGACGGGTGCCAGGTACAACAAAGCCAAGGGCAAGGAGAAGGAAGCCAAGCTCAAGGCGGGGTCTTGGCCTTTTTTTGCGGGGAGGGGGGAGGGGGAGGGAGGGATTTTGGGAATTCTGCCTGGGACCTCCTCCATATTATGCATATATATATATGTATACACACACATGCACCATATAAAAACGAGCCACTTTTCGGGGCAGCCTAACTACACAGAATGGGGCCGTTTTTTTTTGGAGACAGGGGATGTGTCCAGGAAGAAAGCTGAACACCGGGGCCGGGGCCCATGAGCCAAGAGATGTCGAGGTTAAGACATGGCCGTCGGGACACGTTTTACATTGCTCATTGTGGTTTGGTGGGAAGTCCAACCACATAGCTGCTGAAAATTTTTGTTTTTTTTTCCTCCCCTTCCAATGTGAACCAAGAAGATCAGGTTTGGGGTTGGAACAGCCGTTCAAGTGTGTCCGTGGAAAGGATGCTTCCTTGGAAGCAACCCTCGAACCGAGGATGGTAGTCTTCCAAAACTCTGTCCACTTCTGATTGTTGGAAAGAGGGTATTTTGAACCTGGAGCTTGCCGTAGGTCCAGGTACGACGCAGACGACGCCTTCGGGGCGGTTTTTTTGGGGGGCGCCGAAACGCTAGAGGATGAGCTGAGATGACACCTTCTATGAATTGAGCCCCTCGAGTTTCCATAGGCAACTCTGACTCTCTTAGGCCCCTCAGCTGTTTGGAAGCTTACTCGCTTCTTTCCGGACTTTACACTTTTAGGGTAGACCATTTTAGTGGGAAGCAGCATTGTTTTTTTTAAACCTTCGACCAATCCACTCAGGAAGTGAGCTTACAAGGTTGTCGTTGGGACACATTTTACATTTTTGCTTATTGTGGTTTAGTGGTTCAAATCCCCATTTAACTGCTAAAATTTTATTTTTTTTCCTCCCCTTCCAACGTCAACCAAGGACTATGTTTGCTCTCTGTCTTGATTTAGGGCTGGTTGACGCCGGGGTCGACCGTGAACACGCAGGGGTCCTCATGTTTGCCGGGTGAAACATGTCCCCGTTGAGAAGCCAAGAACAAATGTCCACCAGGCTGGGGTTTCCCGCTTCGAGTTTCGACAAAGGCAGTTTTCCCCCGGCGCGTGGGGAGCTTGGGGCTTTGGGTCCTGGGAGTTTTTGAGACGGCCGGCGAGAAAACGAGGCCCCCGCTGGATCGGGGCTCCTGAAAGGATCGCCAGGTTGCTTGCCCATTTGAAACATTGCGTTTTCAAGACCAGGATGAAGGTTGAAGCCACCGGAAAACAAGTTGCAAGGTTCAGGTGTATAGTGCATCCGGATCCCTGATGGATCCGGCGTCAGGAGCTGAACAAGCTCCGGGAGGAGAAGAAGAAGGTGGAGAAGGCTCGAAAGCAGGCGGAGGCGGGGCAACCGTTGGAGAAGAGAGGTGGATGTGTGTCGCTTTCTTTTTTTTTGAGTCGGTCCCCCGGCCTTTCTTGGCTGGTTTGAAAGGGACACCAAGACGTCAAAAGTACTTGTTGGGGGGGCTCCCCGAAAAAAGCCGGCCACACCCCCCATGTTTTCGGAAATTCCGTGGTTGAGCGCCAATGATTTTCAATCCTTTTGGTGGGGCGGCAACTCGACCACCCACAATGGTCTTTGTTTTCTGGGGTCACTGAACTGAACCGGACTGGGTGAAAGTGGACAGAAATCCCCATGCTGGCCGAGAACGCAGAGAGCTCACGCATGAACATCTTTGACTAGAGGTGCCCTGATTCCAGTAATTGTGGGAATATCGACTATTCATGTTCCCTGATATTCCTTTTTGCATACAAACAGTTGGAGCTTCCCTGAACATCATTTCTGTGCAGAGATTACTTTGGGAATCGTAGTGAGTTGGATTCATGCGTGGATCTTCTCAAACTCACTGAGTTTCTGGATGTTGTTGTACTTTTGAGGAAGACCATTTGAGTGGCACGCAAAAAGTGGTTACTTTCTGGCCTATCCGCCCAGGAAGTGAGTCATAGGTTTCTGTGGGTTTCCGTCTTAGCTTGTAAATTGTGGTTTGCCGGGGGCATCGCCGGGTGTGGATGCTCGTATACCGCCAATGTGAGCAAGGTTACAGCCTTATACAAAGTGGTTTCTGGAGCCTCCAAACCATCAAGCACACGCGCCTGAAAATGGCATCGAGTGCTTAGCCACTATCAGGTTAACTGGAAGCACCATGGACGGTTCCCTCTGCACACATGCAAGAGCATTTGCAGGTTTGGGTTTTAAAGCTCTGGAGGTATACCACTGATGTGAAGGGGTACCCTTCCATCAATTGGATCCTGACGTTCGGGGGTCCTGGAGGCTCATCTTCCTTTTCAAGGGGATTTCCTGTCAGTTAATAGGTGGGAGGGTATATGCCATACAAACTGACCATATTCTCAGCCCAAGGCCGAGCTTTTGACCTTTGGGTTTCCCTGACTTGGGATCCCATTTTTAGCCAAGGTTCCAAAAGGTTGCCCTCTCACCAGCGAATTCATAAGTTTGTGCACAGACCCCTGTAAGACTACTTTCCTCTTGGTTAGTTGGCCTTTTTGCACAAACCCATGTCAGTTGGTGGGAGGGTATCCTTTTCATTTCTGGGTCCTTCGGGCAACTGAGTCTTTTGCGGGGCGAGCCTCCAGATGCTCCAAGCCCGAACACCTGCAACCGACAACAAAACACGCGGGAGGCCGAGCTGCAGGAGGACAAGCGCAAGCTGAACACGGCGAAGAAGGTGGGCACGGGAGGTCTGGGCTTATGTCACGGGAGCTCTGCTAGGTCCCCCAGCAATTGGTGCCCGACCTCTCACCCCTTTTTCTGTTCGGAGGGTTCCCCTAACATAGACTAAACCGAAAAAGTTGGTGCCCTTATTCTAACCTCTCTACTTCAGGACCTGGTCAGCCGGGCCGGCTTTGCAGGGGTGACTTTGTTGGATTCAAAGGCTTGGACTACAATGATTTGCAGTGTTTTGGGGCCTTTCCTGTAGTTTTTCCTGTAAAAGGACCCTTTGGTTTGTTTCTAGGAGTTGTCAAAGTCAGCAATTGGGGTTTGTTTCCCGGTAAAGTGGTGGGTCCGGGTTTGGGGGACGGATCGCAACTGAGAAGGGGGTATCTGGGTGTGACTCAAAATTCTTTTTGCGCCAGGGCACCGTAGACTTCAGGTGTTTGGCTACAATTTTCCATTTGCGAGGCTTCAATTTGGGCTCCTATTTTGAGCCACACCCATGTTACCACAAATCATGGAGCAAAGGAGCGAGTGGGAGGTCAAGCAATGGCTGTGTTTCCTTTTGCTTTGCATTTCAAGCCATCCAAAACGGGGTTCCCTGGTTTGAGACAAACATCATGAAACACCGTTCTCGAACACCAGCGTGGTTGGGGCTGGTAAGGCTGGTCATCGACAGTTTGATAGGGATCTGAGGCGCCGAGCGTCAAAGGTCGCTGGGACATGACGTCATGGTCATAGGGACCGAGCTCACCCACCATTCGAGACTGCGACGCAAGGTTCCGAGAGCCATGGGAGAGCAACAGTTTAAGTATTGGGTTGATCTTTGCAGGGCTCCTGAAAAGATACATTTTGCCCAGTTGAAACATGGCTTTTTCCACCAAAATAAAGGGACACCACCATTTACAAGGCAATGTTCAGGAGTATAATGTAAGGATCCCGGCTTTGGGTCACCAGTCGAAAACGCGTTTTTTCCCCGAAAAAATGGACGTCCTTGCGATTCTTCCGCGGCCCCTTTCGGCGCAAACACAATGTTCGTCAGCCCCGGGGGCACGAGAGGCCTTCGGCGTTTCTCGGCCAAGTGGGGCTGCGGGAGTGGGGCTGGGCACGCTCAAAGCACCTGGCTCGAGCACGTTGGCCCCTTTTTTTCTGGAGGGGGCTTGGCCCCCTTGGAAATATCAAAGACCAAACGAAGGGTGCCCTGCGTTTCCCATGGCCACTGGGGTTTGGGCAAGAGGCTTCACCATGAAGTTATCTTGTTGAATGGTATTTTACTCCCAATAATGAGGCCTTTGCTGTACATTTCATTTCTGGGTGAACCAACCCCCTGTTTTGTCAACAGTTGCTCAGCCTTGGTTGTCTAGAAAGAAATATTTTTGGCAAGACTTGGGCAGCTCAATTAAGGGCCCTAATATTTAGACTGGGATTCCGGTACCCAATTCTGGGGTACTTCAAAATCAAAGTAAGCCAAGATCATAGGTGAAGGCCCTGATATCTCTGGACAAATGAGGGCTTTGTGCCATTCTCCGAAGGAGGCGAACCCATGTCCTGGCAAAGTTGCCGCAGGGAGAATCCCACGCGGGCAATGGAGAAGTTCTTTTTTTCTTCTTCTTCTTCTTCTTCTACCACCCAAGTGGGCCTTGGATGCTTTGAAACTGAACGGACCCCCTAAAGCACGTAAGGGCTCCCCTGAGCGGTCAGAGGGGTCGCTTCGATGGCGCAGGGCTGAGCCGGAGCCATGGATAAAGCCGCCCAAAGCCAAGCGCAGGGGTTTCTGAGCCGGAGCCATGGATTTCCTAAAGCCGCCCAAAGCCAAGGAAACGATTTTTGGTTTGAAAGGAAGGGGCAAACAGCATGGGAACCCAAGCGAAGGCTGCGGATGAGTTTGGGGAGGAGTTTGGGGCTTGGCTGGCTTGCTTCTGGGGTTTGCTGCCCCCAAAATCGCGTGCAGCGTCATTCTCGGAAAGAGGGCAATGCTGGCTGAGTTGCTCAAACCGACCCTTCAAACCCACTTATGGGAACTTACGGTCGTCTTGGTTTTTGGGACCCCCTCAAAAAGCAATATATATATATATATAATAAGAAGAGAGAGGTGGCAACCAAAATGGCGTACCCTCAACACAGTCACACCCTTTTGCTTTTCCTGTCATTTCCAGGTCCTTTGGGCAAGTGCGCTGCGGATGACCTTAAATTCCTGCAGTTGGGAAGAATACCGCCGTTCTTCATCGACAATGAACTCCACCTAGCAACTGGTGCCAATCGATTGCGTGGATTTTGTCCATCCAGAGTTCTAGGCTTCTTGGCGAAATGGGGTGGACCCTCATTGCTCCAAATGGCGACGTTTTTGGTTTCTTTAACCAACCTTAAAAAGGGTACCACCTCAAAGAAACTACCCTCCCACCCTTTTCACATGGAACCCGACGTCCGGGGGGTCCTGGAAGCTGGAAGACCCTGTTTTCCTTTTAAAGGTCCCCCAAAACGTCAGGTTCCATGTCCTTTTTGGTTGGTTTTGCTAGAAAAATAGATGACCCTGGTTTACCTGGTGGTTTCATCATCTACCAGGGCCATCTACTTCCCCTGAAAGGACACCTATGGGTGGGAGGGTCATCACAGATTTCCACGAAAGTTCCTGTTTCGGCCGAGGTGCAACTCACGAGTCCTTTTCGTTGTTTGACGATGCCTACTACCATGGTGCTCATCGCAGGCAGCGCGGGTTTCCGGCCGTCGTTTTGGGTTTCCCCCGTGTTTGGGCAAAAGTGTAGCCGTAGGTGTGCACTTGACTCAACTCAGAGTAAGGCTCCACTGGGGACATTTTGGCTCAAGTGGACCATTCCAGTCTTGTTTTATCAACGTCGCAGCGCCAAAGAAAGCTTTCAGAAGGCCCGGGACAGAACGAGGCATTTCTCGACGTCTCCTTTGGACCTTTCCCTTCCCGTTGCCAGATTCGGAGCACACGGCCGCCGTATACGAAATCCGGAAGGCATACGCTGATTCGGTGGCTGATTTCCAGAAAGCAGCCAAGAACTTTATGGTCCTCAAGGCGGCCCTCGCCGCCCGCGGACAAAGGGCTCACCACGACCAGATGGAACCGCCAGGGCCTCGGCCGCAGTTTGGGGTGATAAACTAGAACCACTACACGGAGGTAACCTGCGGACTGGTTCCATTTTGCATGGGGGGCCAGGCGACTTGGAGCGGACATGAAGGAGAAAGCCGAGCCACGGTTACGGCAAATCAACCTGTGCGCTGGGGTGAGATGGGCTTCAGCTTTGGCCTTGGCAAGTCTGGCCATCATGTGCTGGCGAGGTGCATCTGAGCTTGCGCTGACTGATTCAGGAGATGTCTCATGACGGACCAGGTTGTGCATCCCAATGAACACGATCCTCCCGGTCTGGAGTGACCTTGTACTGGAACCGCTTCACCTTTGTTCTTCTCCAGCAGAGCTTCCGGAACAGGATGGCCAATGCTTGTAGAAGTTTACTTGGAGGAAAGGTTTCGTCAGAGATTCATCATCTCTTGTGATGACCTGGAAAGCTGGGCCAGACGGCAGAACGGAAGAGGACACCCGACCAATCACGTCCCACAACGGCGAAGGAGAACTACCAGCCAGCCCTTTGTTCACCACTGGAGACCCTCAGCAAGCCATTGCCGCGCTCAAGCTCTTCGGCCTTCTTTTGGTGAGGGCTGTCATCTTGCGAGCGGAATCGTTCAAAAGGGAAAAACCGTACTCTGATTGTCGCTAGCAACCAAGATTCGGGAGCGTGAGACTGATGCTTGGTCCGTCACATGTGAAATGTGAATTCAACACTTGGGCGGATGAATTCAGCCATCCAGATCCCAATTTGGTCGAAAGCCGGGTTTATGGTTTTGGAGGGAGCTTCCTGCCTCACCCATAGTGCCGGGAGTCCATAGTGCCGGGAGGGCACGCGGTGAGGTGGGTGGATTCCCTCCTGATGAGACCGCTGGTTCGGTTGAACTGCGGCTAATCCTCAAATTTGGTACAGACAGGAGTGCGTCGTTTGGGGCTGTGAAGCAACTAGTAGCGCCAATGTGGCGCTTCGACGAGTTTGTTTCTTCTCATCAATCAAAGACCGAGATGTGTGGGCTGTGTGGGTCGGGAAGCCGACAAGGGCCTTCGACTCAAACCACCGTGGGCGATTCGGGGGCGACTCCCGAAGACTTGTTCAACGGGTATGCGTGAAGGGCGGTTTTGAAAGCAGCGCCTTTTGGTTGCCAATTGAAAGAGATGTCCCACTTTGTGATTCCACTTTGTGATGTTCAAAGGGTCCAACGCGACTTTTGGGATTCAAGGGGGGGTGCCCGCAAAAGGCAAACATGCGGCGGCGTAAGGCTGCGTAAGTGTGTTGCGTACGTGGCATGGGTGATCGCGTAAGGTACCCTTGTGGCGCGGTAGGCTCGCAAAGCTCGAGTAAGCACCTCGGCGTACGACTTCCTTACAACTAGATTTGAGTTGGGCGCTTTGAAAACCACTCAAATGGAACCATATAGGGAGCGCAGTTCTGTTGCAAATGGACATTCTGTGACGCCCAGGCAATTCCCTAAGTGTTCGTTGGATAGGAATCAGCCACTGAACAGTATCACTGAGCCGTGCCCACAACCCGCCGATTTTTGGTTCGGACATGGCCATAAAGGTTTAAACTGCAGTGGGGCCACTTAACGGAATGGCCAATTCGAGTTCTGGGCGCTCAGATGCGTCAAGGAATTCTCCGGTTTTGGGTGTTAGGCACGCCGAAATGCAGTTGGGGGTGGCAGCACCCCTCTGAATGAAGCTGGAACCCATCTTGGGGGTCCGAAGTGCATTTGGGTATGTCCACAAATGGTGGTGTCCTTTTTGTTTTTTGTTTTTGGCCAAGGTGAAAACAGGGTACCTTCCCAAAAAACGCACACCCATTTGGGGTCAGAGATCCATGGACCCACTTTTATGAATGGGTTGCCCGCTCTGGGGAGGCCTGGCTGCGCTGGTTGCCACATCTCACGCCTACCGTGTAGACTTCACGCGCTGTGGCTGGAGTGGAAGGGGGCTTCCACGGCGGGGGAATTGCTACAGGGTGTGAATAATTGGCCATTGTCATAAGACAATACTGTGCGTAGTCATTTAGTCCCTTATTTGGCTTGAATGATGAGTCAACAAGGGTCACGCGCCCATTTCATGTTGGGATGGATATCAAACAGGCAACTGGATATCAAGTTGGCAGGATGCCACTCATCTTAGTGGGGCCACGAAAGGTTTGACCTGTTCTGGCAAGTCAGCACAGCAGACGAGTCACTGCAGCCCAGGCAGCATTTTTTTTGGTCAGGCGAGTCCCTCAGCATGGCAATGGCTCTGAATTTCAATGGTTCAAATCCCCAGCCATGTCAAATCCCCAACCATGCTCAGATTCCCTGTCCACCTTTCAATGAACAATCTGATTGTCTGCCTGCCTTCATACTCTGTAAACCTTCTGAGTGCTTTTTGTTTTTGCAAAGATAAGTTCAGGGTGGAACCGCAGCTCTGTTCTTTCCCTTCACGAATAAAGTTCAGCTTGGGTGAAACCGCAGCTCTGCTCTCTCCGAGATTCTAAGCCTCCCGAGGCTTAGGAGAGCTGGGTGGTGTTACCTCCTCCCTTTCGATTTTTGGAGGGCTCCCTTTCAAACCGATGCACGTGCCATCAAGGTAGGCCTAACGCTATTACATGGCTATCGTTGGGAAACATTTCACATTTTTGCTTGTTGTGGTTTAGTAGGAAATCCCCACTTAACTGCTGCAACATAACTTATTTCTCCCCTTCCAACGTCAATCAAGATCAATCACACTGGTGGTAAAGTTAAATCCACGAAGTGCACTTTCTGGAATCCGGGGGGTCGGGGTATGTCGGGGTATGGCACCCCGGGCCATTGAAATGGCTTGCAAATAGTTGGCTTCAAGCCGGGGGAGCTCCCGGCAACCCATGTCGAGGATCCTTCCTTTCGGACTTTCTTCTTGTCTTTGCGACTCGCTCAGTGCAGCTAAGTGGGCGGCGTTTTCTTGTTAGGGGGGTCAGGCCCCAAAAGCAGCAACAGCTATTGTGTGTAATTCTCATGAGGGTTACATTAACAGCCTTTTTTTGGCACAAGGAGAACAGAGCTGCGCGATTGGGCAACAAGGCTTTCGCAGGGAGCCTTTCTCCAAAGAACGATGGCCTTTGGCATGACCAGACTTGGCAGGGCTCCTTAAAAGATACATTTTGCAACCATTTGAAACATGTTGCTTTTTGAACACCAAAATAAAGGGAACCCACCATGTACAAGGCAATGTTCAGGTGTATCGTGTAAGAATCCCTGCTTGGCCTAGCCTTTTGTTCTTTGGGTTCTTGGTGGCCCCCAGCCATCCCGTTAGCTTCCTGGCTTTTTAGTTGGTTTAGTGGTTGGGTTTTCATTTAAGCCAAGACAAGTTAAAAACTTTTAGCCGGGGATCTGAAAACGGACAGCCCAGGGTTTACTTCATTTTTCAGGCTTGCTTTTGGGCGCCATCTGGCCAAGAGCTCATCCGAGATGTTGCCGCATTGGAAGTTGGGGACCCCTGGTCTGATCCGCGCGATGCGTGCGAGTGTGTCTCTCAGGTCCCGTCAGCTAGGTGCCCTTTTACGGCTTCTTTTTTGGGGGGAGGGTTCCCCCACAATAGTTCTGGCCTCTTTACTGGAGGACCTAGGTCTTGTTTGAGGGTACTCCCTTTTGGTTTTGACAGGAGAAACCGCAACCTAGGCCCACCTTTCAACTTCGAGAGCAGCCCATTTCACTAACGATGGCCCGCTTTTGGCCAAAATACGAATGACACCAAGCCCTTCTTTGGGCCAACTCCAATTCGGAGAGCTACGCCTCTCGAGCTTCGGACCGACCTTTCTGCAGAAAAAAAAGCAGGGATGTAAACATCTTTCTTTCAGGTCATATTTAGACATGGTTTCCTTGAAAAGAGAGTCCTCGCACATTTTTTCGCTTCCCCCGTCTCGCGAAATCGTTTTTCCAGACCTCGAGACCAACGCCCCCCGTCCCCCCGTCCCCGTCGGCTCGTTGAGGTCCGACCGGAAACGCCTGGAGCCCGAGGCGGACGCCGAACATCTTGGTGGCGCTCAGCGCTGCCAGCGCCACGGCTTCGTAGAAAGAGAAGCGGGGATTTGGCTCATTTTTGGAGGGCGGAGGTTCGTTTTTTTGGGGTCCAAATGGATTTTGTTTTTGTTTGTTTGGTCTAAATGGATGTTTATTCTGGTCTAAATGGATAGGTCCCCTAGTAGTGCCCTTCTCTTCCCTTTCTTGGGGGAGGGTTCCCCTACTAATGCAGACCCCGGATTAATCCCCCCCCCCCCCCCCCCCCTCAAGGTCCCAAGGTCAGGTCTGTCATTTTTTTGAGGGCCCCCCCCCAATAGTGGGAAGGGGAACCTTGTGGGAAGGTCAGGTCAGGGAACCTTGTGGGAAGGTCAGGTGAGGGAACCTTGTGGGAAGGTCAGGACCTTGTGGGAAGGTCAGGTGAGGGAACCTTGTGGGAAGGTCAGGACCTTGTGGGAAGGTCAGGTGGGGGAACCTTGTGTGGGAAGGTCAGGACCTTGTGGGAAGGTCAGGTGAGGGAACCTTGTGGGAAGGTCAGGACCTTGTGGGAAGGTCAGGTGGGGGAACCTTGTGGGAAGGTCAGGACCTTGTGGGAAGGTCAGGTGGGGGAACCTTGTGGGAAGGTCAGCACCTTGTGGGAAGGTCAGGTGGGGGAACCTTGTGGGAAGGTCAGGTGAGGGAACCTTGTGGGAAGGTCAGGACCTTGTCGGAAGGTCAGGTGAGGGAACCTTGTGGGAAGGTCAGGTGAGGGAACCTTGTGGGAAGGTCAGGTGGGGGAACCTTGTGGGAAGGTCAGGCGCGGGCACCTTGTGGGAAGGTCAGGTGAGGGAAGGTCAGGTGAGGGAACCTTGTGGGAAGGTCATGACTTGTGAGGCCAGGGAACATATTGAATGGATTTAAAGCAACCAGAGGGGTCTTTTGAAGGCTTTTGGAGAACATGGTTGATTAATAGGGGGTGCCAAATCTATAAGAATTTTGATGAGTAATTAGGGAGCTTGAAGGTAGCTTGTGAAAAAGTCAGGTCAGGGAACCTTGTAGGAAGGTCAGGTCAGGGAACCTTGTGGGAACCTTGTGGGAAGGTCAGGTGAGGGAAACTTGTGGGAAGGTCAGCATGTAAGGCAAGCAGAGTTGTAGTTCTTAGGGGGTGCCAGAAGGCTTGAAGGTCAGGTGAGTGGGAAGAAGGCACCACGAGAAATTGAACCCATGTCTTCCCCGTGGCGAAGACAATGTCCTTGCCAACTAGACTAAGCAGTCTTGACCCCAATGCATCAAATAAGGTTATGTGTCCTTACCCAGGACCATTTTGCACTTAGCGGTTTATTATTATGGGGGTGCGCACCTTTTGGGCTGGAACCTTGGGAGCTGGGTCCCAGAATGGACCTTGGTGGCTGTACTGGAAGACATTGTGGCACCAAAACAAAGCCAACAAGGGCTTGAAAGGCACAAGGTTTCAACATCAAACCCAAAGCAGCCAACAGTGGCCCAAACCAGCCCAGCAACACCAGCAGAGATAGTGTGACACCAAAACAAGGCCAACAACAGCTTGGGAGCCACAAGCTTTCAACATCCAACCCAAGGCAGCCAACAGTTGCCCAAACCAGCTCAGCAACACCAGCAGAGATAGTGTGACACCAAAACAAGGCCGACAACAGCTTGGGAGCCACATATGGTGAAAAGAAGTTTGATTGGGTGCTCGCCACTTTTGGCAAGAACATAACCTTTGCTGGATAATGTTGGTCTTGGCAGGAAGTTGAGCACAGTTAGGGTTTTGCACAAAAAGTGGTGAGCACCCCCCTATTAATAATCAAACTTCACCATCCAAATTGATGGAAACTGAAAGACCCAAGTCTCCACTCCAAAAGTTATTGCAAAATGCCAGGCCGGCCAAACTTGCTTTCCTTTGATGAAAAGAAGGCACTATCAGGAATTGAATTGGCGTCCTCCCCGTGGTGAAGACAATGTCTTTGCCAACTAGACTAAGCAGTCTTGACCCCAAGGCGTCAAATAAGGTTATGTGTCCTTACCCAGGGCCATTTTGCACTTAGCGGTTGGGCTGGAAACCTTGGGGGCTGGGTCCCAGAATGTGGAAACAAAACAAAGCCAACAAGAGCTTGAAACCCAAGGCAGCCAACAGTGGCCAAAACCAGCCCAGCCACACCAGCAGAGACATTGTGATACTAAATGGGAGGCAACAAGGGCTTGAAAGCCACAAGCTTTCAACATCAAACCCAAGGCAGCCAACAGTTGCCCAAACCAGCCCAGCAACACCAGCAGAGATAGTGTGACACCAAAACAAGGCCAACAACAGCTTGGGAGCCACAAGCTTTCAACATCCAACCCAAGGCAGCCAACAGTGGTTCAAACCAGCCCAGCAACACCAGCAGAGATAGTGTGACACCAAAACAAGGCCAACAACAGCTTGGGAGCCACATATGGTGAAAAGAAGGATGATTATTATTAGGGGGGTGCTCGCCACTTTTGGCAAGAACATAACCTTTGCTGGATAATGTTGGTCTTGGCAGGAAGTTGAGCACAGTTATGGTTTTGCACAAAAAGTGGTGAGCGCCCCCCTAAGAATAATCAAACTTCTTTTCACTACATGAGCTTTGTAGAAAGTTGCACCTCTCTCAAGGAATCCAAATTGATGGAAACTGAAAGATCCAAGTCTCCACTCCAAAAGTTATTGCAAAATGCCATGGCGGCCAAACTTGCTTTCCTTTGATGAAAAGAAGGCACCACTAGGAATTGAATCCTCGTGCTCCCCGTGGCGAAGACAATGTCTTTGCCAACTAGACTAAGCAGTCTTGACCCCAAGGCATCAAATAAGGTTGTCTGTCCTTACCCAGGGCCATTTTGCACTTAGCGGTTTATTATTATGGGGGTGCGCACCTTTTGGGCTGGAAACCTTGGGGGCTGGGTCCCAGAATGTGGAAACAAAACAAAGCCAACAAGAGCTTGAAACCCAAGGCAGCCAAAACCAGCCCAGCCACACCAGCAGAGACATTGTGATACTAAATGGAAGGCAACAAGGGCTTGAAAGCCACAAGCTTTCAACATCAAACCCAAGGCAGCCAACAGTTGCCCAAACCAGCCCAGCAACACCAGCAGAGATAGTGTGACACCAAAACAAGGCCAACAACAGCTTGGGAGCCACAAGCTTTCAACATCCAACCCAAGGCAGCCAACAGTGGTTCAAACCAGCCCAGCAACACCAGCAGAGATAGTGTGACACCAAAACAAGGCCAACAACAGCTTGGGAGCCACATATGGTGAAAAGAAGGATGATTATTATTAGGGGGGTGCTCGCCACTTTTGGCAAGAACATAACCTTTGCTGGATAATGTTGGTCTTGGCAGGAAGTTGAGCACAGTTATGGTTTTGCACAAAAAGTGGTGAGCGCCCCCCTAAGAATAATCAAACTTCTTTTCACTACATGAGCTTTGTAGAAAGTTGCACCTCTCTCAAGGAATCCAAATTGATGGAAACTGAAAGATCCAAGTCTCCACTCCAAAAGTTATTGCAAAATGCCATGGCGGCCAAACTTGCTTTCCTTTGATGAAAAGAAGGCACCACTAGGAATTGAATCCTCGTGCTCCCCGTGGCGAAGACAATGTCTTTGCCAACTAGACTAAGCAGTCTTGACCCCAAGGCATCAAATAAGGTTGTCTGTCCTTACCCAGGGCCATTTTGCACTTAGCGGTTTATTATTATGGGGGTGCGCACCTTTTGAGCTAAAACCTTGGGAGCTGGGTCCCAGAATGCACCTTGGTGGAACAGCCCAGGCAATACTGGAAGACATTGTGGAAACAAAACAAAGCCAACAAGAGCTTGAAACCCAAGGCAGCCAACAGTGGCCAAAACCATGGTGTGCAAAAGCAGGGCATCAAACATTGTAGATTAATAGGGGGGTGCTGGCTTGACTAATGGGGGGGTGCTGCTGTAAAAAAAGGAGCTGGTGTGCAAACGCAGGGCATCAAGCATTGTAAATGGTGCTGGCCTCATCAATGGGAGGGGTGGTGCTTTTGCAAGTAAAAAAGGGAGCTGGTGTGCAAAAGCAGGGCATCAACCATGGTAGGTTAGTAGGGGGGGGGGCTGGCTTTACTAATGGGGGGGTGCTGCTGTTGCAAGAAAAAAAAGGAGCTGGTGTGCAAAAGCAGGGCATCAAACATAGGAGGGTGCTGGCTTTACTACTGGGGGGGTGCTGCTGTTGCAGGAAAATAAAAGGAGCTGGTGTGCAAAAGCAGGGCATCAAACATGGTAGATTAATAGGGGGGTGCTGGCTTTACTAATGGGGGGTGCAAAAGCAGGGTATCAACCATGGTAGATGAATAGGGGGGTGCTGGCTTGACTAATGGGGTGGTGCTGCTGTTGCAAGTAAAAAGAAAGGAGCTGGTGTGCAAAAGCATGGCATCAAACATTGTAGATTAATAGGGGGGTGCTGGCTTTACTAATGGGGAGGTGCAAAAGCAGGGCATCAACCATGGTAGGTTAATAGGGGGGTGCTGGCTTTACTAATGGGGGGGTGCTGCTGTTGCAGGAAAAATACAAGGAGCTGGTGTGCAAAAGCAGGGCATCAAACATGGTAGATTAATAAGGGGGGCGCTGGCTTTACTAATGGGGGGGGGTGCAAAAGCAGGGCATCAATTATGGTAGATTAATAGGGGGGCGCTTGCTGGTGTGCAAAAGCAGGGCATCAATCATGGTAGATTAATAGGGGGGTGCTGGCTTTACTAATGGGGTGCAAAAGCAGGGCATGAACCATGGTAGGTTAATAGGGGGGTGCTGGCTTTACTAATGGGGGGGGGGGTGCAAAAGCAGGGCATCAACCATGGTAGATTAATAGGGGGGTGCTGGCTTTACTAATGGGGGGGGGTGCTGCTGTTGCAGTAAAAAAGGAGCTGGTGTGCAAAAGCAGGGCATCAAACATGGTAGATTAATAGGGGGGTGCTGGCTTTACTAATGGGGGGGTGCAAAAGCAGGGCATCAACCATGGTAGATTAATAGGGGGGTGCTGGCTTTACTAATGGGGGGGTGCTGCTGTTGCAGGTAAAAAAGGAGCTGGTGTGCAAAAGCAGGGCATCAAACATGGTAGATTAATAGGGGGGTGCTGGCTTTACTAATGGGGGGTGCAAAAGCAGGGTATCAACCATGGTAGATAAATAGGGGGGTGCTGGCTTTACTAATGGGGGGGGGTGCTGCTGTTGCAGGTAAAAAAGGAGCTGGTGTGCAAAAGCAGGCATCAAACATGGTAGATTAATAGGGGGGTGCTGGCTTTACTAATGGGGGGGTGCAAAAGCAGGGCATCAATCATGGTAGATTAATAGGGGGGTGCTGGCTTTACTAATGGGGCGGTGCTGCTGTTGCATGTGCAAAAGTTGGGCAAGTTAAAATTTGATTAAAAACGCATGATGTGGCGGGGGGTTTGGGGGAGGGGAGCTTTAATAGGGGGGGGGGGGGTTTCGGGGGAAATTTGTTGTTATTGTGGGGGTGCCAGGGCAGATTCCTGGGTTTCAATTAATCAAGGAAAACCAGGCGCTTTAATAGGGGGGGTTTACTAATCCTGGGTCAGCATTAAGATAGACTACAGAACAAAGGGTACCCTTATTCTAACCTCTCCATTGGAGGACCCAGGATGTGTTTGTGTTTTTCTCCGGGGGCCCCCCAAGGTGTGGTGGTTTTTCCCCTTGGTCCCCACTAAAACCACGAAGTGGATAGGTCTCTGAAGGTTGGAGTCCCCTTGGCTTCGGTTTTCCTCTCCCCTGAAACCTTCCGCTCCCCTCGCGGGGGTCTTTTCCTCACCGACTGGGGCCTTTCGCTGGGGCGCCGAAGGCCTGACGATGACACCCTGAGGTGACCCAACCGGGTTCATAGGCCACGGCGGAAAATTTCCGGACATGCTGCGGATGGCCGAAATCCAATTCGCACCACCTACGAAACTCTGGAATGAGTCCCCTGTAAATACCACCAAACCATGGTTTCCAGTGGCTTCAAAGTGGTGCAGGATTTCGTCCATCCACAGTATGCCGACACGGTCCTTTTTTGCCTTTTGTCTTTGTTGGTTTTTCTCCCGGCGGGTTTTGTTTTCCCAGGGTGTAATACACACATCCTTAGACTGAGACTGCCTGATGTACCCCAAAGCTATGAGCAAAGATGCCACAGTTGTCAGCTATGAACGATAAGGCTGCATATCTTGGGCAAGTGCCCCAGAGCCACGCAAACATTCCCCAACTCATGAATTCAGACGTGCAGGTGTTAAAATAAAGGCGGGGGTGCACCAAAAAATAGGTTTGTGTTCCTGTTGGTTGCCCTTTAAAACCACCCTTAAAAGGGTGTCCTTCCAAAAAGCGCAAAGGCACACCTATTTCGGTAGTCAAACACTCAAGTACCCAAAGAGGGGTGTCCTCCAAATCAAATATGTTGTAGAGCGTTCGAGGTTTTATTTCATCGGTTGGATTTTATATTGGTCTAGCAAAGTGACAGCAAGACTAGTAGTCCGTGGTCGATTTGTGGGGACACGCCAAGAGCTTTAAGAAGGGGACGGGCATAACATCAGAGATGCCACAGGGTTGTGGGATCAAGGGGTTTATGTCCACTTCTGTGATACAAGAAAATCTCCCCCTTTAACTGCGGGTTAGTCTTTGGGGCTTACCCTTTCTGCTGTATCGCAGAAGTGGATTCCATTTCCCACAGCTCTGTGCAGCCAGGACTTTCTCACGTCTTAAGGACTTTGCTTGTCGTCTTGTCGTGTTTCTGTCTCTTGATCCCATTTTTCCAGAGCGAAAGATCCAGATCCAGGTCTAAGGGCTTCCGTTCCCTTCAACTGGTTGGTAGTGTTGGATTGAAAGAACGTGCTAGGCTTGGTTCAGGATTGGTTTACGATTAAGGTGGGCTTAGGGCTGGTTTAGGGTTGGTTTGTGCCGGTGCAGGCTGGTTTAGGTGGTTTAGAAAGTTGGTTTAGGCGGGTTTCGGGTGGTGTAGGGTTGGTGTGGGTGGCTTACCAAAGGCTGGTGTAGGTGGTTCTAGGGTTAGTTTAGGGCGGGTTTAGGGTTTATTTGGGGTACTTCTAGGATTGGTGTAGGTTCAGGTGGGTCAGGAAGCTTTGGGTCAGGCGATAGGGTTGAGGCATTGGAGGGGAGTGAGTGTCGAGGGTGCTTGGGACTAGTGGGGCAGAGGTTTGGGAACCGTCGCGGGCATCTGAGGGCTGGGGGCAGAGGTTTCATTAGATATGCCATCAGATATGGGGCACCACAGGGCCCGCGCTGACCTGGATCGTATATATATATATACACACATCTAGGTCCCCCAGTAGTGCCCTTCTCTCCCCTTTTTTGGTTGGGAGGGTTCCCCTAAAATAGACTACAGAAAAAAGGGTACCCTTATTCTAACCTCTCTACTGGAGGACCTAGCACATACGCATACACGTGTTTATAGATTTTGTCTTGCCACCCTGGAATGAAGATGGCCGATAATTTTGGTTTCTCTCCGGAAGAAGCATCCCATAGGAATTCTTTTGCCAGCGGATCAGGCTTATGTGTTCTCATTTTTAGGCGCTTCTGCCCATCTGACAGAGCAAGAGACACAGGGCTGAGATGAGCAGCTGGCAGCGTTGCAGCCAGGACCCTTAAGAAACCCCGACCCCTTGTGGCGTGGGCGCCATTCGGGCTGCGCGGGTTGGTTTTTGTGAGGATCTGTAAAACGGAATTTCCTTTTCAATTCCACTCAAGTTCACTCACGCAGTCAAGTTCGCATGGGGCCTCTGTGGGCGCAGCTGGTTTATTGGGGAGGACTCATTCACTTAAAATATGTGTCTGTCACTTTTGGGTTGCTGAAAAGGAAGCCCCCCCAAAAATAACCACCGTGGGAAAAGAGACAGAAGCGCAAGCCACATAGCCGCACGGTCGAGATGGATTTAACGGGTCTCAGGTTGGATTCTCACCATATGCTTCCAACCTAAAACCGACACACACACACACACACTAGGTGAAACGTCACCAGTGTTCCAAAATGAGTGAGTGGTTGGGATCACATTGGGGAATTCAGATGGTGACAAATTACATATTCTAACAGTGTCACATTCAGATCCCACTGATGTCCAACCAGGATGATTCTCTCACCACATATCCAAAAAAGATGGGTGAAGCGTGAAAAGGGAACCAGAATGATTCCTAGGGGAACATGTCCCAAAACGATGGGTGAAACCTGAAAAAAAAAAAAAACCAAGCGGCCCACAGGGAACCATGACCCAAAGCGTGAGAAGTAACCAGAATTTCTCCGCTTGGGGAACCCCGACCCGAGCGGCAGGGAGTCGTGGCTGTCTCACCGAGGTACTCGGCGCTGCCTTCCCAGGTGCCCAGTGGCCGGCCGCCCTTCCGGAGCTCCCCGGAAGCGTCTGGACGTCGCACGTGGCGCGTTGGACTTGGCGTTGGACTTGACGGCGGAGCGGGAATGAACCGGTTTTGGGGATTCCCTTAAAGGGAGCCATATAGGGGATGGTGAAAAAGGGGTTCGTTCCCTCATTCCCGGCCTATCGAAGCAAGAAGGGGAGCTTCAACTGTTCTTTGCAAAGTCATCTGGCTGTAGCTCAAAAACATCTACAACAAAAGCACCTCGGTACATGGAGCCAAAGACTGGCTACCAAAGACCAACCCCAGCCCTTGAAATTTTTTGCGCCGCAGCTCGCTCTGGGACGGCGATTTTGCGAGGGCCCACTGGAGCAGGAGCCCGAAAAACCGGCGCACCTTTTGTTTGGCTTGCGGGCGGCAGGAAGAAGCAAGATGGCGTGTGTGGCTTTCGGCCATGCGCGCGAAAAAGCCTAAGAAAAGATCTGCGGCACTTCACTCCAAATTTTGGGTCTGATGAAAGAAGATGTCACGCAGCGTTCCCCACAGGTCTCTCAACAGAAGACACGAAATGAAATGCCAAAGCATTCTAGCCACGGTGGGGGTAGGATTGTTTCCTTGTGCAGTGGACATGTTGCGCACCATTTCCCACACATGCAGCTCAACGTTTTGGACAACGTTTGGCAAACACACAAAAAATCAAACACACACACACACACAACTGAACACACAAACAATAGCAAAAGAACAACACCAAAAGGAAAACAGCAAACACGAACAACCAATCCTACCCCCTATGGACTTTTTGGTGTTTTGGTTCTTTTGGTCCAGTGGACATGTTGCGCACCATCTTCCAATGTTGTGCAACATGTCGGCCAACGTTTGGCAAACAAACAACATAAGCAGCAAACAAGAAAATCAACAACAAGAAACCACCAACAAGAATGCAAAGCAACAGCAAACAACCTATCCTACAACAAGGTGACACGGCAATTTGGAGCCCGCCGGAACACCGCTGTTTCGTATGGCCTGCGTGGGGAATTATCAAGACGGGGTGTTGCAAAAGCGATCACCGGCGACACAAAAGTGTGTTGGGGGGGGGGACTATCAATACACGACGACGCGAAAGCGATCACCGGCGACAAGAGAGGTTTTTGCACTCGCACTCAGCCATGTCATGGTTTCAATAACCTGCTCCGCCGGTTGGGCAGCAAAATCGAGCAGCAAGCTCGGCAGAAACAGGAAAACCCCCAGCCTCACAAGTTCCCGGTATGTGTCAAGTAGGGATTTGGATCCCCTCTTTTCCTTTTGGTTTTCCTTTCGGGCGCCCAGCCGCCCACAATCTGACTGGCTCGGTTCGTTCAGGCCCCAAGCTCCCAGTCCAAAGCGAACCGACCTTCTGATATTCTTTGTCGAGTTCCCAAAGGGCACTGCTGACTTGTTTGTGTTTCCTGGGTATGTGTCAAAATGTGCGGTTTCTTCCTGATTGACTCCGTTTAAGATCATATGAAGAAGGCTACTGTAACTTTCCTGGAATCCCCTTGTCAAAGAGAACCACCTGGCGTTCTTGGGGCTTCAAGTCCCTATGTTGAGTCCTCCAAAAATCCCTCGGTGTCTGGCGGGCCGAGGCTTAATGGCGTTGTGCCCGTCCAACAGTCTGAAGGACTCCTGCCAATCGGAAGCGCGGTCCAGCGCCGAGGTAGTGAAAGCAGCGCGGCAAGAAGCGTCTTTTTTCATTCCGGCGGCTGGTTCAACTAGGTTTGTCGCCAGGGGGCCCATCAGACCCAACAAGACCCTACTATGTTTCGTCCCTGAGGCTGATTTACTAATAGGGGGGGGTCCGGGTCTATTATTAGGGGGAAGAGATTAGTGCCCTTTCTCACCCCTTTTTTGGGGAAGGGAGGGTTCTTCTCACCCCTTTTTTGGGGAAGGGAGGGTTCCCCTACTAAAATAGACAGACGAAAGTTGGTACCAGCTTATTCTAACCTCTCTACTGGAGGACCTAGTCAACCTAGAACTTACCACTTGGGGGTGACTTGGATCATGGTAAAGTAATGGGGTTCAGTAATTGTTTTCCCTTAGCTTAGGCAACTGAATTTCGGGTGTGCTGAAGGTTTTATCGGACCTGTGAACATTTTGGGGAAATCTCACTGCCCAATCAAGCGACCGGAGTTTTTTGGTTGTTGTTGTTTGGTAACGGATCTTTGGACCGTAACTTTTTGGTTGACACAGTATGGATTTTCCACCAACCAATAATGGTTCTTCGCTTTCCCGTTGACTTAGAAGTATTGGCCCAACTTGCCCGCATGTCCATGGAGTAATACATGGGCGGATGGATGCATGGAGGGAAGTAGGGAGGGACGGCTTGGGCGGAAAACCGGCCTTACATTCCCGGCATCGCGCTTCATCGCGCTTCCGCAAGCGTTCCATGGAAAAACTGAGCGTGCCGCGGCCTTTTCGCGTGGCTGGGCTTCTGAGAAGCTCGACCCATGAGGCATCCTGAAGAGATCAGGAGCCTGGCAACAGAGTGGGTTCCTGGTTGGGGTACCATGACGCACGACGCACGAGACTAAGCCTTGGCCAAGGCTTCCAGAGGATGAGCACCGCCACCGCATATTTTTGTGGAGTTTTGGCCAGAGCTGATTGCGAGGAGCTGGAGTTTTGGAGTTGAATTGCCTCCATTTGCTTAAGATGGTTTGTTCTTTTCCCGTGTTGGTCTTAAAAAAGGAGTTTATCATGACTGTTTTTTTTCCAGGGGTCTTAACCAAATGGAAGATTGAGGCCGCTCAAGGACTCAAATGGAGAAACGAGCCAAGGAGGCCCCAGAGCACACCCGCAACGGCCAGCCTCAATTGGTATTTGATCCCTGAGGTTCGAAAAGAGACCCGATCTGGGTGTGGTGGTATTCTGGGTCTTCGGTTAGTGCCTTTTTTTTAACTAAAATAGACTACAGAAAAAAGGGTACCCTTATTCTAACCTCTCTACTGGAGGACCTAGTATTCCAACGTTGCCAGAAAGCGGTGCTTCTGTAGATGTCTTGGGTCAGACCCTCACTGGGGGTTTCATGTTGATCCCACATTCATCAGCCCCCGTTTATAAATCAGAACGGGTGGGGGCCCCCTCCAAAAGTGGTCTGACTCCCCACATTTCACCCAGGAACACCTCCCCCAACTGTGGATGGACGAAATCCATTTCGCACCACCTAAGAAACCCAGGTTTCTGATGATTCCCCTGGATTGCCAATAAACCTTATGGTTTCAACCATAATTTGGAAGTGGTGCGAAATGGATTTCGCAACCACCCACAGTACGACTCCCCACAACCCACCCACCCTGACCCACCCACCTGGCAAGAGGACCTGACTCTATGGGTGTTGCCGTCTTGTGTCTTGTGCCCGGGCCACCAGGTTTTGATGGCCACGTCTTGTGCCCCACGGGCCTCAGGTTGTGCCGAGCTCCAAGCTGGGCATCGCCGAGTGCGAGAGCTACTGCAACAGGCGCTTCGATCGGGGCGGCGACCGCCGGCGACCAGACGGGGAAGTTTGGAGCCAAGGGACGAATTGGCCAAAGCCGCAGGTATTTCTTGGTGGCCTTTAGCCCTCTGGTTCCTTAGCCTTTTAGACTTTTGGTTGGTTTGGTGTTTGGGTGTCCGAATTCAACCCGCTAAGAGTTAGACTTGTAGCAGGGGATCTGAGGGCAGCCCAGATTCGAGCTGACATGGTGTCATCTTCATGCACAGAGAAGGGAAGGCTGCGAAACCTGTGAGGGAACGTAAGCTGACAGGAATCGTCTTGTGACCTGGAAAGCCCGTGTTCCGCAACTCACTGTTCCCTGCTTTCTGGACTGGACGGACAAGAAGTTCAGGGACTCTCTCCCTCTCTCTCTATCCACTCAGAAAGTGGTGGAAGAGGGGGTCATTCTCATCCAGCGGCAGGCTGTTCCCAACTAAAAGGTGTCCCATAAATAGACACCTCTGCTTCCATGTGTTTTCAGCCGCCAGCGGCATTTGATTTCCTGGCGCAAACCCCTGCTGTCCAAATTGCTCCAAACGTCATAGCTTTGAATCTGAGGATGTCACCCTGGATCGACTCTTTTGGCTGAGTTTGAGCCACAATCAAAACCGATTCGGGTAGATGAAGGTTAGTAAGGGACAATCCCAGCCATAGATAGTTGCGGCCGCCTTTGTATTTCCTTACGTGGTTCTGGGTCAACCATTTTCATACCGGGTTTTGGCTGTGACTCATTTGCCCGCGCCGCCGGCGTCTCCGGGTTTTTGGGTCCGCCAGTAACTTCGGCATGGAGAGCTACCGCGGCGTGTGCAAGGGCTACGTCATCCGCAGCCCCTTCAACGACGGCGTGGAGAGGGCCGAAAACTCAGCGTTCCGCTTCAGCCGCCTCAACGGGGTCGTGGGACCTGGTGGGTAATCTGCTGTTTTGGTACCCTGCTTGGTGTGGGCTTACACGGAAGCCAACAGAAACCATCCATCTTTGCGGGGTTTCCGTATGAAAAGAAAAACATGGAAGTCGCGGTCGTTTTTTTTTCTTTTTCCTTTTCCAGTCGCTGTTCCTGGTTTTTGGGGGGTAAAGAAGGATGGAGAAAGAAGCGATCCCACTCGTTTCCTTGGGGCCCCCCGGTTTGGATTTCGGCACTCGCGGCGCGGATCTGGGGGCCCGCTGGGGCGGAGATTGGATCGTGGAAGGTAGACACCGGCACCTCCCCGGTGAAGTTGTGCTTGTTTGGGGCTGCCAAACAGAGATATGATCTTTCGAAACGAAAGAATGTCTAAGTCATTTGATATGTCTCTTTGAATATATACATATCTAAGCATCATGTTGACATACAGTAGATATTACTGTTCCTTACCAGCACATTATATATATATATATGATTGCTATGTCCCAGCGCAGTGTTCTTAAGCCAAGTCTGCCGGCTCCTTCGGGTGGCGTTTCAGGGCAAGGCCCAGTGCTGGCTGATCCTGGGCACGGCGGAACCCAGCCACGGCTTCCCCGATGAGGTGAAGATCGCCGGGGGCTCGGCGGGGGCTGCGGGGGAGTAGCCCCGGGGGGGCTGCGGCGGGGGTGGTTTGGTTTGGGGGATTGGTTGGGGGATTGGTTGGGGGATTGGTTGGGGGATTGGCTTTTTTTCTGGGCAAAACAGGGGTCCCTCTGTTTCCCTGAACGTGTCGTTGCTGCAAACATCTCGACTTTCCTTGGGGGGTCACATATTTAGGATTGAAATCTAGGAAGCCTTGGGGCGGGGGGAAGGGAATGGGAGGGTCCCTCCTCGTTCTTAGGGTGAGGGCCCCTTTTTGAGATGACACCTAGATTGGGTTAAGCACCTGGCCTGGTTTTCAAAACCGTCCTGCCTTTTGGTGTAAAGGTCTCCAAGGGGGATCGCCTTTTACACTGGGTCCTGGCTTTTGTGAGTGCTTGGTTAGGGCTGCTTCTCCTTCCATCCGCCCCCCCCAAAACGGCGGGGGCTTTGGGTGCAATGGATCCCCACTTTTCTACAGAGGTCTTCAAATCAATTTTCAGGGACCCCCGCTGGCTTTGTAGTGGGTTTTGGTGTTGCGGCTTTTGCCTTCTTCATAATCTCAGAGTCTCAGCATTTTCCAGAAGAACCCAGGACATCGCGACTTATGGCCGTGAAAATCCGAGGACACCGCAACTTATGGCTCTGAAAAACCGAGGACACCGCAACTTGTGGCTGTGAAAAGCCGAGGAAAACCGATGCACCACAACTTATGGCCGTGAAAACCGAGGACATCACAACTTATGGCCGTGAAAACCGAGGACACCGCAACTTATGGCTGTTAAAAACCGAGGAACCCCAACCGAGGACACTGGCTGTAAAAAACCGAGGACGCCGCAACTTATGGCCGTGAACAACCGAGGACACTGGCTGTAAAAAACCGAGGACACGCAACTTATGGCCGTGAAAATCCGAGGACACCGTAACTTATGGCTCTGAAAAAACCGAGGACACCGCGACTTGTGGCTGTGAAAAAAAACCGAGGAAAACCGAGGCACCACAACTTAAGCTCGTGAAAACCGAGGACACTGCAACTCATGGCCGTGAAACCGAGGACACTGCAACTTATGGCTGTGAAAAGCCGAGGAAACCGCAACTCATGGCTCTGATGAACCGAGGACACTGCGTGAAAAGCCGAGGACACCGCAACTTGTGGCTGTGAGTGCTTTGGCAACTGAGCTTACTCAGCTTAACTGGCCATGAATTTTAATGGGGACCCCCCTCCCAAATGGTTGGTGGACGTAAATCCCCTAAATGATGTCCACCAGAGGGCCCCTCATTAAAATTCCCGCCCAACTACCTGTCACACACGCGCCTTGGACCACATCGCCGCATCAAGATTTTTCCGAGGACCGGAGCAGCCTCGTGGGGAAGAGCAACAAGCTGACCTTCTTCAAGGTCCGGGTGGAAATTGGGGAGGGACCATGGGGTCAGGCGAGTTTTTTTTTTTTTTTTTTTTTTTTTTTTTTTAAGAGGGAATCTACCACTACTGGATATTTTTCTCCCCAGGGGACTTAAGCAAATGGAGGACAATGTTGAGGCTAGCCTTTTGATGGTGGGGTTAACCGGAAACAAAGGGGACACAATTAGGAAGCCAAGACTTGGACTCCTGATCGTTATGCTAAGAGAACCATGGCAGCACGCTGTTTCAGCGTTCTGGCAGGATAAGCCCGGAGTTGAAGCCTCTGTTCCTTGCCCCATCTGCCAGCAAAGTCCTACAGCTGCGAAGCATCATCCCGACAGTGATCGGATCTGGGCCAGACAACCCGAGAAATGTGGAATTGAAGCCGAGAAATGGGACCAATTCGAATTGACCAATTCACCAAATCTCTGGCTGCACATGAAATTGGGGGACCAAATCACCGCTCGTTTTGCTCATGACACTGGGTCAATAGTTGTTTTCTTCTCCTTTTTTCCGGGTTTTCCCTTTTTTGCGGGCTAGGCAAGCCAAAAGGAACACTGACCCGCAGCCATTCTGTGGTCCTAAAACAAGACATCGGAGGGCCCTGAGCCTCAGGAGTTTTGCGGCTGCGAGTCGCGGGTGATCCACTTCAGGCGTCAGGCGGGCTCGCTCGCGTGTGGGCGCGCGTTCGGGCACTCACATGTAAGCGCGTGGGGTTAGTCGGTCTGTTGGCCTTCGAGCTAGGTCGGTCTAAAACGCTTGGGTGCTTTGGAATGTTCAATCCAAACTCGAGCTTGGGGGTTGGTATAACAGGGCTCCTTAAAAGATACATTTTGCAACCATTTGAAACATGTTGCTTTTTCAACACCAAAATAAAGGTTGACACCACCGTTGCAATGTTCAGGTGTATGATGCATCCGGATCCCTGTGTAAAGATGGACAAGGAGAGTTTGAAGCCAGTGGGACTCTCCTAAAAAAGTGCAGGCAGGCCCTTCCAAGGCGAAGACTTGGACTCTCGAGCCTGGGTTTTGGCTGCTACGAGCATGCGTTGGTTGCCAGGAAGGAAACACTAGGTCCCCCAGTGCCGGCCTTTTACCCCCTTTTTTGTTTTTTTGGGTTCCCCTACTAAAATAGACAACACCGAAAAAAGTGGGTGCCCTTATTCTAGCCTGCAGGAAGAGGCCGTCGGGGCTCCCTCAGCCCACATGAGATTTACTTGGTCAGGTCTACGGTCCATCGGGAGGGACATGGGGGGAAGGCACGAAGAAGAAGAAAAAAGGCCAAGTGCTCTTGTTTGAAGAAACAAAAAGGCCAAGTGCTCTTGTTTCTTTTGTTTTCTCCTCTTTTTTTTTTTTCTTCTCGGGGAAACAAGTTGTTCTGACCGTGGTTCATGTGGTTGTTCCATCAATGTCGACCGTGAGCCACACTCCGAGTCGTTTTTCTTGACCGCGGGAGAATCTGGGCGCCTTCCGCAACAAACAAAAATCGGAAGGGTCCCAGCCGTTTTGGACGCTGGAGGTTGAACTCCACGCTGGTCTGTCTCTAAGGATTCCCTCACCAGGCGGTGGTTGTCAAAACCGTTTTGGGATCCCATTTTGGTTGCTAGGTGAATTCACCACCCAGGTTAGGACCTGTTTTAGTGGGTCCCGATTGGGATGTTCACTGGGGGCACGATTTGGATTTTCACCCATGGCCATGAGGGCGGATTGCCCTCTGAACAAAGGTAAGGTAGTGCCGTTTTGATGGGAGGACCATTCCTTCCATGGCGACGCGGGTCAGGGGCAATGGCCACTCAGGCGAAATAACCAGAAAGATGAATGGGGGGGGGGGGGGTGGCAACCATACCCGAAAAAAAAAAAAAAAAAAAAAAAAAAAAAAAAAAAAAAAAAAAAAACAATACCCTAAAAAGGGGGGGGCGTTCATATAGTGTGGGGATGGCTTTTTGAAGGACACCCCCTGTCAATCCACCAGGTTGATCAATCCAAGGGCAGCATTGAGATTCTCCAGTTCAAACATTGGGCCGGTTTTGTAGGAGGGTCTTCGAAAGCGGGGGGTTGGAGATGTCTCACTTTGAGTTTTCTGGCGATTGCCTGCCCATCAAGCCAGCAAGCCGTTCGAGGCCTTTCGGACGGACCTGGCGCTGAAGCGCCACCAGCTGGCGATGCTGCGGAGGGAGCGGCGCTATCGCCCCGCCTTCGCCGCGTTTTGCTCGCCAAATCGGGGCGCGCACGGGCCAGGGGGGGGCCGATCAATGTTCCTGGCCACAAGTAACCATGGGTAACTTCTTCCCCGTCTGGTGGGACGTTTCTTCTTCTTGGTGGTTTTTCCCCACTGGTAAGGGACCTATTGATCAACCCCCCATGTGCATTGCCATGGGAGGTTTGGCAACTTGACGAAAGTGGTGATACTAGAACTACCATGTGTGTTCAACTCCCAAGTTTAGCGCACCTTTCGCCACTTCAGGTTTTCTTCACCTTCCTTTTGTGACCAACACGTCTTACAAGGGATGAGTCTAAGTCTGGGCCAGGTTGGACTTGCTTGCTGCAAACCCAGACTCCCTGAGAAGACTGTTTTGCAGAGGGCAAGTAAGGTTCAAATATGTATCCTCCGCCAAACATGGAAATCCACTTTCGCCCCCTCTCCAAAAGGAAATCTCAAGTGATACATGTCCAACCCCCACAGATTGCAGGGGTTGTCCTTTTGTTTCCCTTGAACGCCATCCCAGAAAAGCTGCAACGGACAGCTCCTTCTTTGAGGGCATGGTTCACGTGGGTTGTTTGGGGGCGCGGAGGTTATGCACGTGTACAAGGGGAATATACGTGGCCAGACTTAGCTTTTGGCCCTTTTGGTTCTTCCTTATTTTCGTTTTCAACCATCCAAAAGTTTACCTCAGTTGTTCAAAGCCGACCTTTTGACCTTTTGGTGTTCCCTTTTTGGTCCATTTTTTGTCATGGCCCCAAAAGGTTAACCTTTTAGTTCTTGGTCCTTTGGGCAAGTGAGTTACTCTTTGGCGGGTCCAAGTTCCCGGGCAGAGTTGTTGAAGGTTGCTTCGAGTTCCGGTCTCGCAGAACTCGCTTCGCAGGGGTCCCTATTGCTGTGGCAACCAAAAAAAACGGAATTCCAAAATGGGTTGCCCTGGCAAGTGGAAACATGGACTTCAAAACCTGCGGTTTGCCCCCCCGATCGTTTAATTTCGAGCCACACCCGTATCTCCCTTTCCAGCTTCAAATTGAAGCCGCCGGTTGGGGGAAATGCTGGGAGCCCTGAAGCTTCAGGACACTCCGGACTCGGCGGACATTGCCGCCTTGAGTGACGAGGTGGGGTTCGGGGGTTCGGGACCCGGGTTTCCCGGACGTGTTTTTGCTGCGAAAATGGGCGGTTCTTTCCGTGTGGTTTCCCTAGAGGCTTCAAGACAGACCTAGAAGATGTTGTGGGGGAAGTTCCGTTTGATCGCATGGAGACCGATGATGCAATGACGGACGCAGATAGCCCTTTCGACACTCCCAAGGAAGAGAATGCCAATCCGCGCTTTTTGTGGATTTCACCTTGTTCTTCCCCTGTTGGCCCGTTTTAGCACTCTCTTCGGAAAAAAACAGAGGATATCCTACAGGGGGTGGATCCACACCTTGCACCCCGTTTTCTTTTTTTGTTTCGAGGCGTCCCCAGTAAATATGGAAAAGAACCCCAACTAGGTCCCCCAGCTAGGTGCCCTTTTATACCCTTTTTTTGGGGGAGGGTTCCCCTACTAAAATAGACTACAGAAAAAAGGGGTACCCTTATTGAAACCTCTCTACTGGAGGACCTAGCCAAAAGTGAACTCCAAGAACATCTTGGGAATCCCCGAGGCTTTTCGATCGTTACCCATAGACCGCTGTTTTGTTTCGACAAAATTACCGGACCTCGAGCTGCGCGGAGCGATTCAACCTCGAAGCCCATGTTCACGGATTCGCCAGGTTCTGTTGGCCAACAAATGCAACAGAAGGGATGGACAACCACCAAACTCTCTGGTCTGGTGCCAACCATCTTCAGCAACAACCATCTAGAGGGTCACAGTTCTTACCGGTAGACCTCTGCAATATCATTCCAGGGGTTGATTCCCCCTTCTTTTCAATCATCGTCCTTTTCAAAGACCTGCCGTTTTCCCTGGGTTTCTAAAAAATTTTCTGGAAAGATCCGGCTAGCTGGAAAGAATGTGAAGAAAACACAATTCTGGACAGATCCGGATCCCTGGGTTCAGAATGGTTGGACGCGTCTCCGAGAATCATGCCGGTCTTTTTCATCAATTCTTCGCCAGGTGAAGACCCACGAGTTGGAGGAGAAGAAGTACGCGCGGCTCACGCAGCTGGAGGGGGTCTACGACTGGCTGCCGCGCCCTGGCCGTCGGGCTTTGGTTGCTTCGGGGGATGAGGATTTTCTCTCGCCTTTTTGGGCCTTTCTCTAAGACGAACTTTTTGGATCGGACCAATTTATTTGGATCCAAGTTTTTGGATGAGACTTGGGTTGGATCTTTAGACTTTAACTTTTTGGAGATTCCCCTCATGTTGCCTTTTCACCGGCAAAAAACGGATCACTTCTTGCTGGGGGATCTACACCCAAGCTTTGGGGCGAGTCCTTCAGAAAGTGGGGCAAGCGTCGGGGTTTGGTCCTCAAATCTGTGGGGAGGCCTCCGGGCGGGGCGGGAGGCGCGAGGCGCGAGGCTGTCAGTTTGGCCCATGCAATGTGGCTGTGGCAGCCAAAAAACCGGAATTCCAAAATGGGTTGCCCTGGTAAGTGGAAACATGGACTTCAAAACCAGGGGCTTGCCCCTCCGATCGTTTAATTTTGAGCCACACCCGTATGTGCCCGAGCTTCTGAACTTAACTTGTTTGGGAAGGCCACTTGCAGCGGCAAACAGTGGCTTGGCCTTTTTTGAGGCAACTCAGGAAGTGAGTTCTGGGTTGATGTCGAAGTGTTTTCCGTGCTTGTCGTTTTTCCGAAGAGAAGCATAGAACGCGAGATTTCAGGAACATTGTGGGGGCGTTTTTTTTCCTTCTTCTTCTTCTTCTTTTTTTCTCATTCTTTTTTTTTCTCTGGCTGGTTGTTGCGTTTGCAAACGAGCAGGGTTTCAACCAGCATGTACCAAGCAAAAAACGGAGGCTTTTTCGGCCAGCTTTTTCTTGCCGGACGACATCCATTCCTTCTCGTCGTCCAACTTTTTTAGGTGGCCCCGGTGGTTTTCCATTCCCGAAAAGCTGCTGGGCTTGGCAGACAGCTTTTTGCTTATAAACCGGGGTGGGTTTTTTTCTCAGGGAAAAGACGGCAAAAGACGACCCCCCCAAAAAATAACGCAAATCTCCCGGGATGATTTTCGCAGGGAAAAGACGGCAAAAGACGACCCCCCAAAAACGTTTATCTCAGTCATAGGTGTCCTTTTGGTCAAGTAGTTGGGTTTCCCTGGCAAATGGATGGCATAAAACTGATCGAACCCAGTGGAACCCACCTATTTCTAGCCAAGACCAAGCCAAACTAACTGACCAAACTAGCCAAACGAACCCAAAAGCAAGCCAAGCGAACCAAAAAACAAACCAAACTAACCAAAAAACAAACCAAAGTAACCAAACTCACCAACAAAACAAACCAACGTCACCAAACTGCCCTCGCTGTTTCCATCCAAACCCACCCATCCAAAGGGCCCTTGTCCCCCCCGAGCCGTGGGCGTGGGGAGTTCTCTCTCCTAGGCTCCGGCCCCCGCACCGCATGGCCAAGGGCTCCGAGCCTCCGAAGCAAGTTGGTTGGGGCGTCGTCGTCGTGCGCTGACGAGGTCTCAGGTTTGTTTCAGGTAACCCAATTGGTGGTTTGGATTTGGATCTGCCCCCCTGGTTCTTGAATGGGAAACCATCAACCTCCAAACCGCCAGGCCCCCCAGCAATTGGGGGGACCTTTCTCTCCAGTTTCTTTTTTGGTTGGGAGGGAAACCTTCTTCTAAAATAGGCAAAACCGAAAGGGAAGAAAAACAAGTAAAAGTGGGTAGCCTTATTCTAACATCTCTCTCCTGGACCCAGCTGCTCCAGTTCGACGGATGGGCCCTCAACGCCCCAGGAGCTGCGTAGGTTGGACCTCCCCAATGGTGAACGGGGGGTGGAGGTGTCCGAAATCGGCTGGTTGCTTTCGGACCTGTTGGCTCAAGCAAATGGGGGTGTGAATAGAAGCGGTTTTTGAGGTCCGGTTTCCTTTTGGGGGGTGGGGAGGGAATGAGGGAATGAGGGAATGAGTGAATGAGTGAATGAGGGAATGAGGCAATGGTGCTCAGCAGGTGAAATGATTCGGGATTCCCGCATAAAGGGAACCACCAGTTGGAGGGTTTACAGCTGTCATTCTATTTCTCATTCCCTGCCTCGCACCAACAAGTTCGACCTCCCAGAAAAGGGGGGGAGATGGGGGGAGGTTTCCGGTTTCCTTTTGGCTTCCCAAAAACAACCAAGCAAATGGGGGGTACCAACAAAAAAACGACACGCCCGTTTCCGGTTTCCTTTTGGTTTCCCAAGAAAAATGCCAAGCAAATGGGGGGTACCAACTCACCCATGTGTGTTTCTGCGTCTTTTATTGACTTGGTACCCTTTCCACAGCCCCGGAGGTGGTGATGGGTGTGGGTGAAGGAACCCTATGAGCTTTCGACGCATGAGGAAGGTATCCCCCGAAGGTCCAAACCACCAAACAAGTACGGGGAAGTTTTTGTTTTTTGTTTGGGGGCGGGAGGGGCGATTCTTTTGGTGCTAGGTTTGGTGGGCCAGGTCGTGGCAGGGTCCCCGTCGTCGGTTGGTGGGTGCCATTTTAGCTGTTGCATGGCTTTTGTGGCTTTTGCTTTCCTTGTGAGCAGGGTACCTTTTTTGATTGGTTTGAAGGACACCAAAAGGAAAGCCACCATGTTTGGGTCCTCCAGTTTTGAACACATTAATGTGGGCCAACCAAAGGGGAAAACATGGCATTGGGAATAGAACGTGAGGATCCCCGTAGACAACCATGGTGTCTGAACTGAAAAGGGGTGGTTTCACCTCCCGGATCCCGGGCACACACACACACACACACATGGTGGGGCTGGGGCATTGACTGGGACCTCCTAGCAAAATCCGACGAACTGCGACACAAGCTCTGAACATACTACTTTTGGGCAATTACCCAAAACATATGGGCCAAAGATATGGCCCACCCCAAAAGTGGTTTCTTTTTCTACCGGTGGCTGCCCTTTCAACATGGAGTGCGTGCTTGAGCTTGTTTCCCCCGTCGAAAACTCCGAAGACTCCTGCTGCCGTGCAAGGAGAAGTTGCTCCCCGCGCGGTTATTGGAACTGATCAAGCCAGGCCTGATCCAGAACCAGAAGCGCTCCTACGGGCGGCTTGGCCCGCAATTTCGGCTGGCGCCCCGAAGTTCTTGAAGCGCACTACGACCATTTGCAAATCATTTGGCTGTGGGTCAAAACCCATGGTACCATCTTGGGGTAGGTGCACTACCCATTTTGGTCTTTTTAGCGGGGATTGGGATGTTCACTGGCGGTACGGGCTGGATGTTCACTGGGGGTACGGGCTTTTGACCCATGGCCATTTGGGTGTGTGTTGTTTTCGGTACCGCCTGGCAAATGGTGGTTTTCCTTTTGGTTTCCCTTTATACAAAAGCGGTACCCTCAAAAAAAGACAGGGACGGTATGTTCGAGTTGCCGCAGGCCTTTGACTGGGTCCCCAAAGTGAGAATTTGGCTACCCAAGAAAAGTGCACGAGAACCCCAGCACTCTCATCTGTTTTTGAGGAAGGCAAATTGGGTAAGGTATTGACTCATGGCAAGCGGTGCAACCCGACAAGGGGCCGAAAACGGAATCAGGTTCGTCTCCTTAAACGGGTTTGGTTTGGCAACCCACATTTTGATTGGGTTGCCATGGTTTCCCCTGAACGAACAACACAGCAACAAAGCTGCCCTCAAAAAAACAACAACGAGACACATCCTTTGTGAAGACGTCTAGATCGCTTTGATCAAGAGATCCTTGTCAAACCATGCTGGCGCAGGAACCGCTCCAAAGAGGAGATGGGGCACACTCAACATAGTACCAGAGGATGGGGTGTGTAGCAGATGTAACCCAAGTCCCATTGAGACACCACGAAAGTCATGTCCACTCTATGATCGCAGGAACTATTGGGAAGCGCCGGTGAGAATCAGCAACGTGGCAGGATCTCAGACGCCGACCGAAACTTCCGGCGTTGCGGGGGTTGCCAGGGTGGGGAAGTTTGTGTCCCCTTTACTGTTGCCCAGAAGGTGGTTTTAAACGTCACATACTTTTGGTTTGCAAGTCAAGGCGATGTGGCTCGGGTGAACATCAAAGGAGAAATATAGGGAGCCCTGTCAAAAGCACAGTCCTTTTCCCTTATTGTATGTCCCTCCCTTTTGCAGATCAAACTCGGAGCCTGGACACGCACGCACACGGCGCGCAAATTCGATTCTTCGAGGGGACGGGCACGTCGTCATGCAAAACGGGCTCCGGGCCGCGTTTTGTTTTCTTCTCTTGTTTTTTTTTTCTTTTTCATTTTTCCTTTTTTACACCATTGAAAGGCTTCCTGTACGCTTCTGTGCCTTTGCGGTTTCCGTGGTTCTGGCCAGCAACAAGTTCACCTGCGGGGCTTGAATTTTCCTCCGGCCCATTTTCCAGAAGCCAAATTTCCACGGCCTTTACGGGCCTAAGACCCTAAGACAGGCGAGTGGTTTGGGGCACTTTACCCTCGCGGCTCACATGGAACATAATCTCACCCTTCGGGCCCAAGAAATGGGATCTCCTTCGCCGATGTGTGGCGAGCTCGCTCGGACGAGTCGGTAGAGGCGAAGGAGCCGTCATGAAGGTCGTTTGATCCAATTCTCAATTCAGGTTTGGGAATGAAAGTAAACCACAGACTTGCTGGACTGTGGTTATTCGAGAAGGCGATTTTTTTGACACCGACAAACCCTTCGGACGTTTTTCGGCCACGGAAGTGGGACAGTCATGAAGATTGACCCCGGAATAATGGTGTTCCTCTCCAAACGTGATGCCTCCCCACTAAAACCACTAAAGCAGGGACACCCCCTATAATAAACAGGGGTTTCTTACTCCGGGGTTCTCCCAGAATTAACAGTGGATGGCCAGTTTCCATTGCCGGCCTCTCCACCCGTTCGAATCTGGATGGCCAAGCCTCGAGGGCGCGGGGGGGGTGTCCAGGAGAAGTCATTTGGGTTTGTGGCTCAAAATTACAGAATAGGTCCCCCAGTAGTGCCCTGTTGCCGTTTTTTGGGGAGGGTTCCCCTACTAAAATAGACTACAGAAAAAAAGGGTACCCTAATTCTAACCTCTCTACTGGAGGACCTAGAAGAGGTCGGGTTACGCAGGGTTTTAGGCGTTGGTTCCATTTGCCACGGTGCCGTCATTTTCTTTCGTGAGCTGAAGGGCCCCTTTTTGAGCATAACCAAGAACTCGGCCCTGCCCTTTGCCTGGCCCTTGCCGGGAGTTGCAAGTTTGGACACATTAAAAGAATCCCAAGACAACATTTCCAAAATTCAGGCCCGGTCAACACGGAAAGGTCGGTAACTCTGGAACATCCCATCTTTGTTTTTCCATTTTCCCTCTTGTAGGCAATGCTCGTCAGAAGCCGTTGATTGTGCACCCCTCCCCCTTTTCCCTACCGCCAGGAAGATGCTTCTTTGGCCACTTTCTGTGAGCGGGGAATCTTTCTGAGAAGCGGCTGCCTCCCCTCCGGGGGCTCCCATTTTTGTCATGTAGCAGGGATTCGTCTGACCAGGGCGAAACCCGACATTTTCGGACCCGCCAGTTAGCACCGGGGGTTGAGGACCCGCACTTGACTCTAAGGTTAGCTTCCATTTCCAATCTGAACCCAGGGATCCGAATCTTTCTAGAAAACCGCCAAGAACCCGGGAAAACAGATCCGGTTTTCGAAAAGAACGATGGTTGGAAAGAATGGAATCGGAATCAACCAATAGAAAGTTCGCACAGGGGGGTTGAGGACCCGCGAGTGACTTCCCATCGCTTCCTATGACTCAGGCAAGATCTTCAAGAAGTCGGACCTCTCGGCGTTTCTGTATTTGTGCCTGGACAAGAGCAGCCGGGGGCCCCAACACCCGGAAGTTTGGGCTGTATCTGAAGCGACCAAAAGCAGCCAGTATCTGAACTCCAGCGAGCATGTGGGATCGTTTTTTTTTTGGTTTTTATTTTTTCCCCCCTGTATGTGCCAGAAAAGGGGGCTTTCAACATATTCAGCCAGTTCGAAGTGTTTTGTTTCTTTTGACGGCTGTCAAAGGAAGGGGAAACTGCAGAAAACCCTGGATGGAGGATAACACATGGGCCCAAGTTTGCCTTCTCCACATGCAAAAGCTGCTGGCCGTGCTCGCGCTGCCAGCCTGCGTATGTCTTGCCCTTTGGCCCCAGAATTAGCTCCCCCTTTTTTTGTTTTTTCTTTTTTGGGGTTCCTTTGTTTTCCACTACTCAGGTATTTATTTATTTTTGCTGGGTCCTAATTCTAGCCTAGTTTCCACCAGCAACAGTCGCCCCCACTTCCTGTGGGTTCATGGATCAGATGGCTCTCCTCTGGGGGCGTCAAAGCTCCTCTAGCCCCCCCGCCGCGTGTCCCTTTGTTTGCCAACGCGCGCGTGTGTGAACATGGGTATGTGGCCAAGAGGTTGACCCCCAAAGTGTGGGGCGAACTTCCTTTTGCCTTCGCTGCACGCATACAACGAATGGGGTACCCGGAAAAGCACACGCACATACATGTACATATCTGTCTACATATACATAGACACATGCATACATATATAAATACATACACACATACATATACATAATATAGGTACACATTCATACACATATTCATATCCATACACATACGTTCCATTACATTATATTACATTGCAATATATTACATTAGACTACACAACATACATACAGGCGAGTGCCTCGCTTCGGAACGCTGCAAAGCGTAGACAAAAAACGCATGGGGTAGGCTTCGGACAGTTAAGACTACCAAAAAAGGGGCACCCCCACAAAAAGACAGACCCGTATGTCAGAACCGCAGCAGATCCCATCCAACCTGTTGAACGACCACCCACTGGCCTTGACATGTGAAAGTGTTTTTCTCAAACTAACACGCCCTTCGAAAGGGTGTGTAACGCAAAAGAGCACTCTTTCATTTCGATATATATATATATATACATAGTGTTATTTCATAGTTCTATTAACAAGTATTTGTATGTCATGGATTTCGTAAACCTAGTTGCAAATATTAGCTTACCGTCGTTATATAATTCACATATACATTTTGTTAACTTGCAGGGCTTTTGAACATGTCAAACAACTATGATGGCAAAGCTTGGTGAGCCAGCTATTGCCGTTAGTCTGGTTCCTTTGTGTCAAAGCTTTCCGCAGAGGGGGGTGCAGCGAAGTGGACGCGTGTTTTGTGCGGCCTGCTCTCCAGATCACCTTGATGGGGCTGCCCAGTCTGAATAGGGTAGGACCTGTGGCTTAGCCCCTTAGCTGTGTTTCTATTTGAAGACGCTTTCCAGAATCGCAACCCTTTCAGTGTTTGAGTGGTTTGTGTTTCCAAGTTTCTATCTGAGTGGTTCCTGAGTGAGTGGTCTGCCTACATACATACATACGTACGTACATCCATACCTACATATCCCTACCTACATACCTACATACTTGCATACCTATCTACATACCTACACGCCAACATGCCTACATACCTACGTGCACATCTACCTACATACCTACATACATACATACCTACATACCTACATACCTACACACATACATACATGCCTCATTGCTACTCACCTGCATACCTGCATACCTACACCCCTACATACCTATATTCCTACACATCTACATACCTACATACCAACATACCCGCATACCCTCGTACCTACATACCTACATTGCTACCTACGCACATACCTACCCAAACACATCGTCGAAGGAACACAAAGCAAGCCGGTTTCGACCAGTTGAAACATCTTTCCGCCAACGGCTCGGGGGAGGGTTTTGTGCCCTTGTGGCGCACCAAGCAGAAAACTGCCCCTACCCCGCAAGCACAGCTCCCTTTGGGTGTGTGGTACATCTGGGGTGGTCGTCCCTACCCCGCAAACACACCTCCAGCTAAACGCCCCCTTTGGGTATTTCTTTCTGTGGGGTCGCCCAGATGTGGGTATGGGTCAAAATTAAACCACCAGGAATCGGACCGCAGGTTTGAATGTCCATGTTTCCATTTGGCGGGGCAAGCCATTTTGGGGTTACCCTATTTTTGACAACCACAGCCATGTGTAAGCCAAGTACACCCATCATAAACTGCCCCCACCCCGCAAGCACAGCTCCAGCTAAACGCCCCCAAAGGGGTGTGTGGTACATCTGGGGTCGCCTACCCTATTTTTGACCCACCGCCATATTGAGTCTCTCATATTCCTCTCTTCGCAGGGCGTGGTTTTGTTTGCCTTTCCCATATCCCTGACCGTTGGGATTCCCTGTTTTCTTTCCGTGGGGTCGCCCAGACGTGTAAAAAAACCCGAGGCAGCCAGGAGAACTGGTACCTCGCCACGCAAGAGGACCCTGTCAGCTGGGCCACCAGCGAGTTCCGACATTTGAAGAACCACAGCGCCTCGGGCAGTGGAGATGGGAGGGGCAGGTGGCTGTGGTGTCAGAACCGGCCGTTTTGGGATCCCATTTTGGTTGGTAGGTGAATTCACCACCCATCTTAGGACCTATTTTGGCGGTTGGATTGAATCGGATGTTCACTGGGGGTACGATTTGGATTTCGACCCATGGCCGTGTGTGTGTGTGTGTGTGTGTGTGTGTGTGTGTGTGTGTGTGTGCGCGTGGCTTTTGTGTTTTTTTGGGGGACCCCACACCCCGCCAAAAAAAGCAAGCAAGCAAGCAAGCAAGCAAGCAAGCAAGCAAGCAAGCAAACAACGAAGAAAAACAAGAGAAAACATGGCTTTCCTTTTGGCCTCCCTGTCCAAAACCCAACAAAAAGGTACACTGAACCAAACAAATGGACACGCGTGTAGGGGTGGCAAGTTTTGACCCTGCAGCATGGGGGGGTTTCTTTTTGGTTTCCGTTTTGAATATTACCCAAAGGTCAGCATCTTGCCAACAAATGTGGGCGTGGTTCCTTTCTGACCGCGCATCTCTTTGGGGTTGTCTTAAAGGGGGTCTAAACGTAAACCACGATTTGTACACGGTCCTTCTCTGCTTGAAGCAAATCCCCATGTTTCTGTTTGGGTCCGGCACGTCCCGTACCGGTTTGCCTCGTTTTTTGGGGAGATGCGCGTGTGTCTTTTTAAGGAGACTCCCCCAAACTGGCGTCGGCCTTTCTTTGGGGTTTCCTTTAAAACTAACAGAAAAGTGATACCCTCCAAAAAGACAAGCGCATATTTCCCTTTAAAAGCCAACTACTTGGCCAGCGAGTTTTGGTTGTAGAAAGATGGTGCGTGCAAGTCTTAATTTACTTTGGTTTCAGCATCCCTTTTACCAAGGAAAGCTTGCCCGTATGGTCCGGAAATCCGGAGGCAGAGGGGACTTGATGAGACCAGAAACCGAGTGACCCGTTTCCCAAGTTCTCCTTGAATCTCTGCACATTCCATACAGTCAGCAGTGAGTCTGCCTTAGATCGAGTACTTGTGAGTCGCGTGCTCTCGCGGCATGGAATTGTGGCAAAGATAAGTTCGTGGGTACGGCCTATCTAAACCTTTATGACCATCTTGGTACCGCAAGTCAATGAGACGCGGGTTCTCAAATGTTAAGGTTGCTCCTTTTCGTCTCAGGGACTCGTTTGACGGGTTCGAATAAATCCGCAAGGAACCCATAGAACCCACTAAATTGGTTTCTCGATTTTTTCAAGGGCATTGCCTCCAAAGCGCATACCTGCACATGTCAACTTGGGCCGGATCCCGAAATACCCTTCGGGTAGCCGGCGCCTTTGCCGGGTAACGAAAGGGGAACAAGCGTCCCGCTTCGCGTTCCGCTTCGCGTTCCGCTCCGCAATCCCGAAATCCCGAAATCTTGGACATGTAACCCGAGGGCCTGAATCATTACACACATTTGTCTATATATGATCATGACTTATTTCGGTCTTAAAGTGTCCCGAAACCAAATTCTAAGTATGTAGGCTCTCATATGGGTATGGGTTAAAATGAAGCCGCCAGGGGCCGCAGGTTTTAGTCCAGGTTTCCATTTACCAGGGTTCCCAAAATGGGTACCCCTGTTTGACCCACAGCCATATTGAGGCTCTCATATTCCTCTTTGCAGGGCGTCCTGGCCGTTGGGATTTCCCTGAGGCGACGACGATGTGAAAGCAGAGCTTGGGGACCTCGGGGATGGTTCAGGGGGCGGCTGGGTGAGTCACATTTCCTTTTGGGCCCCTCATGTTTTTTTTTTTTTTTTTTTTTTTTTTTTTTTTTTTTTTTTTTTTTTTTTCGGAAACCTCAACTCGATGTTCTGACTGATGGAGAGGGTTGTGGTAGACTTGGTTTCCCTGTGGCAGACGACCTCTTTGGATTCCTTTTTGCCTTGGAAACCTGACCAGAACCTAAAAAGGGTCCCCCAAAGCAAGATCCCTCTCGAAAGTCGCGGCTTGGGGGTTCCATGTTCATCTTTGGAGCTGTTGGGACGGGGGCTTGCCGGTTTTGTGCGGAGAAGGAACCCCTTCTTGGGTGAGGGCGTGTGGCCGTACTCTGGCAACCTGCCCAGGAACTCAAAGGCTAGGTCCCCCAGCTAGGTGCCCTTTTAGTCTTGTTTGGGGGAGGGTTCCCCTACTAAAATAGACAACAGAAAAGGGGTACCCTTATTCAAACCTCTCTACTGGAGGACCTAGAAGGTATCTATTTCTGAATACCTGGACCCTCAAACTACCCTTCCACACAGAGAACCCACAGAGTAGTTTGAAAGAATCGCGTGTCTTTTTGTAGCGTGGCTTGAAAGACACCACGAGCCCACCATGAAGGCTGGTTGCGGTTTTGGGACTTGTAAACGCTGCAGATGGCTTGAGGTTTTGTGCCATGGCCCTCCCTTTTCGTTCAACTTGACATGGGTTGAATCCCGCCAGGGCGAATGTTGACCCCAAAAAGAATCAACCCCAGTGCGTTGATGGGGGGGTGTCCCTGGGTTGAGGGGGGAATCTCACTTTTGGAGGGGCCAAAACCACCCCCAGTTTTATGAAACTGGGGTTGCTTAGTGTGAGGTCAACAAATTGTTGGTTTCCTGAACGTGATCCAATCCCCCCGGTCTCTTTGCCCAAAAGTCCTCGGGGAGGAAGCCAACTTCATCCAGAAGGCCTTCTTCCGCTTGGAGTGCATGGGCACCAAGATCGGTCCGAGGAACGAAGTGGTCTACGAGGCCCGATAGGATGATGGGGCGGGAAAAGCTCGCTCAAGATGTCCAAACTGAACGTCCCCCAAACCCCCCAAACTCCAAACTCCCCAAACCCCCCAAACTCCCCAAACCCCCCAAACCCCCCAAACCCCCCAAACCCTCCAAACCCCCCCAAACTCATTTCCCCCCCCAAACCCATTCCCCCCCCCCCCCCTAAAACCCATCACCCCCCCCCCACCCAACGTGCGTTCCTTCCAGGCTGAGGGCCAACGGATCTCCGAGCTGGTGGACGACACCTTCATCTCTGGCTCGGAGCCTTCCACGGCGCGGACTCGCCGTCGAGCGCCGTCTCGGGGTGGTGGGGGGGGGGGCTTCGGGGGGCGCTTCGGGGGGTTCGGAGGGTTCGGGTTCGGAGGGTCCCATTTCGCAGGGGTTCAGGTTCGGGTTTCGGCAACGGCGTTGTTTTTCTTCTTTTCTTTTTTTCTCCCTCTTTTTTTTCCTTCTCTTTTTCTTGTTATATTCTCCGTCTTCTTCTTTCTCCTTTTTTCTCTCCTTTTATCATTTTTTCCCCGTGTTTCCCCCCCGTTTTGTTCTCCCCCAGACCAGCGGCGATGCTTGGAACTCTTGTTGGATACCACCCGAGCTCCCCGTGGCTTCCTGGAAGCCGTCGGTTTCGTTTCAGCGCTCGGCGTTTCTGGCTGCAGCTTTTCCAGTTGGGCGTGTTCTTTAGGGGACCCCCCCAAAAAATAGTTGGCTCCCCCAGTGGTGCCCTTTTACATTTTTTTTTTGAATAAGGGTACCCCTTTTCTGTTGTCTATTTTAGTAGGGGAACCCTCCCCCAAACAAGACTAAAAGGGCACCTAGCTGGGGGACCTAGCCTTTGAGTTCCTGGGCAGGTTGCCAGACTTTCCCTGTGGCTTTCCCCCAAAAAATAAACCAAGCAACACATGTCCCCTTAAAGAGAAGACACCCAAGCGGGTTCTCGTTTGGGGCAATCTCTTTTGACTGGTTCGATGGGCTTGGTGGTTGCAGAACTCCCCGGGCAAATGATGCCCACCAAGGGACCCTGATCAAAAAGTCACAAGCATGTAAATCTTGCTTGTTCTCAGCATGCAATGCGGGAAATTGCCTTGTGATGCGGTTGTCCACACCTGGGCTTTGCCGCCCTTTGGTGATTCAGGTTGGTGGTTTTGGCCGTAGCCGAAACTCGTCCATAGGCGGGGGAATGCCAAGCTGAAGCATGCAAATCTTTCAGGAAGTCCTGTGGACCCCTCTTCTAGGTCCCCCAGTGGTGCCCTTTTACCTTCTTTTTTCTTTGGGGGGGGGTCCCCTACCAAAAACAAGACAAAACCGAAAGAAGTTGGTACCCATTATTCTAACCTCTCTACTGGAGGACCTAGTCTTGATTCTCTCCTGGAAGCACCAGCAAGTGCTTTTTCTTTCTTTCTTTTTTTGTTTTTGGGGGGGGGTGCCTCCCAGCCTTGTCTGGCGCTGGGTTGGGGCAATCGAACACCTTGAGGTCTCCCTTGGGCGTTGTGCCGAAGGTTTTATGAGACCTCCGGACCTGGGGAAATACTCGAAATACTCGAAATACTGACGAAATCCGTCTCGCACCACCTCAGCACCCCCCAGAAACAAAAACAAATCGATTTCCCCAGTACCAAAACACGCTCAACGGTTTCAACCCTGGCTTTGTTTCATGTCGGCGGAGCGATGTCTGGATTTCTCCACCCTCCACTTGGACAAAAACTGCCCCTTGTTCTTGTACTGGTGGTTTGGATTGGTTCTTTGGATGTGGATTTGAAGCCCTGGTTCTTGTACTGGTGAAACGGCCGGAAAAAAGGTTGGTACCCTTGTTCAAACCTCTCAAGTCTGGAGGGCCTGGTGGACAAAACTGCCCCCTGCAGCGGCCCCGGAACTCGATCCTCGTCGCCAGGACCGGTCCAGGTCCATGGCACTGCAGCCGGCGGGCTGCTACACCAACACCAAGAAGGCGGCATGCGCCTCAAACGGCATGCCTACGCCTTCCGAAGGATTCACGTTTTTTGTTTTGTGTCCCGATGCTTGCGCGTTATTTTTTTTAATTTTTTTATTTTTATTTTTTTTTTTTGGGGGGGGGAAATGCGTGGATGGTTGCAAATTCCATATTTCGCGCCACTGTTGGGAAATCCGGGAAGGAGGATTCCCCTGCAAATACCAGCAAAGGGTGGTTTTCCATGGGCCCGAAGAAAACGGGTTCCTAAACGCCAAGAGAGACAAATCATGTGCCAAAAGGCATCTGAAAGGCATCTATGTAGAGAACCGAAAAGTACAGTGCTTCCAGACAAGCCCTTTTCGGTGCAGGAAGAGCATTGTTATGGCAACTGGGGGAGTTTCTCAAAGTGGGCACTAGTTTCCCGTCTCCTTCAAAGTGACCCCCCCCAAACAGCAGAACCAAGAAGGTGAGACGTTTTGCGAAGCACGTGGGGCTTCGCCCCGAAGCGAAGCGAGTCTTCTCGCTTTTCGAGGGTTTCTTTCTTTGAACTGTTGACAGCAGCATTCCCCAAGGCCCCCGAGGGTTTTTTTTAGGCCCTCAACATGGGCTGTTTTTGAGGGTTCTTGGGTCCGGGTTCTTCATTGGTTGGCCCGGCCGCAGCGCATTGTAGGGGCCTTGAGAGTTAGGGTTGGTGGCAACTGTGTCCTCCACTTGAATATTTTCGGGTAGACGGAGCTGAAATGGCATCTGGGCACCTGACTTTTTTGTGTACAACGGATCTGGGCGACGTTGGGCCCATGTCCAGCCATGGCACCGGATGAGCCACGGGCAGATGAAGGCTAGGAAGGGGCAGTCCCAGCCGGAAACAGTTTCAGCCGCCTTTCTAATTCTTTACATGGTTCTGGGTTCACCATTTTTGTACCAGGTTTTGATTGTGACTCAGATGACTCATGCGCGCGAATCGGCCCCTCCATTTCGCGCAGGCTCAGGATGCCGTTGAGGAGAAGGCGGGTCATGTGAGAATGGGCCAGGCCTTGATTGGTGGTTGGATCGGCGGTGAAAATTGGATTTGGATAAATGGAAACATGATTTTTGATTTGGATTTTGGATTTTGGATTTTGAATTTGGATTTGAACCTCTGGTGCTTGGATTTGGGTAAATGGGAACCCCCACCGCCAACCAAACCCGTACTAGGGAGGCGGAAGCAGATCTGTGGATTTGGGGGCGAAGTCGGAGCCAACTTTCGCACAGGCGACGCTGGGATTTTCCAAAGGGCCCAGGGTCGACGGAAATCCTTCGACGTTTTCCTGAAAGCGGCTGATGCTTAAAACCGCTGCGAGTGGGGATGCTTTGGGGTTGGCAAACCAACCAGCATGGTTTGCCTTTTCGACCGCGGACTCATTTTTTGGCTTGCCCGAACGCTAAAATGGCACTTGTTCTCCTTTGTTCCAGAAAAAGGGGGGGGGAAAAAAAGCCCAAGATGCACCCTTCGCCAAAAAAGACGAGCCGCCCAGTTTTTCTCCCGCTGAGGTGGTGGGCGAAGTGGGCCAGTGCCCAGTGCAGGCCCTGACAAAGCCCAGCAACAACAGCGCGACGCCGGGCAAAAAGCAAGGGGAGTCTGTGCGTCCAGTGGCTTTCAATTTGGTTAAGACTATTGTTTATTTTCCCCTGTTGGTTTTAAAGGGAATCTATCACTACTGGATTTGTTTCTTATTTTTCCCAGGGGAGTTGAGCAAATGGAGGTGGCTTTGGAAGAAACACTTTGAATGATACTTGGATCCACGGCTATGCAAAAGCTGTCACTTTGGCGCCGTGAGCTATAAAGCGAGCCAGCTTCGGAGGATCTCCCAGAAAGAAAGACCGGCACGTGGCTTCTGAGATGCATAGGGCCGTTAGGGGGCAAAGGCATTTGCATGGATCCGTTTGGTAGTTTTCCTGCAAACGAGGATGTCACTTGTCATACGCGGAGTTAGGGAGATAGGCCGTCCTGTGAATTTGCAGAGAGCAAAAAGGCAAAAGGCCAAGCCACCGAGTTAAAGCTGGCGCAAGGTTGGATCAACTGAGGTGTGCAGAAACACAAAAGGGTCCCGTTTTCCAGGCAAGAGCAAAGGCCTTTAGCGGTTTGCGCCGAAAAATGCTTTGGTGTGTGTGTGTGTGCTTTTTGGTACCCTGTTTGGGGGTTTCCGTATGAAAAGCATGGCCAGCCAGGCTTTGTTTGTGACTTTGAACAAAGCCCAGGGTGCCACCCCCCAGAAAGCTTCCCTAGGTCGCCCAGTCAATTTTGGGTGTGCCTTTGCGAGGCTTTCCCCCTTTTTGGCTGCTTTCAAGCGGAAAACCACTTGGACACAAGCCCGGTTTTTTTTTGGACCCCCCCCCTTTTTCAGGCTCAGTGTCCTTCGATTTCTTTTGAAACAGATGGGGGGACCACCGAGCGCCCCGCGCTGCTTTCGGGGGGTTCGGATGTCTGGAGGTCCGCTCGATCGGTTGCCACGCGAGGATCGGGCTCCGCACCTTTTGGGACGGAGACGCGGGGGCCATGCAGAAGTTGGGGGCCGCCCAGTGGCTGGTGGCGCCTGCGCTGAGGTTTTTTTTGTTTCTCTTTTTTGCTGAGACCTCGTGTGCTGAGGAAGATGCTTATTAAGTTTTTTAGGCCTCTTGGATTGAAAGTGGAATTCATGATCACCTGTTCTTTTTCTTGTTTTGCGTTTTTGCTCCTTCCGTTTGCTGAGGAATATGCTCAGGTAAGCCCTACTTGTGTTGGGGCCCGGTGGTTGGGATTTTGGAGCAAGGTGAGGTAGCCCCTTCGTGGTTCGGAGCCCGGCGGCTTGGATTTTGGACTTGAGCCCCTGCTTCTCTCGTAGAGGGTAAATGGGACACTGCCGGTTAACCACCAAACCACCAGGCTCCAAACCACCTAGAGGGAAGCTGTTGTTTTTCTTCTTTTTTCGTCTGTTGGTTTTAAAAGGAATCCATCATCATGTTGTGTTTTTTGTTTTGCAGGGGACTGAAGCAAATGGAGGGCTTTCGGAGAATGGGTTGGTTAGGTTGAACTTGGCTCTTTCTTTCCCAACCATACCGCTGCTTGTTAATTTCGTTTTCGAGTCTTGGGTTTTCGGAATGTTGGAGTTTAGACTCTAGATATTTGTTTTTCTGATTGGCCATGGGTCAAAAGCCCGGTGACCCCCAGTCAACATCCCAATCCCCACCACAAAAAAGCCCAAAAAACTTGTGGTGCCCACTATAGACAATGGCCGGTGACTTCACCTACCAGAATGGGATCCCCAAAACGGTTTGGACCACGGCCATAGATCCTGCGCCGCCGTGTTCTTGTCTTCTTCCGAGTCTTCTTCCGAGTCCCCGAGTCCCGAGTTCCGGCTGGCCGAGGTCCGAAGCGAGCCGAAGCGAGGTCATGCCTGGTTGGTGTTTTTCTTTTTGGAAACAGACGGCTTTTTTTAGAGGTAGCTTCCATTTCCATTCTTTCCAGGGATCCTTCTTTCTGGAAAGCCACCAAAAACCCTGGGGAAATGGCTGGTTTTGAAAAGAATGATGGCTGAAAAGAATGGGGAATCAACCCCTAGAGCTTCTCCATCAAGCCTGCGAAAGGTGCTCGACCTGTTGCTCGTTCTTCGGTTTGTGAATTGTTTGCTCTACGGAATTGGGACCCAGCGTGGCCAGTTCCCTCTTTGTTTTTTTTTTGGGGGGAGTTCCCATTTGGATTTGTCTCAAAAGAGGACTCGACACCGGAGTGGGTGGTTTCCTTTTGGCTTCCATTTAAACCCACCCCAAAAGTGGTAAGACTTGTCACATCTTGCGGAATCATGATCACTCTGAGCGGATAAGGTGTCACTGCTTACGGAAATGCAAATGTCACTGCTTACGGAAATGAAAATGTCACTACTTACGGAAATGAAGCCACTACACGCGGAAAAGTATAGGGGTAGAAAAGTATAGGGGTAGGAAGCTCCTTTCTAAGGCTCCTTTCTAAGGCTCCTTTCTAAGGCTCCTTTCTAAGGCTCCTTTCTAAGGCTCCTTTCTAAGGCTCCTTTCTAAGGCTCCTTTCTAAGGCTCCTTTCTAAGGCTCCTTTCTAAGGCTCCTTTCTAAGGCTCCTTTCTAAGGCTCCTTTCTAAGGCTCCTTTCTAAGGCTCCTTTCTAAGGCTCCTTTCTAAGGCTCCTTTCTAAGGCTCCTTTCTAAGGCTCCTTTCTAAGGCTCCTTTCTAAGGCTCCTTTCTAAGGCTCCTTTCTAAGGCTCCTTTCTAAGGCTCCTTTCTAAGGCTCCTTTCTAAGGCTCCTTTCTAAGGCTCCTTTCTAAGGCTCCTTTCTAAGGCTCCTTTCTAAGGCTCCTTTCTAAGGCTCCTTTCTAAGGCTCCTTTCTAAGGCTCCTTCTAAGGCTCCTTTCTAAGACAACCTCATCCACGGCACCCCCTTTTCAGAGATTGGCCGGGGATCCGCTATCGAGCTGGAATGCCGGATTCCAGCTCGAAAAGCGGATCCCCAAGACAACCTCATCAACGGCCCCC